AGCCTTTGCCGCCGACAACCACTGTTAGCGAAGCGCAACAGTGCGCTCTTCCTACAAACCACTCAACGACAGTAGCAGAGCGATGCCCATCATCGCTGTCAAGGGGTCGCCATGGACAAAGACGAGGGAAGAAACTTCTTGACCTCGCTTCTCAACAAGAATCTGCGCATCTTTGCCACTGACGGCCGCATGTTTCTGGGCCAGTTCAAGTGCACAGATCCAGTGGGTATCCCTCCGCCGTCCTCTCTTTCAAGAACGCCTTGCTGACTGACATCTCAACTCTCGACAGGACCGAAATGTTGTCTTAGCACATACCTACGAGTACCGCCAGCCGTCGGCGCAGCGGCGGGCCGAAGCAGCCCAGAAGGCGGCTGAGGGAACAGGCACCGTCTCGATGGACATGACATCCCGATACTTGGGTCTGGTGGTCGTCCCTGGACAGTACATAGTCAAGATCGAGGTTGAGGAATTCATAAGCCAAATCAAGGGCCAGAATCCATATTCAGATATCGTTGCCTAACTGGCAGATGGCATTAGCTTTAGGGCTAATGTGTGGAGGCCCGCAGGTCTTACAACACTGGGCAAGAGATCAGAAGCCCAAGGACATGGTTGCAAGGTACAACCCTTCGGATGGTGTAACAACTGAACATTAAAAACTACGCAGAGAACTGTTTTACCCGTGACAACCCCCCTACCTGCCTTAATCATTGCGAGCCTTCTTCGACCAAATCACCAAGGCGCCTCTCCCCAAGCACCAGAACCGAGCTACCCTTACCATTGTTAACGTACGAACATTACTACCATCACGAGCCATGTGCTCAAAGTCGTGCAAGGGCAAATGAATGCGGGAAACACAAACCCAGGTTTGATGTATCCCATTCTTATGCCACGATGTTCTCGTGTTGACGGCCTCTGGTTTCACCGTTCAATCCATCGTCCGTACCGGTTGCGGAGTGGTGGATGTCATCTTCTTCCTCTTCCTCATCCGTGTATTCCGTCTCCTTGTTGTGTGCTCGGGTCCACGAGGAGTCGTCATTCAACGGCACATCCTGCCCAGAGAGGTCGTGACCTCCCTCAGCACGCGTCCTAATGTTGTTCCTACGGCGCGTTGACAAAGTGCGTGCACGGGTCGACAGCTTAGATGAGACGGCGGCCTGAGATGTGACCCAGTTGGTAAGAGCATCTTCGCAGTCCTGGATGATGGCTTTGCTGGCCTCGTAACCATCATAGGCTGCACGGGTTTCGCCAGGAGTGACGGGCGTGTCATCAATGAGCTCGAGAAGATGCTTTCCGTACCCGGCAATGATGGCGACCTTCTCACAGTGTTCTCTCAAAGCATCGAATTGGTAGGTGTACGCAGCCTTGATCTTTTCACGCGTGATGTTGGACAGCTGGGCTTCCGCAACCAGTGACTCGGCTTCAGCGCGAACCAGTTCCTGTTCGAGAACAACAATTTTAGGGGAATTGGGTTCCTTGTACTTAAGCTGGGCAATCTGGTCGGTGATCTTCTGTTTACCTACGGACAACAAAGTTAGCAAAGGGCAGTGTATAGTCACGGACGGAGTCTGGCTCACGGTCTCGGCTTGGCTGCACCGAAGCCTCAATGTTGCGGATACTCTTGATCGTCACACGGTACTGATCATATCGGTCGACGTATTGGTCTTCAAGTTCGCCGATCTCGTAAAGCAAAACGCCAAGCTTGTCGGTGACATCGGAAACATCCTCGTCACAAGCTTCGCCCCAGATTGAAAGTTGTTGCTGTGAGAAAAAATCAGAATATGTTTACGAAACTGGCAGCAAGCATGGGCAACTCACAGCGACCTCCATACGCTCTCTGGCTACTTGTTCGAGACTGCGCATGACATTCTTCTCCATCTTTACCAGCTGTGACAGCTTCTTGGCGAGGTCTGGCCCGAAAGCGCCTGCAGACTTGTGGCGGAGGGCATGGCCTATGCAAACATATCAGTCAATGGAAACCACTTGTTCAAGCTGTGCGACGTAGAATAGGGAAGATGGCGGCGCAAGGAATACAAATAGGGCGACATACCAAAACCACCACGAAACAGGCGGCCAGATTTGGTTGAAGAAGTAGGCGGGGGAGGGTTCTAGAAACAAAGTCAGCATCATTCATGCCAGACAGTCTCAGCGGAGAACCACTGTCTATGTTTCCGTGGCGCATACCTGAAGTTGGGAGGCGGTAGGCGCCCGCGTCTGGCGCATGGAGTATGTGCGATGCATGTTATTGGCGTTTACGGCGTAGTGAAGCGGCGACTGTAGTATGGCACGGTATCGAGAAGATGCGAGCGTCGATACGGTAACGCGCTTGGAGGTAAGGTATCGCGGGTTGTGACAAGGAGTATGGGTGTGAGAAGTTCAAGTGAGGGTCGGAAGACAAACCTTGGGACCATGCGAAGCCGGGTGTTTATATGTAGGACATGAAAAAGGGTCCAATTAGGTGTGGTCTGCGTCGGCGTCGGCGTCTAGGCTGGTGGATGTTGCGGAGGTGACGGGGACTTTGACGAGCGGGAGGTGGGCTGGAAGGACGGGACGAAGCAGCGCAAGGGTGGGAGGTGACGGTTGGCCTGCTGTGTGTCCCCCTCCCTCTCGTGTGCCTCTTTCGCGCTGACGACGTCATCAGTGCTGTTAGCTCGTCTTTTTGGCGTTGTTCGCAGCGTCACCTAGGTACCTAGCTAACTTGATGCCTGCCGCAAAACATGGTACACGGAAAGGTACAAGGACGTTGCTCCACACCCAAAGTATTTGTTGTGCTGCTCATGGCTGGTTCCGTCGTCAGAAGCTACAGCACCAAAGCTTTGACCGTTGTCACTCACTCCCGCCCTTTCCTGGGCCAGCCTTAACTCGATACGGTCTGTCGGCCTGACGAACCTTGCTTGGCCAGTTCGTGGTCGACGGCGCGGGAAGATGGAGAGCACCGCCGCGCCGCACCGCACACATCTGGGGTGAAGGGCAAAGGCTCTCACGTCCACCCGAATCCCCTCGCACAGCTATGATGATCGCCATCCGGGATGGCGCCGTCTTTTCGAACCCTTTGCCCAATGTGGGCTCATGAAACAAACGGCTGGGGAACCGAGGAGTTGTTTGGGACCAATATGGGATGAGAAACACAGCAAGCTTTCGACGCAGGCTGCCGGCCCCGACGGGGACCCTCAACTACATAGCTCTCGCAAGAGTGTCGGTCCATCTCACTCATCCTTTCACGTTTTTGGACCGCCGTTTGCGCCTAACAAATCTCGGTGCAGAGACGGCCCCTACGATTTCCATGTCCGCTTCTCAATACCCGATGCCCAGGTTGTCACCAAGACTGGTTCAATGCGATGGCAGACTTTGAGGACGGGTAGTCGTAGGGCGGGTGCTTTGCTCGATGGGCTGGCCATCCGGCGTCTCCGGGGCATCGGTCAAACTGGTCGCTCTTCCGTCTGGAGCTCCGAGGCTAGTGCGCTTGCCTTCCAGTTCTTCGTCGTCGTCTTGCACGGGCATTGGGAAGCGAAGTTGATTGTGCTGGGCCAAAGAAATGAGCGATGATTTCATAGATCTCTCCTCCAACTTCCAAATACTTCCTTAGCGCGGGCTTATGCCGTTGGCCTGGCCTCTCGACCCCAACCACATGTGCCTGTGCGACGGGCTTGTCGGATTGAGACTATCCGGTCAGTTACTACGACGAGGAGCCGACTCTAGTCCAAGGCCATAATAGCGAATCATGACACGACTCAGCCGCCATCTTTTTTATTTGCTAGCTGAAACGCTTGCTTGTGCTTGAATTGCATTGAGCATTGCGAAAACTAAGATTTGCTCACCGCACGCTGTGGTCATGAATAGATTTGTCTCAACTCTACTTCGAGACTGTCATCGTTTTCAAGTGACTGAACAGCCTAGCGCACCCACTACACAGACTCCGTGGTCATGGGCGACCCCATTCGCATTTCAGCATCCAGTTTCGAACACGACCTGAGTTCGGTGTCCCCATTCAGTTTGAATGAATTTTTCGGTTATGAACTTTGCGGGCTAGGGTGAGAAGATCTGGTCGAGTGCTCGGTTATCAGCGATTACAAGGAAGCTCCAGAATTTCTGGTTGATTGCAAAGTTGAAGGGCTGATAGAGCCATGTTCCTCCAGAAAGGAAGGGGAAAATAATTGTTGGCTTAATGCTCAGCTGAGACGTGTGCGACGTCTCTGCACATAACTAGCGCTTGGAGACGTCGAATTGTAAGAAGGACAATGATATCAAAAATTCGGAGTTGCTGTTCACGGTTTCCATGACACCCATTGAAGAATTCATCTCATGAGGTTTCAAGCGCACCTACCAAACTCGGACGTCCAGGCAGAGGACTGGAGGCAAGAGGTTGATAACAAACAAGACTGCCCGATAATGGGGATGGGATTGAGTAAGTATTTCCAGTACAATGCATCACCTGACCTTACAAAGAAAGAATAGCAAAGACTGGTCTGTTTAAGAGCACCTTTTGATGAGTTTCATCTCGCGACAATAGGGTCCAGATGTCTGTCTGCACGGGTTTTTTGTATCGGGTGGCTCGAGGTACAATCCTTGCCCCCGCTCTTTTTTTGGGTCTAGCGCCTCGCAATCTCTCCCTCCAGCTCTTTCCTTCCCTGAACGCGCTTAGTCTCCCAGTTCACCAACGCGTCTCACAATATCTCATCTTCTCTCTCATCATCAACCTCATCCCAGAGGGACGGCTTTAGTGATTACCTACACCTGTAATCATCCCCAGTCATCTCTAGGCCCATAGAAATTTTACGCGCTATCGTCGTACGCCCACCGCAGCCTGGCATGGTAGTTTCCTAGCCAATGTTTACAGGCCTCACTGACGCTGACCACGGGGACGAGGACATGGTGAGCGACCGTGTCTACGTCTGTGTCTGCGCTTGCAAGTGAGGGGGACGTTGCAACCACCAGCGGCTCGGGAGGAGACCGCTACTGTTGCTACTTCCTTCGCGCCTCCCGCTCGCTTCCTTTTACTCGACATGTCTCCATTCCGCGCCGGGACCGATCGGGACACTCCTCCTCAAAGAGGTCCCTACAACGACTACGCTATTTTCCGCCCCGTCAGCGACCGGGTCACTCCTGACGACGCTCAACCCGAGCCTCATTCTCGCTCTCATAGACTGTCGGGAAAGACGATTGATGTCATCGACTTGACCATTAACTCAAGCCCGCTCTTGCGTCCACAGAGTTGTCACGATCCGGATGCCGACCGCGCGTCACTCGTTGTAGCCAAGGCTGAGGCTAGTCAACCTCATCCGGCATTCTCATTAGGCTCCGCACATTATCTTTCGGACCCCAGTGGAGGCTCAACCGTTGTTTCCAGCAATGCAGCCTCGATTCTGGACCCTTCGCCCCCGCCTGTATCAGTCCAGCCCTCGGTCTCGTCTGTTGACCTCGACGACGGTTTGGATGCCGAGATGCCTCGACCGGCGCGGCCTGACGGCTTTTTGAAGAGCCCTCAGCAGGTGACGCCGCCGTCTTCTACGCGCCCACCAAGCCACCAGTCTCCCAAGAATAGCGCCATCTCCAAGAGGCAGACCCCAAAGAAGGAGGTTCCTGATGTCAGGCAGGTTGTCACTTTGCTGAAGGGTTTCTCTGCCGATATCGGCAAGGCTCATTCGCAGCTCGCTCTTTACGCCCTCAAATCCACAAAGCCCATTGAAACACGTGTCAAGACCGGCGTCGATTTCTTTGCCAACGTCAAGCTTGACCCGGTTGAAGAAAGCGAGGGGACAACCATGTCTATCAGAACCAAGGTCAGTGTGGTCAACCTAGTTTAATTTCCACTGTCTTTGGCTCTCAATACTGACCTTTATACAGCAACATTTCCGTGGGAGGAAGTCTGACCAAGCCAAAACTGCGCACTACGTGCCTACTTGTATCAAGTCTAACAAGCCTGCCGTGCCCAAGTATCGCTTTCATCACACGGAAATTGTCAAAAACTTCCTTTCTCCCAACTCCTTGCTCAAATTCGTGCCTGTCATTCGGGACCTTGCACCCGAGGAAGAGCGGAAGTACAACACCTGGTTAGGGGAGCTAGAGAGGATGGACGAAAGTTGCGGTTTCAAAACCCTAGGAAGTCGCGACCAACGAGTCACCCGAACCATCAAGAAGGAAAGGACTGCCACCTTATCGCTGTTCCTGGACTCGTGGCTCAGAAAGCTTGCCATTGACAACTGCAACCGAACCACATTAATTCGCCATATGGCTAACTCGAACCTCGACGACGCTATCACGCCGCAGCAGAAGTCGAGCCTTGTAAACCTGCACAGCGACGGCAACATGGCTGCAACACCACGAGCCCTGAAAGCGGCAAGGGTATTCACTGATGCTTTTGACCAGGTGTTCTATCACAGCGGTCCTCAGAATATGGGCATTTTGCTATCAGATGTCTTGAAGCTCGACAAGTCCGTTGATGAAATCGTCGAAACGAAGAAGACGGCCAAGGTCGGCCAGGACGACGGTGATAGGGTGGATTCTCTCGAGCACTGGATTGAAACGCATACAGTAATGGGATGCCTCATCTGCTACAGCAACTCGTGCGAGCATGGAGACTACAGTCTGGAAAATCACAAGCGCAACTTTTCCATGGACTGCATCGGAATGTATGGGCGGATGTTCTCGGCCAACCGAGTCCTGTCCTCTAATGATCCGATTGAGCATGCACCACCTCCACTGCCGTGCAAGCGAAAGTGCTATCGGATTCTCGACATCGGCAGTTCTGATGATGCCCAGTCAAGGCCATGGACCGAAGACGAAACATTTCTGCTCCGCAGTCTCTACTCCATCTTGGACCACAACAAAGTCCGGGTCAAGGCACAATGTGCCACCGCGGAGATCTTGGATAGAGAATGTTGGGATGTGCATCGTCATTTGCAATCTCTCGACATCAAGCTTCCGCCCATCACCACGATTGACCAACCAAGAGCCAAAAATCTTCCTTGGTACGATCGCAAGAAGAAGATACTCATTGGCGACTGGCAGGACCACACCAATTCCCACGACACCAAGGTGCGCCCATCTAACGATCCGTGCCATCACGAAGGCCCCTGCACGGCCGACAATGGGTGCCCTTGTGTCCTAAACGACATACTCTGTGAGCGCTTCTGCCGCTGTACGGAGGATTGTTGCGCGTACAAGTTCACCGGCTGCGCCTGTCACGCTAGCGGCAAGACATGCTTGCAGAAGCAAAAGGAAGGCCGGCCTTGCATTTGCGTACAATTAAACCGCGAATGCGACCCTGACCTATGTGGTACATGTGGTGCCGTAGAACGAGCAGACCCTGCGAATCGGCACGATGATGCCCTATTTCAGACAGGCTGTCAGAACACCGCCATCCAACGGGGCGTAAGCAAAACTGTTATCCTCGGCAAGAGTCAACTGGAAGGCTGCGGTTATGGTCTCTTCACAGTGGAAGACATTGCCCAGGACGAGTTCGTCATTGAATACACGGGCGAGCTCATCGTTGCGGACGAGGGTGTCAGGAGAGAGGCCAGGCGCGGCGAAGCTTTCTCCATAGAGAAGAGCACATCATACGTATTCAGCCTCCTGGATTACGAAGGCATCTGGGTCGACGCTGCTATTTATGGCAATCTCAGTCGCTACATCAACCACGCTGTAGAGAACGCCAATGTTCAGCCTGGCATTCTCTACGTCAATGGCGAATTTCGCATACGATTTACTGCCACGCGTAATATCAAGGCTGGCGAAGAACTCTTCTTCAATTATGGCGAGAATTTCCCTAACCTAACGGAGAAAATGATCAAAGAGAAGGCCGGCGACGGAGAAGATGCCGCGGAAGAGGGTGCGGGACCAGTCAAGCGTGGACGAGGCCACCGCCGCCGGGCAACGACCGGCACCGAGAAGCCAGCCACGCAGAGGCTCACCAAGGCAAAAATTGCCAAAAGCGTCAACACGGGAGCTCGTAAAGAGGCGCCAACGGTGGTGGTAGATGACTACGAGGCTTTAGCGGATTTCGACGCGATGCCCAGTTCGAATCGAAAGCGAAAGCGAACCGCAAAAAGCGACGATGAGGACGAAGAGTTCCACCCTTCTTTGGAATCTGAAGAGAACGGTGAGACGCGGGGCGTGGAAAAGCGTGGGTCGACGTCTCGTCGACGAGGTGGGATCCGCCGCGTGAGGTCGATGGGCTCCATTATGCCATCAGACTCGGAACTAGAGGACTCGATGAAGACGGCAGCTCATGATAAGCGTGCACAAGGACGTTTGTTCGGTTCTCAACTTCCTAGCGGGCCCCAGCCGACCGCGAAGAATGGCGTGAAGCTTGCGAAGCCAGCAAACGTAATACCGCCACAGAAGAAACGTCGTGGGCGTCCGCCCAAGAATCCTCGCCCAGCTAGCCCCGTTGCAACAAATGAACCACAGGTTGAGCACGTCGGAAATGAGATTCGTGCTCATTCAAACGCCTTTCGACATTCAGAAGCCGATGGCAATACGATCTCCGTCGACTTAGATAATCGTCCCAGATCTGCCCGTGGGCGGAAGATAATTGCAGCCAGCTTCAGCCAGTCGATGGAAGATCCAATGGACATTGACAAAAACGAGCCCGAGGTGGACGCGACCCCGACACGGTCCAGAGGCCGGAAAAAGGCTGGAGAAGACGTGATCACAGCTCGAGGACCATCGCGGACTGGACGTACGACCCGTCGTCTAACTATTGACACAGACGGTGCAATGGAATCGGATGAGGAGCATCTGATACCCACCTCGGCATCCAGACAAAAGCGTATGCAGAAACCTTTTTTGATTTCCCTGGAGAACAACGACAGTGAGTCCAGCTATAAGATGCAGGGTACCGGCACGGACTCTGACGATGATGACGACGAGGGGCCTATTTCTTCTCTCAGTCGTTCCTCCAGAAAGAAGAAATTACCGGCTCGGTTTAGATCGTCGTCAGACGAGGAGTCCTAAAGGTATCAACTACACACACTTCCTGGAAGGATTGCTGGGCATGGATCCTTCAGCCAATGCCTCAAAAATGCCATGTTTAAAATGATGGACGCAGAAGGTTATCGTTGAGGAGGTAGTTTAGGCTTGTTTTTTGCATTTCACAAACAGCATCCAGTTGGTAGGCTTTACTAGTCTTATCGCAGGGCTCGATTGTGCGTGTCACATTGCTGCTTAGCTGGGGGGTGTACATTTGATTGGCGCATTCAGGAGTACAAAGCATACATCGTTCCTGCTGCGGATGGGACGCATGACATAGTGTCTCATTCACGTGGTCAAACACCTTAGCTTTGAATATACGTACTTGCATGCAACTGCGCCATCTAGCTATGTCTTCCAAAGACGGTTAACCGATTTGGCTGTGTTTGTATGGTGCTGGTTCCAACCTGAGCTGCAGTTATTTGGAAGTGGTCTAATTGTGGTTAAGCTGTGAAACCTGTCGACAGTTTAGGGTTTCGTATCTTTGTTAGTCTAAAGTCTGAAGTAAATTAAAGCTATGGTTTTATCGTTAAGCCTATCTGCCTTATATAATACAAGCATGTTTTTGACTATCGAGGATTCCTAGAACCATGTCTTCAGGCTTTCTAGCTCTAGACGTTGCAACATTCCGCAAGTCGGTAGAATTCTCTTGTCAGACTGGCATAAAAACGAGGCCTATTAATGCACAGGTATCCACATCTTGCAAATCCCTCTCCCCAGTTGGTAATGATTAATATCACTACTCCAAAAGAGCATAGAACAATTTTTTTTTTTTTTCACTGGCAACATGCAAGGCTTTGGCGAGGTTTAGTGCATATGAGGTCAAAGAGTCTCCTTTCAGTCCTGATCACGTATCAAAAGGGAGAGCGAGGTGACTCACATGCAATGATACTTTCCAAAAGGGCCATTGCTGTTCACGAGATAGGAGTTGCTATGTTTTCTTTTCTTTCTCTGTGTGCTCGTAACATTCTTCTCTGACATACGCTGCATTACAGTTAAATCCATCCTCATGATCTTGGGTTTAGAGACACTGAAAACGCCAAGGCTGTAAAAGATGACCTTGCGACTTTACTTTGTGCCGAGGTCCACATCGCATGCAATACATGGAAAGCTGTTCCTAACAACTAGAAAGGTACAGGTGACATTCCGCACACCTACAAAGCAAAACATGCCTGTTTAATAGGCCAACAAGATTCAGACAAGCACCATACCATGTTTCATTTTGACCCTCATAAAACGACATTCTATACATTAAGGCAACAGCATTATTTCTATTCCAATCGCAGTACGACACCTTCAGAGTTCAGGTCTATTTCTTGATTGCTTACATCTTTTGGGCCCCAAAGCTGCGCAGCTGAGAGTAAAAAGGAACCATGCCATGTGCATACGGGCAAACGAAAAAAGGACTTCCAGCAAGCATGTCTACATCAATATTTTTCAGGCAAAGTGGATGACTGTTTCCAGTCTTTGAGCAGATGTCCCTTTACCCCAAGTTTTCTACTTCCCACAGCGCCTTTCCTGCCAAGTTCTCTGAGGTTCGGTTACACGTTCTTTGGAATAAATAGACACTGGGGCTAGGGGGTATCTTTGACATGGGTGCGAAAATAAACTGATGTGGAATAGTTTGCAAGGGATCGATTCGCAGGACGCTGTATCCATGTTTTTTATCTAGGCTTCTGAACATGCGAACCCGAAAACTTGTACGGTTTCTCAACAACGTGGTGAAAAGGTCGGGTGCTTAGCTGTCAGTGACTCTGCGTCTGTATCAGAGAACAGAGCAAAGCCCGGTTCCGAAAACGTGCAATTTGTATGACTAGCGCGCATTGGTAGGATCCAAATTACAGACCAGAACAACAATTCAAAAATCTGGCTGCGCAAAGCACTATAACATAAAGACAAACGACAAGAGCTGGGGAACCTGCGCCCCCCCCCTTTTTCAAATAAACTGGATTTGCACATGGGGGCTTTTTGGGGTTTTTGTTTGCGGGTTTACATAATTCAATTTTTGACTTTGACAGCCGCTCGATGGCTGTCAAACATAACCCAGACAATATCCGAAAGTGCTCACTCAAGCCGACAGAACGGCTCAAAGTTCACATAGCTAGTATACATTCGATGCCGAATACCCCAGACGCCCATAGACACCCGTAACCTCAATACATACAACTCACTCAAGTGTGCCTATCATACAAGATCCCACGTCGACCTATTGAGCTACCTCTTGAACAAGCGCTTCTCAAGTGTACGCAGTCCTATATACGAAATCGACGCAAAGGCGAAAGCCAGCTCAAAGCCAATGTCACCGCCAAGGCTGCCACCGGCAAGCTTGCCAATAGGGCCAGTGAACCATATCTGTGACATGCCGAGGATGGCCCCCATGACGCCCACCAAGAAGGCCGCCACGGCCGCCAACCCCGGCGGCAGACGCGACGGCGTACCATAGTCCTTGATGTCGTACCCGGCGATGCCGCGGCGGAAGACCACATGGTCGGTGACGCTGATGCCCGCATAGATAGCGAGCCAGTAGGCGATGACGAGCATGAAGTTCTCGAGCCAGGCCTCGAAGCGGTTATAGCCCGGGATGCTGATGGCGATGTAGATGCCGGTACCGAAAAAGACCCATACGAAGCGCGGTACCCTCTCCGTTTGCTTGGAAAGCACCTGCAATGAGAGGGAGACGGAATAGATGTTGGGGCAGTTGTTGGCGATGATGGACAGGGCGAGGATGACGAGGCAAAACTGGCCGAAGCCACCTAGGCGGGGAACGAGCACGGTAGCTAACAGGCCGCCGATCCCGGAGGCCGCGTAGGCGTCGGAGTAGGCGGGGTCGGAGACACTCGCGGTCATGACGGCAGCGCCCAGAAGCTCGGTGAAGCAGAGCGTGAAGAAGAGGCCGCAGAAGGTGACAAGGAAGACCTTCATCCGAGATGTGGACGCCGGGTAGTAACACGTATAGTCAGCGGCATAGGAAGTCCAGCCGGTCGCGAAGCCGTAGACGCTGGCGGCGAATGAGAGAACTGAGCCTGCTTCGGCGGGCCCTGAACTCATGGGGAGCATGCTGTTGAACTTTCCCGAGTGGGCGAACACCCCAAGGACGATGAGGAAGATGATGGCGCAGGGAATCCAGGAGAACCGCTCGTAGGTGTGGACCAGACGGTAGCCGAAGGTGCAGATGATGAGCGTCGAAATGGCGATGACGAGGATGCCGGCCCAACCAGGCATGTCGTTGTTGACGGCGTTAAACAGCTGAGCGCCGACGATACAATTGACGGCCGACCAGCCCAGGCATGCCAGGATATTGAATATTGCGACTAGGCCCAAGAAGTTAGTGTGCTGCCCCTCGTGTAGTTCTCTTGGCATACGTACTCAGCTTGACTGCGTAGAAACCAAACCAGTAACGGGAGAGGACCATCTGTCGCAGTCCGAACACGGGACCAAAGGTCGAAAAGAAACAGACGGGCATGATTCCCAAGAAGTTGATAAAAATGATGGTCAAAGCCGTGTCAGCGAAGCCGAGATTGAAGACGGGAATAGCCAGCACGCCGATAGCAAAGGACGATACAACCATGTTGGCCGAACACCACTGTAAAAGAGTCAGGACGGTTCCCGGGACTGAGTGCGGATATCGGCTGGACTTACCAACGTTCCGATGTTGGCGATGGTATCGTTGATTCGCTCGTCTTCAGGGACTCTTTCGATGCCCCTCTGTTCTACACCCAACTTGCCCGCCAGCCTTTGGAGTTTGGCATATGTGCTGGTGCTGGCTGCGAAGTCCGCCTTGTGGATGGCGCCGTCATTGGTCACGAATCCTTGCTCGACGTCGCTGGCCGGCTTCTTCTCCCCGCCGCTCGAAGAGACACTGCTCTTGGTCTCGAATACAGCCATCTTCCGGTTTACGGACGGCACTTTCCGCTGGATTGGTTATCAGGTTGGAATCAGGGTTCACCGATAGCACATAGCTCTACTCGACAAGTCGGGCAGGAGGAGGTCTATCTGGACGGGCGGGATGTTTGACGGCAGATGCTCGACAGAGACAAGCAGATGCTCAAAGCACCGGCGACTGTGAGAGGATGGAAGATCCGCGTCCCATGCCAGGCATACGGTGGCGAACCCAACAGTAATATTCGTTGCGGAAAGTGGAGGTGCCCTTATCAGGGCGCGACAGGCAGCGGACCGAGGCTTCTTCGCCATATTTCTGGACTCGAGATACCGTCTAGCCGCGGGCCCTTTTTTTTTTTTTTTTTTTTTTTTTTTTTTTTTTTTTTTACGCGGAGCAGAACCTAGTCTTCTGACGCGAAACTAGTGGGGCGTAACGGAGCGAGCAGAGATAAGAATCGCAGCATAGAAGACGTTTGATGGCCCACAAAGGCGTTCCTTATGGGGGGGCCCGATGTGGTTCGGAAGTAGGCCGGTACTTGACAGTCATCTAGGATAGGTTGGGCAAGGGGAACTGGAGCTCGGCAAGTGAGCCACTACGTTGGTTAGAAGAAGAGTTGGGTGTGCCGAATTGGTCTGCCCAACCATCAGTCCTGGAGGAAGAGGGTCTCTGGGTAACTACTCGTCGGTCAAGATGGAGGCAGTCGAGCGACAATCGCGGACGTCACTGAGGACGTGTCGGAATGTGCTGCGATGTGAACTTGTCTCGAGTCACTCTGACCTTCCCGACCTTTGGTGGATGGATATAATGAAAAAGAGGACGTTTGTCCATATGGGTGCAAAGTTCCATTCCTGCTACTAGCATATCAGCAGTCAAGATTCCGAGCCACACCCTCGAGTATTGCCGATAGGTCATCCGTTATCTCACCTCCACCTCATCGACAGGAAGTAGATTTTTTTAGAGCTCCCATTGGTTGGCAAGACGCAGGGTCTCCGCCATAGGGCCGGTTCTATTTGCCGCGTAGCCGAATGCATGCAACGAAGAGAGATTGGTGGCTGAGGGGTGTTTCTTTCAAGCCCTTACTGAGTGTTCTCCGTAGGGTAAAAGACGTTGATGCTGCCAAAGTGTCAGCCTGGGGGGAGAGGGTTATCGCCGAGGTGAGGAACGGGGGGCCACAGCAAAATCAAGAGGGCAGGCAGGGTTCATGCCCACAAAGCTTAGCAATTAGGCCATCAGCCACCGGCCGACGTGGCGGTGCATGTCGGCCGGTGGATCGGGATTTCCTCGCCTGGCCCTCAACACGTTCCCCCCACGCCATGCCACGCCACGCCACGCCACGCCACGCAAAGGTCAGCATTGCATTCCTGCCCCATCACGCTTTCCCTCGTTGGCGGCAAGTTGCTTCCAAAAAAACTTTGTGTGGCTGGATTGCATACTATTAACAACTTCCATGTGGCCAAGGCGATGCTGTGTGCCACTCACCGCGCGTTGCAAACAAACGAAGCAAATCTGCCCCCGCCAGACAAATGCGTTTCAGGATTACGGCTCCTCGTTGCCGCTCTCTTGAAAAGGAAATGCAGCTGTTTCTCGTCTAACTACCTAGGTAACTCGCTCCCTTATCAGACCTTGCCCGAGCAGCCGAACAACCAAGTGACACAGCCAATCGTCGCAACACTCGACCGGCACTGTTTGCAAACATGATGATTCGGGCCACCCCAAATCCCTTCTATTCTACCACGGCCTGGGATTGCTATGTTTTAGTGGGGCGGACGGGACACAGCATCGTCGTTGATCGCTGGCACTACGCGACTGCCGTCACGTCTTCTTGCGACCTCGGGTTGATGCGCAAGTGAGTACAGAGAGTTACGGGCGAAAGTCAAGTCGAGTCTAGACATGCCGTTCGCTGCGGGTTGTTTTACAAGCTCGTCTTCGTCCCGAACCCCCGTTGACGCAGGAGAAGCAACACATCAGCCACCCGTTCAATAGCACCCATCTTGACACCCCCTTCCATCCCTCGTTTAAACAAATGTGCATCTGCAACCGAGTTTTGGCCGCTTGAAGTGCACTTCTCCCATCACACACCTACCTAGTTACACGTGTGACTGTTAGACTATCGCCGTTCGCCCTCAGGTCGTTGCACGGTCTCGAGCGGACATCCAAACGGCGGGGTTCCAGTGGGTGAGCACCCGCCGTGTTGCGACCGTTGCGCGATTGGAACGGCCTTGTCGATGTATTGAACACAAGGGAGACAAACATCGACTCCAAGGGCCATGGTGGAACCTAAACGAGGCGAGGCCCTCGGGCCATGAACCTCACCGTCGAGTCTGATGGTCGAGAGACAAGGGAGCAAGACAAGAGCAAAACATGGTCAATACTTGACTGTTTGCTTTTCGATTGTAACAAAGACAGCCATTGGTCCATTCATTAGAAAAACATCCCTTTCACGCACGCTATCTGTGTCCGCCATCATCCGACTTGCGTTGTCTCCTCTCCGTCACAGTTTCCATTGTGCCGCGCTTCATTCTTGCTCAGACTCTTCGTACGACTCAGCTCCCCACCACAACATATATAAACAGTGCCAAGCCGCTTCTGTCTTGGTCCCGCCGAAGGTCCCCCCCGGCTGTACTAGGCATTCCGAAGCATTCTCGGTCCCTGCCGGAAAGAGTTCGCGACAAATTGTCAGTAGCGCTTGTATCCCTTTCCTTGGTCTCACCCCATCTTACGCCCTCGCTATATCTTGTTCCTGACAGAGGCTGACCGATTTATAACCACCCGGCTGAATCCTTCCGCGTCAAGTATCCCACCGTGGCATGGGAAATACACGGCATCTCCGGCGGGTGTGAAGCCACCGGCAACGATTCCTGATAGCACCATGTGTACGGATACGTTGGGGGAAATGACGAGCTGCTGTGTCTCAGTGATACCGTGCAGATCTTGCGCGGATTTGAGATGTGATGGAGAGAACCTTTTCCCCTGCCAGCCCACAATTCTGGGCCTCATTCATTCACCCCTTTGGTCCATCATTGCTTCCCAGAGCATCCGTCCATGAGGACCCCTGGCCCCCAAACGGCCCTCATTCTTGCCCCCCGCCGTCCATCACCCTGCCACGCGTGAAAGAAAGATGGGTGTTGCCTACGGATACCTAAGAAAGCTTCGAAGCAGAAGGTGCTGCAAGGTGTGCCGGGTGTGGGGGGGAGGGAGGGGGGACTAACACCGTCACTCATTGCTCCCGCAGTTTCCTGTCAGAGCGGCGTTCGTATACGTCTCTGTTTGTTTGCTCGTATTAAAGAGCATTCCCCCCGCCTTGCCAACCAGCCTCTGGTCGCTTGCATTCCTTCAGTCGCCTGGTCTGCATCTTCTTCAAGAATTCTCTTGGTTCTCGTTCCTGTTATATCTGCGCTCTTTTCCCTCGCTTCGGGCTTGTTTTCCTCAAGTGGTCTGTCTATACCATCCTCGATTCTTGCTGTCTATCAACACAACATCAAGACACTCGCCCTACACCATCACTACCCGTGTACGAACCACCCGAGAGCACCCTTCTATACTCGCATCTCTTTTCTCCCCGACCCTTTTGACCACGCACGAAGCAAAGATGCAGCTTCCCACATTGTTGTCCTTGGCTCTTGCTGCCGCTTCTCTCAGCGTTTTCGTCCAGGGCCGCCCGCTCCCTTGTCCCGATGTGCGTCCCCGGCCCCGCTGATGCGCTCCCATAGACAAAATCAAGACGCTTTTTCTTTTCTTTTTTCTTTTCTTACTTTCTAACTCTTATGTTACAGGCGAAGCGTGATGATATCCTGAACGGCAAGGCCAACCCCGAAATCTGCTGCTCCTACGGCATATGCAAAGGCGATGTCGTCGTCAGGAGCGGTTGAACGAGCCGAACGCGGGGACCCTGAAAATGCTTCAATGGTAGCGTTGCGCGAGCAAATCGCAGACAAAACGAATACCACCACAGCAACGACAAGGTCAAAGCATCGGTCACTGCGCCTCTTCTCACCACGTCGCATACCTTCGCCCTTTCTCTTTCTGACACACACATACACACACACACACACGCCACGGCATATGTATATATCGGCGTTCTAACAGGTTGCATCATCGACAGCGGCGTTACGGACACAACCATCGACGACTCTCCATGCAGTTTGTGAGGGAGGTGGGAGAGGCTCCTGTCCATGGTCGAATTGCAAACACATGCACTCGGATTGCCCTTTCGGGATTGGTTGCGGATTTTACGCAAAAGAAGCGGTCGGGCGTACACAGTCAGCCCATGCTGCACATCCCGCTATCTTAATCCTTGGTCGACGAATGGGATCCCCGGGAGTGGGCGTCGGCCATCCCCCCGGCCCACTGGCGGGACCAAAGAATCGAGAGACGCGGGACTGGTTGTGCATGAGATGGCCACGTTAACTCGCACGGGGATTGGGGATCGGGTCGTCGTTGGTGAGCCCGGCGAGGCGTGAAGGCGTTGAACGCCGGGCCAGGCCTCACGCTCAGCGGCGTCGCCAGAGACGGTCATGTGGATCAAGCGATATCACGAATGAACACGTATAAATAACGAGCCACATGGAGGGGCCGTAGACTGGGTATTACGAGACATGCTGTCAGCCAGAAACGAATAGTCAAATTGTTTATTATTTGGAAGAAACGTGCGTCAAAATCGTGCTGACTGGAGCGCCTCCCGGAAAGATAATTCGTAACCACCCCCCAAACCCACGCGTTCGTCTATTGGCCCGCTGTCTCGTATCGCGACAAGAGCGTCTTCCCGGCCTCTTCTAGCAGTCCGGTCTGCGCCTCCCATCCACCGTCAGGGATTACGCTCACACTAGGGGGGGGCAGCCACTGGCGTATCGGGTTAAGTCACCGGCAGACCACTCTGCAGAAGTACGACGCGGGTTGGGCTGATACCGTGTTGAATGAAAGGGACTTTCGTGAACCCCTCTCACAAGACCTCTTACGAGACCCTCCCTGCGAGAAAGGTCTCGCTAGAGATGACAAACCCGTACGAGCCCTGCGGCGGTTAGTGAGCGCCCGATCGCCCGTGGCTTTTCCAGCACGAGACACGCGAGATCCGCATAAGAACGTGATTCGGGCACGGAGAACGTTGGGAAAGAGGGGGGGAGCGACTTACGGCGACATTATACAGACATACCTCCTGGGCCCCGGGCGACTTGGTCGCGCAGCAGTCCTCGATCATGACGCAGTCCCACCCGGCGTTGTAGGCATCCGTCAGCGTGCTCAGGACGCACTGGTCCGTGTTGACGCCGGCGAAGAGCAGCGTGCGCTTGCCCCCCTCGGCGGCGGCCCCGGACCTCTCCAGGTACCTCCGCAGCGGCTGTTCCCGGCTCCACATGCCTGATATGCGGTTCTTGTTGCAGCGCACGTCCTCCGGGCGGGCGCTCCGCTTCAGCGGCTCGTAGATGTCGGCGTTCCACTCCCCGGCGACAAGGCACCGCCCCTGGCCGTCGCCGAGGTCCCCGCCGAGGCCGAGGCGAACCACCTTGTCGTCCGACTCCCCGAGGATGAGCGACCGAGAGAAGCCGTGTTGGACGCTAGCAGGTATTGCCGCGAGGTCATCGTCGGTCAGGCCCCAATTTAGCCAGATTACCTGTGTTTCGCGCGTGCAAGGGTGAGCTTAGCTACCTCAACGCCGCCTCCCGTAGGGTAGGACGGGGACGTGACGTCTGCCGTAGAGGCCCGAACGTCCGACTGGCGGAAATGACAAACCGTACCTGGACATCTAATTTGCGGCATTTCTCAATGACCTTCTCGATTCTCTCCACCGCGGCCAGACCAGTGGGGTGGTCTCGACACTTCGGGTGCAGGAAGTAGTTCTGCATGTCGACAATGACGAGAGCCGTGCTGTGGGCAGCCACCGAGATGGACGTCTCCTCGGGCCCTTGGCTCGTGCGGACCGTCCAAGTCGGTGACTGGCCCCTGGTGAGATCATAGGTTCGCGATGGTCGCTCGTAGTGCCACTCGTCGCCCGGCGGGCCAAAGGTCAAGTCTGGGCGCATGACAAAGGCGAGGACGGCCCGGGATTTTCTCCTCGGGTAACCTAGCCTTGGCTGCGGGTATAAGTCAGAACTACTCCCGGATTGCGGGGATTCTGTTTTTCTTCTCAAGCGATTGGGCGGAATGGGTATGGCTGGTGTAGTCGAGAGGATGAGAAACGCAAAGCACACATGCAACTAACTACCACCAAGAAGAGTCATCTGATAAGAAATCCCGCAGTGCAGTGCAGAACGCAGCGCTTGCGCCGGATGTACGTGTCAGTAAAGTTTACCCATCCGTCCATCTATCGGGAAGGAGCATGCGTCGGCGCGGCTATTGGCCGATCACGGACGAGCAATGGTCCATCTACAGGAATACTGCATCACCTCGCCCTGCCAGCGCAGAAAAATTCTCGCAAGGGCAGGTAATTCGGTTCTACGTGCACATATGGGGAAATCAGACAGCTACCCGGAGAGCCCTTCCATGCAGGCGCATATCGAAATGGGAGGTGTAGGTAGGCCCGAGGTGCCAGAGTCAACAACCACGGGCTCTGCCGCATGCGATCAATGGCCCATACCGCTCCGGGTCCAGGGGAAACAGGGAGCAGTTCGGGGCCGACCGCCAGAGTGTTTCAAGACTAGCAGAGTGCGTGTAGAAAGCCCATGTACATCTTGTTTCGGGGGACCTTCGTACCTAATTCGTTGAGCGACATGGTCCCCAGCTGGTGACAATACAATGAGACAGACAATGGGAAAAGGGCAGAAAATCTTCAAACCCCATCAAAGCTCCGGTCCAGATACCACGTGAACACATGAAAAAATGAAAATGAAAAAAAAAAAAAAAAAAAACCCCCCGAAACCAAATCCCCGCCCTGCGGAATGAGTCTCCAGGCGGTCCCTCCGCTACCGACGCGCCTGAATTGCGAGTTGCGAGTCCAGCGGGCAAGAGAAGTCGCTTCGTTTGGCAAGCGTGTCGCAGGGGAAGGGTCCATGTCGGGTACGGACCGTCGTTGTGATTGGAGCGGGAAGTCGCAAAGAGGAAAAATCGGTCTTACAGCGACCGAACAATTCCCACCTTGCGGGCAGCGCCCCACACCCTGCCAACAAGCTTCGACCCTGCGTGACGTTGCGGCGTGGGGAACTGGGGGGAACAGTTCGCCTCGAGGGGCCGTTCTCGACGAGGTTGATGAGGGGCTGGAGCTCGGCATCGAGGGGCCGAAGAAGCTCCTGGTTGCTTGTTGGCCCGGAATAAAATAAAACACAACAAGAAGCCCACAAGGCCTCCGTGGTATATATCCAGCCGAAAGACCGTTCAGCCGTCTGGTTCGCCCTCCAGTCCTACTCTCTTCTGCTCCGTCTCCTTCGCCTCTCTTCTTGTCCCATTCTGCCGCCCTTCAACCTCCGTCGTCTGTAGCCGTCAGTCGTCTCGTAGGCCTTGCATCCGCGTTTCATACCCCGCCGCATCTCTCTCTCCCCCCCCCTCCAGCCCTGCTGCATCACATACGCGTAAACAAACAGAACAAACCCCAGAGTCGTATCTCACAATGTCCGCAGCTGTCGGCTCCGTTAAGCCGTCCAAGGCCAATATTGGTGTCTTTACCAACCCAGCACACGACCTGTGGATCAACGAGACCGAGCCCAAGTTGGAAGCTGTCCAGGCCGGAGAGGGATTGAAGCATGGCGAGGTCACAGTGGCGATCCGAAGCACTGGCATCTGCGGGTAAGAATCCTGACGACGGGCGACGTGAGCTTTTGGAGAGGACGAGACTGACAAAGGCCGTACAGGTCTGACGTTCACTTCTGGAAGCACGGATGCATCGGCCCCATGATAGTCGACGGTGATCACATCCTCGGCCACGAATCGGCGGGTGAGATTCTCGCCGTTCACCCCAGCGTCACCCACCTCAAGGTCGGCGACCGCGTCGCGGTCGAGCCCAACGTCATCTGCAACGCCTGCGAGCCCTGCTTGACCGGCCGCTACAACGGCTGCGAGCAGGTCCAGTTCCTGTCCACCCCGCCTGTTCCGGGTCTTCTGCGCCGATACGTCAACCATCCTGCGGTCTGGTGCCACAAGATTGGCAACATGTCATACGAGAACGGTGCGATGTTAGAACCCCTAAGTGTCGCCCTCGCCGGCATGCAGCGTGCCGGCGTGCGGCTTGGTGACCCGGTCCTGGTCTGCGGTGCGGGCCCCATCGGTCTCATCACTCTCCTCTGCGCCAAGGCGGCCGGTGCCTGCCCGTTGGTTATCACGGATATTGATGACGGACGTCTGGCATTCGCCAAGGAGCTGGTGCCCACGGCCATAACCCACAAGGTGGGCCGTGGAACAGCCGAGGAGGAGGCGAAGCGTATCGTCGAATCCTTCGGAGGCATCGAGCCCGCTGTGGCCATGGAGTGCACCGGCGTCGAGAGCAGTATCGCGTCGGCCGTCTGGGCCAGCAAGTTTGGCGGCAAGGTCTTCATCATCGGCGTTGGCCGCAACGAGATCAACTTCCCCTTCATGCGGGCCAGCGTTCGCGAGGTCGACATCCAGCTGCAGTACCGTTACTGCAACACATGGCCCAGAGCCATCCGACTGGTGGAGAGCGGCGTCGTCGACCTCAGCAAGCTGGTGACGCACAAGTTCACGCTTGAGGATGCCCTCGGCGCCTTTGAGGCAGCCAGAGATCCCAAGTCGGGTGCCATCAAGGTTATGATCCAAAGCCTGGACTAGGCTGTGTGGGGGGGCGACATGGTTGGTGTTTTGGGCATACTCTGGCGGTGTTGGCGATCTGGTGCCACGGATGGCTTTATTTTCTCTCTTGTTCTTCCTTTTTCTCTCCCGATATAATTTAGAAAAGGTTCTTAATGGCATTGCATTGCGACATTGCATGTTTGCGATCTGTGTTTTGTGCGAGCGATGTTGTGTTACGTACCTAAGGAAGGTGGTGTTTGGGATCTGGTGTGAGTAAGGATAGATGCGGGATTGGACTAGCAACGTCGATGATACAAAGTGCTTGAAGGACGTGACAATGAGGTGTGATGCAACGGAAATCGGCCAACTAATATAACTGACTGCCAGAGGCAGGCCCGGAATGGAAGGAGGCAGTTGAGACGTAGACCTCTTTCTACTTACCTACCTACCTACCTACCCCAGTACATATCTTGCTGCCCGCCCGTCGGGTTTAGTTCACCAGACAAGCCACAGGCGGCTTCTCTCACGGCGGCAAGAGCTGCTGCACTGAGTACCTAGGTAGTGAAGAGAATACCTGCCCCCCGGCCCCACTCACGTTGGAGGAGAGACCCCCCGCATTTGATTGGCCAGATCCTCAAGCGGCATAACCCGTCCACCTCCCGTCCCTGCCAGCGCGATACGATACGCTGTCCCTTGTACCTGAACAACCTACCTAAGTGAGTGAGTGCCTGACGATTGGGTTTTTCATCTCTTTGCCTTGGCCAGCACCAAGCACCCAGCACCGAGCACCCAGGCTGGAAATCGCACGCACGGACCACTCGTCCGGCTCGCAACAACAGCACAAGCGAAATCTTCCGAGAGGTCGGAGGCAGACTCTGGCAGGAGAGCTCTTTTTTTCACCTCACGCAAAAACATACCCCCATCACCACCCCCTTCCCATCAATTGGCCGCCAACGAAGCTCCCTCTTCGACCCTGGAGCCGCCCACATCGACCTTTTCCGATTCGACTTCTAGATACCCCGTTTTAATCCCCTTCTCTCCGACCTCGACGTCCCCAAACGGTCCTCAAAATGTCTTCCGCTCTCGCCCGCCCGCTGATGCGGACCACCGCTCGCACTCTCCCTTCGCGCCTCGCCCTCCGTTTCGAGTCTACCACCACCAAGAAGGCCACTGAGTCCGCCAAGGATGCCGCCAACAAGGCCAGTGAGTACTCGGCCAAGGCCGCCCAGGGCCTGAGCCGCGCCGCCAGCGCCGCCGGTCCCGCCCTCTCCAGTGCCGTCGGCGCCCTCGGCAAGGTCGGCGGCCGCACTGGCAAGGTCATCAACTTCATCGAGAGTACGTGTCACCCGGGACAAACGGTCCTTTGAGGACTGGCGTGATCGAGAGCGCCTTCTTACTCAACTTTGCTTGGTCAATTGCTGACGGATATGCGACTGCAGAGCAAGTTCCTTGGGTTGTCTATTACTCCCGCGTCGGCCTTGAGCTGTCCAAGATCGTCTTCCACGGCCAGAAGATGGCTCCTCCGTAAGTGGGCCTGGTATTGGAATCGGCCTTTTAGCTTCTAACGGCCGGTACAGCCCCGTCAGCACCTTTCAGTCCTACTTCCAGCGCGCCCTGGATATCCTGAAGAACCCCAACACCCTCCTGAAATCCGTGTCATCGACCGCCAACTCCGCCGCTGCCGCCAAGCCCGCCGACATCGCCTCGCGCATCAACACCGCCTCCGTGGCCTTCGGTGCCGTCGTCGCCGCTGAGTGCCTCGGTTTCTTCACCGTCGGAGAGATGATCGGTCGCTTCAAGATTGTCGGCTACCACGGCGAGACCCACGCCGCCCACCACTAAACGAGCCGACTCCGAGCTTCCCCATCTCGTGTCGATTCGAAGGGAAAACGTGATGGGGGCTGGTTGCTTCCTCATTAATTCTAACTGCATCTAAAGGGAAAGAGCGCAATTGGTGGTATCGGGATATAGAAATCGGTGGAGGGGGGTGTTTTTTTGGAACCATGACGTGAATGCTCGATGCCCTTGGTAGAGGTTCATGTATCCAGTCGCACAGCTCCCGGTCGAGATCTGTTCGACCGCTACGGAGCTGGTTGTCTGGGAAACGCAGAAAGAGAACGGTTTGACGGCCTCGGATTCGGTCGTTGGGTCGCTTCCTTGACAGGCACCTTATTATTTCCTTATGTAGACTCTGTACATCACACGTCAAACGCAGCCCACGCACGCTGCGAAACCTGCCTCCTGCGGGTAAATAACAGGAAACCATTTGAACCAATCGTTTTGTCCCTCTCGTATCTCAAACGCCATCCCTTGGTATAGCGTCAAGATTGGAGCGGCCCTTCTCCCTCGCGCATGCGCAACTCTGCAAGACTTTCAGGAAGCTGCCTAGCTGCGGCAAGAATATGGAACTCGAGTACCAGGTCACAGCGACCCCGAGGCGAGCAGCCGGTTCCCGCGACGGACCTCAAGGTGATTCCTAACTCTTATCTGGCTCAGAACCCGTCATGACACATTGGCTGTTCAGAAAAAGGATGCGCTCAAAACAAGCCATGGCTTGGACCTTGACGGGAAACCAGAATAAGAATGGCCTCTGGGGGAACATCTGGAGATGGCAACAGGACAAGCCGTAAGGCCTAACATGATGGTGCCAAAGACAACATCTCTGAGAAACTCGGCCCCCTTCTGTCTTTTCACTTCATCTCTCATGTGTTCCTTTCCTCTGAGGGGTATTTCAACGTCATGGCATGCCATTTCAAACAATATTCTTACGCAGGCTCACAATCTACCAACATATGCCCTTCCTCTTCGTACTATAGCCTGCAATAAGAACGCGATGGTGTAGTTTCGACATGAGTGTGTCGCCAATGCTGAATGTTTGGACCCTTTGAGAATTGTTGACAAGGTCTGATTTGCGGCCGCCGGCTTGCAACCGGGCGTCTCATTCCCGTTTTCAGTATGAGTTACAACATGCCATCATCGGAGGCTACAGCCTACATGCTAGACCCATGAGCCGATGGAAAGGACGTGCATGAACGGGAGCTTCTGTGTCAGCCTGATCATGATGAATAGCAATTGGCACGGGATGAGCGTTTCCATGTTATGTCGAAATGTTTCGGTGCTTGTCGATCCCCTTTGTCTATGCAGTGTCCAGATACTGATTGGTTGCTCGTAGGTTTGGATTGCCGAATAGCTGTATGATAGCGTGTATGCGTATGTATTTTGAATTATGTTTAGACCTCCGCGCAGACGCACATCACCTTGAGTTCCATATTTCCCATGAGAGCAGCAGATATGATACTCAAGTGAGGCGAACCCCATTTGACGCTTCCTTTATTGATACTTTGTGGCTGGAAATTCAGACTATCCTTTGCAACACAAGCCAGCGAGCATCCATAGGTGGAACGCACCCTTCGTCAGGAATTGGCCTCCCATGCCACGCTTTCGAGATCGTTTTATAGCTCTTGAGTTGTGCCTCGTTGTCTTCATCAACCCATGGTCCACAAAGAGGATGACCGTATGCATCAACTTTGGCCGACGTCTGAATCGCTTCAATCCACAACCCATCAGGCAGCATCTGCTCGTATCAATACAATCCCCGCACCTCGATAACAACTACCAACCCGGTCTCTTGAGCCCGGTTGCGCATCTTCCCCCTGTTTTCGTATAGTATGATCCGGTCTTTCGGAACCCCCCCAAACCAAACACCTCTTTAGCTCAGCTTACACACCACCGCAACCACGACGCTTGGAGCAAGGCAGCAACTGACTTCACCACCAGGCAGAGAACAAGGTCCGAGCCCTTGTATTATGATGCGAATTTTCTGGTGCTGCAGAGCTATTGTCGCGCCGGCTTCGTAACTTGGGCATCAGCCCCATTCAACGGACCTCCCCGGGGACCTGTCCGTCTACGGGCCCAGGAAAAGGAAGCCGGGAAACCCAAAGTTGCCCTGCAGCGTAGTACATCCTGTGAAATACACATATTTCAAGGTATCGATGTCGAACAATGCTTCCCGTGACAACCAGGGGGGCTGCGAACGATTGCTATCATGCCTCTCCTAACCGCATCTGTACAGAACACGACCGAGTACCGCAAGCAGGGGCATGGATCTACCTCCAAGGACTGGACGATATGGATAATATTCGTCCGGGGACGAAGGCCGGAGGGTCCTATCCCCTAAACTGAATACAAGAGTTTGGGGACTTTCGCAAATCCACCGCCACTACCTCCCCACGGTACGGTATCAATCCCTCGGGTTGTCCCATGAAAGCAAACAAAGTGGTCAAATGAGGGCAATGGTTTTCCATGGTGGTGGTCAGCCTAGGCGGGCAGCCAATAAGGACAGTGGTGGCTCACAATACAATATATTGATACATCAGCTGAAGGCGACGAAAGCTTGAGAGACATGCTTTGCCAAGAATATCATCCATGATATTCATATGCAGGGGAAGTATATAGGTGATTTTAATAGTAAGAACTCCCCATCCCGTACCTATGCATCGGACATGCAGGGTATACACACTTTTAAGTCCAGATCCGAGCTCACAAGACTACTATCCAGCACAGAGAACGCAGCCCAGGGCAATCGAGATGAAGCATGTAGTCTCAAAACGGGGCTTCTGGTGATTCCGAGTTTCCGTACTCACGTAACAGCGCTGATGCATGTGGAGAAGCACAATCTAGTCTTGATGAAGAGTAGAGAAAAATGCCAAAGCAAGGCAGTGTGCTCTTGGCCCGGCAAAGATCGAGATCGGCGCCCTTAACCCGCATATCCCTCACCACGTCAACAACAGAGAAGTAGAATAAGTGATAGACAGCAAACGCATCCAAGACAGAAGAAGCAACAGCACACCGGAACCCCCTTCCCCGAGATACGAGGACATCGATTTACGCCTTGGCCCCCCATCAGAGACAAGATTAACAACGAATATCCAATGCTCGTCTCCGCCTCCTCGATTGCCTGCCAGCTCAGCTCCCCCCTCCGCGCCCTCAGTCTCCTGTCACCGAGCCTCTTCCAACGTCGCCATTTTCAACCTGTTTCCCCAGTACTGCCAACCTGGTTCCAGGTAAAGGAGGTGGATCGCTGCGGGCCGTGATCCTGCCGACCCTACCAACGGGCGCAGCCGTCCAACTTCGTGCCCACCAACCTGCAGAGCCAGCTGTTCCCGCATAACAGCTCCCACCCGACAAGCGGCCCCGGCCCTGGAAGCCCTGGGCCAAGCTTGGTTCTGTTAGGGCTAATTCACGGCAAGATACGAGCGGTTGTGGAAGACAGAAGGGAGAGGGAGAGGAAAAAAAGGAAAAGAAAAGCCCTGATTCAAAAGAAAGGGAAAGGGGGGGATAGGAGGCTACTCTTATGCTCGCGTATGGTCCTACTCCCCCCTTCCACCGTAGCCTACACATTGGCTGTCACCCCAAACGGCCACAGGATAGGGTAATGGCCGACGGCAAGACGGAGAGAGGGGTTGACATGCCCATTTTCACGCGAGCCACTCATACCAGGGATCCGTATTCCCGGATCCAGGCGCTCGATCGTGTACAGGCACATTCATAGTGGAAAAGGGAGAGATAAGTAGGACATGTGGGGGTGGCCTTTGCTAATACGTGAGAGCGCATGCACATGTATTGCATCGCGTGTGGGTGTGGGGAGAGACAAGAGGAAGAGGAGGAAGGGGGGAGGAGGGGGCGAGAAGGGCGCAGGGCGGAATTCTGAAGCGAGTGTTTGGGCAAAGAAAGGTCGGCAAATCCACCAACGGCGACTGCAGGGTCCGGAGGCGTCTGGCTTCTCTCCGCGGCATGCACGTCGCACTTCGAGGAGGCTGGTGCGGCCAGCCGACTCCACGGCGTGGGCGAATCCTGCCCTATTCCAACCTCACTCGGGCTGAGCGACACGCCACAGGCAAAACATTGAGAGGGAGAAGGGCAGGGGCGGGGACGAGAAGGAAAGAAGATGCGGGTCGGCAAGGATGGCATTAGGAAAAACCTCAAAGAACGTCAAACGTGCAAACAGGACGGTTCGTCGCGGACCCGGAGATGCGCAAATACACGCCGTTCTCAGTTGCGAACCTGCGGGAGCATGAGCCAACAGCATGAAGCACGTACATGATGTGTTGTTCCTTAGCGGCATGCTCGACCGACAATGCCGTCTTTGCGTTTCTCCCATTTCCGCATATGTATGCCGGTCGGCTAGGCATCTCTGAGCATCTCATTGCCCGGCCAAAGCCCATGCAGTAGTGTAGTTGCCCAACCCGGTAGGGGTCTTTGACGAAGGGATTGTAACGTTGCCAGGTAGCCCACGACTGACACGTTTTCAGTGGAAGGGGCGAAAAGGGCTGGCCAACAGTCCAATCATCCAACCAGGTGTGGCTGACTGGTGCGGATGAGCAATGCGGGCGAAATGTGACCTGCAGAATATGGAGATGGAGATGGAGATGGCAGGGCAGGGCAGAGGGGGGAAGAGAAGGAGAACCAACTGTTCCACAAGGCTCGAGGCCGCAACTCGATTACAATCCCATTTAGGATTGGTTTACTTGCGAACTCGGAAAGAGATGTGGCGAGGCTTGCCGTCAGTCTTCTTCTTCGCCCTGCGCCATAGACCGTACTCGTAGCTCAGTCACAGAACACGACTCGTCAAAGTATGAGAACACCGAACCCGGCCGTGACCCAGGCCGGGCCGTCAGTCAAGGTCTCAAGCGGCCTCATGCGCGGCCGCAATTTGGCATCATTATCCATCACAGTCCGGTTTTATTTTATTTACATAGCCAATTTGTAACAGGTTCAAAAGAAAACAAACAACGGCCGCAGACACCAGCCCTTCCCCATCCTTAACGCAGTCGTGACTCGATCCGCCGGCTGACGTGTCTCTCGTCGGCATTCTCTATCCACACCATCCCGTTTTCCCATGCGCATGCACACCGATAGCCAACGCCTCAAGTTCAGGCCCGCGCTCGACGCCGTGGAGAAAAAAAGGGAAATAACAAGTACGGAAACTCTCAACTACATGCTGTCAAGTGCGCGTCGCTATATTTTTAGTTGGACCGGGCCGTTTCCTCCCCACCAGTGCATTGTAACAAAAGACATAGGAAACAAGAAGCCAAACCGATCTTGGCCAGTACTTTACATGGGCCAAATCAGTGTGTCAGGTGCTTTCTTAGGAAGGCAAAGGGCCTGTATAAGACGAATGATGTTGGTATAACCATATACCACAGTGGGTTAACGCGCCGAATTGGGTTATATTGTTAATGTGTGCGAGGGTCTGTGCTTGCTTGCTTGCATCTAGCCCATGTAGAGGCACTAAAGGCGGCTTCTAGGGGAGGCTTGGCTGACTTTGTTGTATATTCTGTACGACGCGTGATTATAAGCCAGGTAGAGTGGCTTTAGCGACAGATCTACTCGAGCAAGGTGGATTGACATCGCGTAGGAAAAGCTGCAGGTTGGTTGCGAGACTCGTTGCGTCTCCCACCGTGTGTGCATGCATCTAGCCAACGTGATGTGGGCAGCCGGCGGCCCTGGACGGATCGAGGGATATGTGGTGACGTGTGGGACCAGACCAGACTCCGACGAGATCTCAGGCAGGTATCCGCGAGCGTAATTCGGTATGACCAACATGATCGTCCACAATTCCACCCACCCCGAGGAAGACCGAGGCTAGACAGCGACGGCGCAAACCGCATTTCCGAAGGGCTGCAGGGTGGAAATGATGCCGTTGGGTGAAGAAGCGCCGCAAAGGGAATCGCAAGTTGCAGGTTGGCTCGCTGACAACGCGGTAACCGAAGTTATTAGGCAGTTGGCAGTGAACCCGAGGTGATGGAAAGTTGGATGGTGTAAAATAGAAAACATAATCGCTATAGCGGTCCAATTGATAGGCGTCTCTTTGCGAGAGATGTCCGACTTTGCAGGCTCGCCTCGTCTCATTTCGGGCCCACACCGGCTTGCAAACGGGAGGATAACGGCATGAGAATCACCAACGTCGGCAAACCCCGTCTTGTGTAATGGGGAACCCCCTCGGCAGGTTGGGTTGCCCCCTTCCAGATCATTGGCCGGGCTTCCTAGCCGTCCAGACAAACCTAGACTCGTCAATTAGAATACCGCGCTCAGAAGAAGAGCTTGCAGATACCTCGGCGGCAATCTGCATACGGAAACTCACATTCTACAGTAGGCATGGACGTGCAGCCGACAGATATCCATCTTAAGGTCTTCCACCAGCCTGTCCACCTGATGCCTTGGCCAACCTTCTATTTGGACAAAGGGTGCGAGTGTCATTGCCTCAAACCCATGAGTGAGGCCGAGGTTAAACCACCGGCCAATCTCCTGCTCGAATTTGTCGGCGCTCCACGGGTTGATCGGTAGTTTGACTATGTTCTCGGTGATGTTGGTGAAACCCGCGGCGTGAAGTTCGGCTCTAGTATCCAAAATGTCAATTGGTTGCCTGTACGTCTGCATCGCACGTCGCAAGGTGTTACCCCAAAGAACGAGGGGCGAGTCCGGTGGTAAGGTGTTATCGTCGCTACGGAACATCCACTCGATTTCCACATGCTCAATCGAGCCACCGGGCCTGATATGTCTGAAAGATTTTCGGTAGAGGTCTGGCCAGTCTCGTATGGCCCCGAGTAGCATCTGTATATGGACCATGTCGAAGGTCTGCTCTGGTGCTGGCCACGGCGCCTCAACATCGGCGCGCACGAACGAAACACATGTGGGAATTCTAGGGAAAAGTCAGCCTATGTTGCCAAACCCGCGGGGGAATACACGATAACATACACCTGGGGCTGAATGTAAGCAAGGTCGAGCCCTAATACGCGGCCCTGGTTGTCCGGGCCCTTGTAAAGCGAACTATGGCGAGGGTATTAGCAAACGACAGTGCTAAAATCTGGCGCAGGAGGAGCAGGATAGGCTTTCTTACTCGGCGACGTCGATCGCCCAAATGCCAGTGCCCGTCCCAAGGTCAAGAACTTGGGCCCTATCGGGCAGTAGCGCGTCATGTAACTTGCTTTTTCTTGCCAGGAAGATGAGCTTGTGGAATATATCCAGTCTGTCTTGTTCGGCCTAGAGATTGTTAGTCGGGGAAGGGGAGGGCTTCCATCTCTCACAAGTAGACTCTAAGAGCAACTTGCCTCATCGATTGGAAGCAGATATCTTCCTCGCCGAAACCCTTCATAAACGCGGCCGTGATCAGAGTAATGCGACGAGGTATCCGGGGTCCCGCTGGAGAGGGCACGTTAGCGATTGGTCTCAGCGAACACAACTATGTCGAAGCCATGGTATGGTCATAATCATGAGAAAGACATACCTGTTTTGAGACATTGTTACCATACAGACAATATGCGGATTGTGAGACGGGTGGGCTTTGATGGAGGTCGCTGTTCAAGACGAGAGAGCGAGATGGCTGAACAGATGATTCCCCGGTGAGAGACGGAACCGGAACATCAGCCAGGAAGCGCTTGATGGAGACTGTCAAGAGCCGGGAGCAGGAGTCGTAAGTCAGTAGAACCGCCTTGCCTCTGTGGCAGTCTTCCTTTCGATGAACTTTGGCAAGTCAGCTTTGACGAAACATGCGTTGACAAGCGATCAACAGATCAAGCTATGAAATGATGCTGGTGATTCATGAAACATGGAAAGGGAACTAGATGTGGCAGGATTGAGAAGCGGGCAATTTAAGAGTGTGTGCGTGGGTGTGCAGTCTGGACCGGGAAACGAAACGAAGTGATGGCAGCGGTGCAGGCGGCTGCAAGTCGATAGAAGCACTCGCTGATGGCATCCAGGGAATAAGGCCGCCCAGTACAACTGACTTTTATGGAGAAGGGGACCCACGCAAGAGCGAGCCCTTCTTTGCGAGAGGGAGAGGGTGCCGGAAACGAAGAAATGAGCCAGCTGCAGCGAGATGTAACGGACATCAGTGGGAAAAAGAGGGGGGGGGGGGGACTGTGACGAAACTAAAGCCTGTTCCTGCGTCAAGGGATCTGGGTAACTCGACAGCTTCTTGTATTCCGAGGATTGGTACACTGACACCGCTTCTTTCTCTCCCTCTCCCTCTTCTTCTCCCACACGCAGCAGCAGCAGTGATGGCCAACACGAGTGCCACATCAATACATATGACATCCTCTGCACTTGCACTTGCACTTGCACCAGCCGACGTGCGCGAGCGCGCGCATACATTGACTTGAACGCATCTTTCTGCTTTGGGCCCCCCTAGGGCACCCCTTCAGTGCAATACAAGGTTGTCAGCACAACACAACAACTCATGGCCCAACCAACAAGCTGGTGAACGGTTATGTGACTGCAGGACGCCTTTTGCCTTCAAGGCCGGCATGAGGATGAGAATGACAAGGGTTGAGGTGCATTAACTTAGGGCAGAGACAAGGGCCGAATGATGGGCCTCGATAGCGTACCAGTACATGTACCTGCATGCACACAGTTGCAATTGAGCCTGTAGCTAGAAAGGCAGCAAAATTGTACACAGTACATGCGTGCGTGTACTTGTGTGTATGTATGTGTTCATCTGTGGGACAGGCTCATCTTTCCTACATCACCTTTGCTGGGCCTTGGCCATTCTCAACACTGCCACAGGCACCAACCGCGAAGAGCCAGAACAGAGGAGGAACGGATTGTGCATCAAACAAGGCAGGACAAGATATAGGGGAACGGAACAAGATGGCCAATGCTAGGGTGGAAGTGAAATAGAGAGAATGAGAGAATGAGAGAGAGAGAGAGAGAATGAGAGAGAGAGAGAGAATGAGAGAGAGAGAGAGAATGAGAGAGAGAGAATGAGAGAGAGAGAGAGAGACGAAGCAGAATGAGGTTGAAGTGAGAGCCAAGGGGTCAGGCGGCAAAAGGAAATGCGCTGCAATTGACGTACATGGTAAGAGCGAGCGGGGAGCCTCGTCGTGGCTCGGCTGGATGGCCAAAAGAGTCGACTGGGGTCACACAATGAGTTGGAGAGGTCGTACAGACGAGGACCGCGCTGCGGTAATCGGCGGCTTTCTTGTCGTTGCGTGCTTACTGGGTGGAGGCGATAGGTTGCGAGAGAACGGGCGGCGTCGCAGGAGGCGAGAAGCCGTTGGTCGGGTCGGGTTGGATGGGTTGGGGTTGAAGTTTCAGAAGAACGGTTTGGGTTCGATGTCTTGGCGTTGGTGTAGATGGGTTCAGGGCCGAGAACGAGGAAACGAACGGGGAATACAGCCAGGCAGGATGAGGCAGGATATGCGGCAACGGTGAGAAGTCACGTTGACTAGCCAGGCCGAGGCATAAGGAATAGATGAATAAACAAACAAACAAAAGAAGGGCAGGGGAGAAAGAGAGAGAAAGATGTCGACCAGACAGCGGTCAAGTTTCGGGTCGAGTTAAGGTCGCGACAGAGGTCGAGGTTCAAAGTAGCCGCTGGCGCTGGGTGCTGCAAGGTGATGTATGTGATTGACGAGGTTGAAGTCTCTGTTGGGCAGGTTGGGTCGGGTTCGTTTCGGCGACGGGCGGGAGCGGAAGGAGCAGCGATCTGATGGATATGGAGCGAAAAACAAGGGGCAAATACCAATCGCCGAGAGAGCACGAACGCGCAAAGGGCAGGGCCTGCAGAGACAAGGACCTCCCGACCTTGGTACCTGTCTTGAGGGGCGGAGGCTAAGGCGATTGAGTGAGTTGTGTAGTCGTGTGTGTGTATGTGTGTGTGTGGTGTGTGTGGGAGAGAGCAGAGAGGCGTACTCTGCGACGTTGAAAGGGGGGAGGGAACACTGCAAGACAAAGCTTTGCCAGTGAACGTTCCAGGTAAGACGCAAAATCGGTGAAGATGTAGTAGGCGAACGGGCTCAGTGAGAGAGCAATCGTCAGTCTACTGCATACGGTAGTGGTGGTGGCAATAGTGGGGAAGCGGTTAGTGATGGTGCTGCTGTTGCTACTTTAAGATGGTGTCTAGAGGGAAAGGAAGCGAGAGAGATATCCCCCCTCGATCTCGTGTACTTGCGACAGAGAGGTGGGAGGAGTAGTGGTTATTGTTGTACCCGTATGCAAGGTCACCCCAAGTAGTGTGGTTTGATCTGTAGGTCTTGGGGAACAGCACAGCAGAGGTCGTACGTGTAAGAGGCGGGTCGGATCGAGTCGAGTCGTGTCCTCTCGGCCGGTAGAGAAACGGCGGCGGCGTGAAGTTACGATAGATGTAGACCAAAGAAAGGGTGACGTCGTTGGTGGGAGACGAGGATGGAATGACAGCAATGGGCGGGTTGATACTCGAAAGTCGACGAGCAGGTCTTGTTAAAACGTTGCTCTTCTTGTGCAGACGTTGAACACTCTTTGGCGGGCGTTCCGTGGCTCGAGGGGATCCTCCGCTGTTAAGTAAGTAAAGTTAGTGGGCTTCTTTTTCTTTGTTTTGCGCTCCATTCTCCAGTCCCCCCCACCCCCTGTCCCTTGCACTATGGCCGCCATTGCCATCGGTGCTGTGAGAATTGGGGCAAAGGTTCCCGGACCCCCCCCCCACCCCTGGAGACTGGAGGGCGCGTCGATATGATGAACGGGGCTTTGAGATGATGGGCTGTAACTTGGAGATTTGATTACACTGTGCTGTTTCCTACCTTCAAGATCCATTCCTGGCGGGCTTCCAGAGTTTTGCCTTGGCGGGTGCTTGTGATTGTGTGCGTCTCTCATCGAGTCGTCGTTCTATTCCCGTCGTCTCTATTTCGCCTTGCCGACCCTAGGCTTTCTCCTGACCCCGGTCATCATGGATGATGACACTTGGGGAGAGGCATCTGCAAATGCAGATGAGGGCCTGATGTCCTCTTACCTTGACTGCAATCTTAACCCTGGGCTGGGCAGTCCGTCCGAATGGATGTCTGGTGAAGGTATCGAGGATCGAGGAGGACGGCAAGGCACAAGAGAGACCGGTCGGCCAACAAGACAAGGGACAAGATCGGTACCGAGGAACGAACAGGTGGCTCGTGATGTACCTAGGTTAGCTGGGGACCCGGCGAGGTGGGAAAAGTCGATTGAGATGATGTCGTGCGATTGAGGTGAGGTGAGGTTTGGAACAAGACAGGACAGGATAAGACAGGAGCGGGTGGGTATTCATCCACCCACACACTCAGTAGCAGCAGCTCGCAGGATAGCGCGGATGTCCTATACTTTCCCAAATTACCCGGACCAAGTACGCGGGCTGAGCTAAGGCAACGCAACGCAGCATAAGGACGAATGTACGGGCAGAGCAAGGCAAACCCGAGGACGGGAAGCTCCAGTCAAAAAAGACGGGAAGAATGGCGGGTAGGGCATGCATAAGGGAAGGGAACTGGAACCCGTCTACTGGGGCTCCGTGGTTCTATTTTGGCGACCATGGATTGGCGGGCACGCTTTACCGTACTTGTACAGAGCAGAGCAGGTAGGCAGTGAGTGTACCTACCTACTTACTTTGCGTCAAATTCCCACGTTCCATCAACCAGCCTGCCACTGCCAGGATGAAGGCAGGTCCGGGTTTGTTCACCATCGTCATTTCCTTCTCCTTCTCATTCTCCTTGTCCTCCTTCCTCCCCTCCTTCCGCTTCCCCTTCTGCCTTCTCTCGGCCGTGCCTGCCTGCCTGCCTCCTATTTCTCACCTCATCCTACCATGCCGTTCCTTCACATTGTTCCCTTCTTTATACATGGCGTCTAATTACTGCCCTGCCCCAAGTTCGGAAACAGGAACCCACCCCAGTCTAATGCTTAAACTTGGATGCATCTACGTAGGTACCTATGTACCTATCTACCTATTAAAGAGGTGGGAGGTAAGTGTGTGCCTATTTCCGAGCCATCTCTGGTACGTACCATACACCATCTGAAAAACCACGAGAAACCGACTGAGTTTATGTGAGCAAACAGCTTGGCTTGGCTTGACCCTGGGAGGACTTGACTTGCCATGCCTGCATCGCTCTAGCGTACGACATCCGGCGCCACTGAAGCAGCCGCTTGTTCGTCTTCAACCTCGCCGCCGCCCCACGCAACCTGCGGTGGTCATCGTCCCAAAGGCAACTCCCGCCATGTCCCACCTACCTAGGTACGTACCTAGCTAGGTATTCGTCGAATCCAATAGCCTCGTATCTTCTTAGTAGGCTGCACTAGGTAGGCACCACTGCTGATCGGGCCGCACATGTCGATCTGAAACCCGCTCTCGACTGCCCGGTCGGCAAGAAAACGGGTGAGAAAAGGGTATTAGGTACGAAAGGGGGGGTTGTGTGTGTGTCTTCTCTTTTGGTCTCTACAAAGTACAAAGGGAGCAAGTAGTATCGGTAACCCACTGCGAACACCATGTTCCTCACTCTGGTTCACTCATTTCGTTGCATGTCCAGGGTCCGTCCCTCTCACACTCTAGTACACTAGTATGGCAACGGCGCTAGTGTACTATAAGTACTTCGACTATCCGTACCTAGGTAGGTAAGGTACCAGAAGGATAGATTTGGTGGAGAATCAGGGGAGGGTACCCGCCAGCCCATTTCAAATTCCTACCTCCCATGCCATGTTATGTTCCTAGGGACTGAGATATGAACAGGGCAGTAAGCCCTCCGCCCGACGTCTTCTTTGTACGTAAACCTATTTATTCATCAACAACGCGTACGGACGCCCAAAGTTGGGCCATCTCATTGTGGGTGTACGTGTAATAGCCTTGATTCTCTGAGCCACCCATGTGTTATCGGACTGCGGCAGTTGCAGAGCGGCTGGAAAGCGGTAATGAGCACTCGTTGACAAACAGTCACCACCAGACAAGGCCGTGGTGGGTTAGTAAGCTATATCGACAAGAGGCGTCTGAGCCGTACCGGCATCAGTTGCATCCGGACGCTCCCCAGTAAACTTTCTACAATATACTACAAAGCAAGGTACATAGTGCCCGTCACGGTCTGTTGGCTATCCCTTGCTAGAGATCCAAGGTGTGGTTTTAATCAAACAACTACTACGTTACTACGTAGAAGACCTGACTCTGGAGAGCAGTACGGCCCTGTTCCCGCCTCACCCCGACCCCGGTCCCGGCATCGGCCCCGTCCCCTGCAAGCCATCTTGACCAAAGAGACTCAGATGTTCCTCTTCGACTACCTTAGCCCCTTGTATCCCCTCCCGCGGCCCCATTCCAATCGTGCGCGCCTCTCCGCTCAACCCTGATTCGGTGAAACAAGATGGACTCACCCTTTGAGAAGTTGACCGTCGCGGCATGGGTCGAGTGGGGATCAAGTAAGCACCAACGACCCATTGCAAGCCAAGCAGACCAGCGAAGGGCACCCAATTTGTATTTGTGCTGCTAAACTAGGCACCAAAGTAAAGTAGGATACGTCGGCGAACCCGCACGCCTTCAAAAATCAGTTCCGCCAGCTTGTCATTTGTCATGCCACTTGGGCTAAGGCATCTCATTTCACCCTCTAGTATCTATCTCCTTTAGAGGTACGTAGGGTACGGCGGCGTCTCAGGACCGGCCCTCGGTGCTTCTCTACTCCCGGTACCGTCCGATGTCATCCCTGCCTGCCACGTACAAATACGTGTACTGTCAAAAAGAAACACGGCCACAAGGAACAACGGCAACTGCACCCCTGGAACCCGTCGAAGGATGCTCCTGCCGTCATGCGGACATTTCATGCGGTTTCTCGTCATATCGGACACCTTCGGCCGACATCCATCGGCAGACGCAACTGGTTTTTTTTTATTCTTCCTTTTTTACACTTTGCGCTAGGAGAACTCCCCCGCTCGCCAAACACACAAGACTGCCAGACAGGAACACGAACAAGTGATGCCCATCAATCAATCTCGGGCATTTCACTGTTCGGAACCCGCCCGCCTCACCTCTGGCTCAAGTTCCGCCCCTTGAATAGATGCACCTTCGTCTGTCCAATGTCTCTGCGTCACATCAGCGCGTGCTGGTTCTCGGACGATGTCGAGACATAAAGACAGATGAAGCAATCCATAGGGACCTTTCAGACCGTCAGCCCGGAGTCGCCTCCGGTATCCCTCCCCCCGTCGACTAGTGGTCCTACTCTACCTATTGGATGCAACGTTGACAGCCAAGGAAACAAACAACAACCCATCGAGTCCATCCACCGATACCAACTGAGCTCACCGACTCCTCGGTTCCGTCAGATCCAACACGCGCACTTGAATAACCAATCCTTTTGGACCCGTGTACCGGTACTCTACTCTATTTCTCACAAACAGCGACAGCGACTTCTCCGCTAGCAAAAGCAAGTTGCCGGGCGAGACGACGATCATGAGACGGCCCATGTTGCCGGATGTATTAGCGCAGAAAACATATCAAGATGGTAGGTACCTTCCCTACCCAGATAAGTATGCAATCACACATGGGCCAGAGCAAAACCTGACGCACACCGCCCCTCCTCCCCCGCCGCAGCGCTCCCAACCTACCTTGATACACACCCTAGCTCCTTGTTCACCGTCACCGTACATCGTAAATGAGGAGTCGTCACAGTTCCTTTCTCGTCTGGTAACCATCCCACAGAGGTGCAAAGGCGTGCCAAACAGCCATGTTTAATCCGCCTCCACCAGGCTCACTGCCTAACGCTCGTCGGCCACAGCACCGAATCGCAGCTGGCCCGTTAGGGTGAAGCGTCTGCGACGCAACGACGGCGAATCGTTGGATGAGGTACCTACTCTTTGCGCAGTACGCAAGCCCACCAAGTTCAGTTCACATCAACTCCCACCGCCCTGTTGTGGGAGTAGTGTACTTTTCTTTTCTGCAGGGGTGACGTCGGAACACCCAGCTTCTCGGATTCCCCACCCCCTCCCTCCCCGCCGCGACTGGCAACTCGGGTTTCTTGGAATTTTCACGAATCCTACGACGAGTTTAGCCGCCATGACCGCGCACCAGGACAGGAAACCGGTTGGCTGCCTTCCTGCTCCAAAAAGCCGGCTCGGCTTTTGACATGCTCCAGACATCTTTTGGACTACTGCAAAGTTCCGCATTCTCGACAATACTCGTAGAGCTCTCAAAACACGCAACCGACATTCCCGGCTCTGGTGCCTCGAAACTCGTTGATGATAGGTACACCGCAGTTACGGGCGAACCGGACTCAATGGCTGCCAGCGCTTCGAGCGCAATAGCTCTGAGCTCGTCCAAGTCCAATACTGGACTGGTCCCGCGTAGGGCGGCCAGCTTGCAATCCTATTTTCATCGAGACACAGGACCGCCAAGATCCGAAATAACGCAAGCCACCCGTGTCCTAGAAGCGATTTCTCAAGTATACGGATGGATACATGCATCACAATTCGTACCTGGAGGCCCGGTCCCGTGCCTACGGAGTACAGAGTACATGGAAACTGGATCCACGAGATCCTCGTTGGGGCCGGGGCCAGCACGCTGCTCCTTCGCGGGCATTTGATACTCACGTGGCACACACATTATTCTACCACAGCTCGCAGCCAGCTCTCGGATCCCCGTGGCTGGCTGCCTGGATGAGGGGGGGATATCCCGAGCCCGGTGATTGCAAGGTCCGTTCCCAAGAGTCTGGTCGCACCGCGTCATGCAGCCAGCTCACTTCTGCAGCATGGGGGGTGCCTCGTCAGCAGGCTCCGGCGGCATTTGAGGTCCAGCACATGTGTACCCCCTCCCCTCTACCCCCTGAAACACAGATCTCAGTACTTATACAGACAAGGAATTGGAATGAGTTTGGGTCATGCTTATCATGGAGTCCGAAGCGATGGGCTCCAGTCCACTAATTCAATGCCAGGCTGCCCTTGAGAAAATCTCGGTGGCCCACTCACTGTTGCGAGGGGTACGTACGCATCGTCGGAAGCCATGGTTGGTCCCAGCCTGCTGGGACCGATCGGCGCGAGCGGTATTAATTCCACGAGACGGTTGACGACTAAGCGGCTATACCTAGCGTGGCCATGGTCGTCTTTTTGCCCTTGTCTCTTTTCAGTCCAACCAAATCCTTTGTCCTGCAGGCTGCCAGCCAGCCTCAAAAGGGCGTCAAGGGGCCAGATCAAGTCCCCTTGCAAGCATTGGAAGACGGAGCCCTCATCGAACGAAACCTCTGTGATGAAAGTTATATCCAAAGTTCCTTCCAATATGGCATCGATGACCGATACGATGGATGGGGTTTCGACCGGATAATTGGCCGTTGCTGGCCATAAGTTCCACGGCTTTCCCGCTTCCGTTCGGCGCTGCATACAAAAACGTCCCAGGGTCCGTAATGTTGTCTGAGGTTGACATCGGGGTTAGATGAGCTGGCAGCGGTGCTCAACCCTTGACCCCTGACACTAAGGACCCGACACTCTGGTACTGCATTTGGCCGCTACGCTACCCACCCCGTCCCCAGCCACCACCCGACTACGGTACCTAGTCACCTGAGTCGCAACCTACCTACACTAGGTAGCTGCCTAGTGTACGGAGGTGCGTGTCAAAAGTTCATGCCCAATATGCTAGGACCAAATCCAGCTAGTGGACCCACTTAATATATATCTAGCCAATCAGAAAGGCAGGATTAATCCACTGTAATTTCTTCTTTACAGGGGCTAAAGCAAAGTAGCCTATAATAATAACAACAACAATAACACTACCTTTTTGCCCCTTTAACTATTATAACTTATAGTACACGTTAACCCTTCTTTATAGGCAATTATTCTTACCCTCTAGAGCTATATTAGAGGTAAATTAGCTAATAAAGTTACTTAAGCCCTAGGGTTATCTAAGTATATAGTTAATAATATTCTTAACTAAGTAAAAAAGCAAGGCTTTAATCTAACTACTTCTATCTTCTTTTTATAACCTAAATATATTAATAATGCCCCTTAAGCTAGCTAGCTAAAGAAAGCTACACTTATAGTAGCTAAGCTTATTATCTAGAAGGTTTACTATAATTAATATAGTAAAGAAAAGATATATACTAATATTACTAGTAAGCTCTAAAGTAAGCTAGACATAGATCTTTTAGTAATAATAGTCTACTATATTCTTTAGTAAGCTAGCTTTAGAAAAACTAAACTAACAAGGAAGCCTAGCTTAATAGCTTAGATAAAGCAAAAGAGGCTTTCTTAGTGTCTAGCTTATTACTACTAGTTACTTAAGGATTAGAAGAAGGTTATTTAGTTTAATAAGACCTTAGTAGTCTTAGGCTATTACTATAGTAGCTATTATCTATAGTAATAAGTATATAAAGCCTATATAAAGTTATATATCTATACTTAATAGAAAAAATACTCTAAGTTTATATTCTAGGGCTACTTTATATATAATAAAAAAGGCCTTTTTTACTACTAATTACTTAAGTTAGTAGTAATATAAAAGGCTACTAATAAAGAGATTATAAAGTTAAATACTAAGCTAGAGCTAGTTAAGTGTCTTAAATAGGAGTTAAAGAAAAGGATTAGCTAGCTTTAGCTTTAGTAGCTCCCTAGCTATAAACTAACTTTTTACTAAAATACTTATACTAGTAAGTTAGTCTACAAGAGTAAAAAAAAAATTAACTAGTATTATTACTAAAAGGAAATTCTTTTACTAAAGCTTTTCTTATTTATTTATAATAAGTGCCTACTTAGCACTCTTGTTTAAGAGGATAAAGCACCTTCTTATAATTACTACTTTATCTACTAGATATATTTAACTTATAATATTAAAAAGCTCTACTAGTGTAGTAATAGCCTTAACTTTAACCCTATTAAGCTTTACTAGCCTTAGATAAAGTAATTTATAATAAGGAAAAGTGCCCTAGTTAACTAAGCAGCAGCTAAAAAAGTATAGTAATAGTGCTAGTAGGCATTACCTTAAGAGTAAATCTAGGCCTAGATAAAGAGGCTACTAGCCTATATTAAGGCTATTATTACTCTTAATAGTAGCAATAAATATAAGGAGGGGCATTATGCTAGCAGATATTGATCAGAAGTTCTAGACAGGCATCATTAAAATATTAGTAGCAAATTTATTTAGGTGGCTACCCCTGTAATTACCCTTGTTAATTGACATGGGGTGGTCTTGGCATATTGGGCATGAACTTTTGACACGCACCTCCGTAAGGTAGGCAGAGATGAGCAGAGCCATGTGGGCCCTCTTGTGCACGCAGTCTCTGAATCCGAACGAACCCCAGCCTCCGCGGACAATACGCACCAAGGATTCCAGTCAGTAGTCTCCTGTCTTGCCGTGTCCCAATTTGCCAGGTTGACGAATCCTCATGCACTCTCTCAAACCCTCTTGCAAGACTCGGGGACGCAGCAAGGCAGGAACCGACACCTGGGCAGAGCAGCTGCTGATTGGCAACCTGCAGGTCTCGACTCCAGGCTAGTGATCTTTTCGAGACATCGGACGCCACCGACGGCGCCAAACCTTAATCGAACATGACCGGTGCGAGGAGGGACTTTTGCAATGGCCAACGCCAGCCCGGATCGTCTGGAGAGGAATGTGTGCGCCACCCAAGCGCTAGCGGCCGATTGTTCAACCTCGGGCAACCTGCAGAGTGCTCGTGGCGGAGAGGAGAGACATGACAGACAGCCTGACGCTGGTGATGTGAGAGTTTTGCATTGTCACTTACAACCAAGAGAGATAGATAGCCTACTACAGCATCTACGATTGATTGGAGTTGCTATCGCCTGGGTCTACTTTTGCCAACATGTCTGGAACGCGAAACCTCCTTGGGAACCTGTCCACGCTACTGCTGAGTGACTATCGCCTGTTCATCGTCTGCTAGCCACGCAGGCATCGATGTTGACGCACAGGTTCTCGACGGCCCAGGGCGTTCCGTCCCCGTCAAGGGCAAGGGGTTGCTCGTTGGCAAATTTCCGTCCATTCGTACCTTTGGGTGGTCGCTTGTCCGTCGCTCTGATGAATGATGAACTTCCTACTGTACTAGGGTACTTACTATATAGTACTATAGTACTATGGTGTCTTGCACGACAGGCGCTAGTTTGGAGCACAAACTCGGGGGGCCTTGATGGGCTCCACCGAGCAGGCCAAATAGAATAGCCCGGGTGTACCACTCACTCCCTTCGGAAGGGGCAGATCGATTCACAGAAGGCGTCAAATACGCCGACATGATGCAGCCTTGAGCCTCGTTTCGAGGTTCTGAACAGCCCTTAAATCCACTGGGCTGTGCAATGGGTCATCTCGAGGTTCTAGCAGCGCTTTGTTTGAGCCGGGGGTTGTCCCGGTCCAATAGGACATATCCTTGGCCCGCGGGAAGCGTTCTGGAAGCAAAAGTGGACTTCCTCACCAATCCCGTCCGGGGTTTCCGGTTCGTTTTTTTGTCTTTTTTTTATCAAGATGGCGCCCACCTTGGCCACCTTGTTGGCGCTTACCGGGACGTCGTGGACAGCTCCAGCGACGTTGTATCAGCGCCTACATGTACTGTACTCTCATTCGATTCGTGTCATCACTGCGGCTACGGCGGGCTGCTGCAATCGAGTTGCCGTTTATATGCCGCCGTTGGGTCCTGCTCGTCGATCACAATGCTTACGGCATAGAAGTTGCCTACAGCGCTGTAGGCGCTGGCATAACTACCCTTGCCTCGTTGACACAATATACAGTGCATAGCCCACCACATATCAGCGACGCAATGGCTCTGAACAACTTATTAATGCGGCTTGATGATCAATCATTACGTAGACGATTAGAAAAGAAGAAGAAAACAAAGTGTTATACAATCATGGAAGATGCAGCAGGGCCAGGCCACATACAACCAGACCACGAACTGGAGATAAGGTGCAAATCCTCGAGCGCGTATAGATGATTACACCAATTAGACTCCTCCCTTTTAAGCAATCCACGTCCGACATGAGGAGTACACACAACAGCAAAATCTCCGAATGAAGCTAACCAACAAGAGGAGAATTCTGGACGGAATCCTGCAATAGCGGTTCCGAGTTCTCGGGTCAGCACTACCTGCTCCTCATTGACAGACGGAGATCCCACACCTCGAAATCTGGTTTGTTCAAGTGGCTGCTACCCTCTCGGCTTGGATGGCATGCAGGTCACATCCAACGGTAGTTGGTAATCAGAGTACTTCCAAATAAAACTTTGGTATTGACTCGCGACCAGAAAGAAAGACCCAGTTGTTCTCCCAAATGCCAGAGCCAGATGGGCGATTGAAGTGTGCGTTAAAAATCCCATCGGTTTTCATATGCTGGCCGGATGTTCTCAAAAACTCTCGTACCAAGGTCCAGACGGCCGTGGATCGTGACGGCTGCAGAGTAAGCTGCCTGGAAGCAGACCCTATGTGTTCCCGACGACGTGCATGCTCAGTTCGGGCATAGCACGACGCGGGTTACAGCATTTTGAAATCATCATCCAACCGTGATGCGATTCAAACGTCGCGTGAATGCCGTCCACCCTGCTTCAGCCAGTCCTCTTGGCGCGGCCGGAATTATCGAAAGTAAGGGCAAATTGCAAATGGATCGGACCAGACCTTGCATCAAGCTCAAGGGTATGCATAATACATAATACGCAGATCTCCCCTTACCTTCGGGATCATGGGGGTCGGGTTATTCCCTGGCTATTGCTCGAAGACTAGCCAATAATGGGCGGTGGTGCCGCTTGATGGGCGTCTCGCTCTTGTTGCGCCGCTCAGAGAGATTGCATGTTTAGGCAACAGGTAACAGATTCAACATTATGCTAAGCGCCGTCATTGAACACCAGGTCCCCTGCCTTGGAAAGTTGAGAAACAACTGAAATGACCGACTCGTCACACAGCTTCCGAGCGTCTCGCCCCATTCACGACCAGTAGGAACATCGTCCAACTGTCGCGGGCTGCCACGCATGCATCGAGACCCTTCCCCGTTAACGAGACATACCAAGGTGCTTTGTATGAGATCAAAACAGCCAGCGCCATTCCTTGTTCACCAGGGTCGATTCCAGCGTGCCATTCGATCGATGCCTATCGCACACTTTTTAATTTTAGTTTTTAATTCGTTTACCCGTTTGGGCCCAGGGAGGCTGGGGTCGCAGGACAGCCACCGGTGGGCCCGCAACGAGAAAGATGACGATCAGAACCCACAAACCAAGTCTCTCTTATGGGCATTTCTAGACGATGGAACAGACCGCTCTCCTCGACCCAAGCGAGCATGCAAATTAAACGGAGCCCTGCTGGCGGGATGGCAGCCCTGTAGAAGCCTTACGTCGCCGGCGTTTCTGCACGAATACCCGCTGTGGGGTTAGCCATGGGAGACTGGCGGCCAGCAAGCGTTGTGAGCACGCGACGGTGGGCAGGGCTGGGGGTTGTCCAAAGTGGACGACGCCCTTGATTCGTTCCTGTCGATGGGTTCCCTTCTCACCAGCGTGTTCTGGGCCCTCTCGGCCCCGTGGACAAGTCTGGAGAGGAGCTCGCCGTCGTACGGATGGCCCCTCCCTCCGGTGATTACTCGGTACTCATGACCGAGGAGCTCGTTGGCACCCCTCCCCCGGCACCTCAGTTCCCGGTCAAGACACCTGTGCCTCTCTCTTGGGCAAAAATGGTCAAACCACAACTCGATCGCCCATTAGGGGGGTGGGGGTGGATGTCTGCGTCGAGCTCTGCGTCCAGCCGAATGGGCGTGGCTCAACGATACAGCAGTTCTAAGTCATGGAGTGCCCTTCGCCAGTCAATCAAGATGCCAGACGAGGCGAGAGGCGATCTCACTGCGGGCAGAATTGGGGAATGGACCGGCGGTCTATGGTTGACAGGCCGCGCGAGTGTGGGCGTGATAGACCATTCTCCACGCACGCCAACGGCTAGTCGACATTTTTGACAGAGCATTAGGAGACACGGGATCAGACCCGGAATGGGATGTATTGTCTGCAAAGGCTCATGGGCGACCCAGCCGCTGGACCTAGGTCTTGTACGTGGATGTCCCAGTGGCATCTTGGTTCACAGTTGACGAGAATGCAGACGCTGAGACGCCCCTTCGCGGAATGCCGATCTGGCCTTGTCATTTAAGCCCGGGTAGGATGATACACTACTAGCACGAGCTGCTTAGGCTCGTCTTCTATTGAAGCCGTGGTAACGGAGGGCGGGAAGTGTATCCCCCGACACAGTCTCCCCGGGTGCCTTCTGGAAGACAGTGCCGAACGTCACATGGGGAAGGCCGAGGGATGCCGCTTTGAACGAAATGGCCGTGGCTACAGAGCAAAAGGGATGTGGCAGCCATGAAGCCTACATGTTGGTGTGTTTTGACGGGCCAGCCATCTCAGCTTTACCTGTTTTGACCCTTTTTGTCTTTTGATCTGTCGCCGGCCCGTTTGTGTGTCTGACCGCCGGTCCCCCGTACACATGGGATAAATGCCGGCACAGGGAGTCAAATCGAAAGACAAAAACGCATCATTTTATGTTGGTCTGCTTTTTGTTTGTTTTGGAATCTTCTTTGACCGGGCCCGAGGGGAAGGGGGGACGTTGAGAGGAAACGGCTCCAGTAAGGTTTCTCTTGCACGTCTTTCCCATGATCCATCCCCTTTCAAGACTCTGTCTGGGTTGGGCATCTGTGCGGTCTCCGCAGGAAGGGGGAAGGACGGACGCTTGTCCAGTAGACGACAGCCGGCCGATCGTAGGATAGGCAAGGCAACCCAAGAGGCATGTTAGAGTTTGAAACAGTGAGACCGAGACATCGAGTCACGAGCAGCTTTGTGGCATGATCTCGTAGGCGACATGGCCCTTTGGACAATGGGTGACGGTTCCAACTGGGTTGAGGGAGGGCGCTACCATATGCTAAGAACCCCAGGGCAGAGGGAGTAAATCTTACCTCATTGAAAGGAAGCCATTCCCGCAACGGGAACTTGCTTTCTTGGAATACTATCGGCCATCTCGCGACCAGTTCACGTCAACGCAAGGATGGAGAGCAGGTAGAGGGGGTGTTACGGCAGCAGGTTTTATTCTAAGGGTAAGGAAACCGCATGTTTTACTGTTGTACACTTTTGGGGGGTTTGTTAAGTGTCGTGAAATGATAAAGGAGGTCGGCATTCCATCCATGACCTTCCTGATGCTCTCAAAGGAAACCTTGTTCTGATCCGCCTGCCGTGAAATTGTCACCTGCGCCCTTCACTTATGTCGACGAACAGCATGGCTTCAATGAACCTCTTTCTTTCGTCCCCTTCTCAGCAGGTAATGCTTTCTGACGTACTCTCTCCTTCTCTCTCTCCAAGCTCTTGCTTCTGATTAGCGCCAGCCCAGCTCGCCTCTTGGATCTTTTTTTTTTGAATGCAAGTCTCCTTTGTTTGTCAAGGCAAACACCAAATTGCTGCGAGCGATACGGATATACACTCGGGTGCTGGTCGAGAAGGCCCCCCCCAAAAAAAGAAAAAGAAACCTAGTCGCGTGATCCAAGTTGGTTTCTCGCGGCCAAACAAAAACACTGTGTCGAGGGGTGAGGGTAGACAGAGCCGTTCTGAAACGATATTGATGAGGTACCGAGTAGGCGAAAACCAGTGGCCTAGAAAGTTGCAATCTCCTGAAAGAAAACCCCTGAACTCGACGTCGCATGCTCAATGAGTGGGAAGCCCAGTAGTTTCTCATGCCTTCAAAGCCCGAGTTGGTTAAGTGGGCTGTAAAGAGTGCTTTACCACTCGTACTCCCCAGTGGCCTTATGAAAGACATACTCCTTGCCGTTGACGGTAAGAACGCCATCCTTCAAGACGCACTTCCACTTGTTCTTGACGCGCTGGACCTTGTCATACATACAGAGCATGATGTGGCCCAAACCCTCATCGTCAACTTCATCTTCGTCCTTGTCTTCGTCGGGGTCGTCAAGATCCGAGTTGATCGCGTCTTCATCAACTTCATCATCGTCGTAGCCATCGTATGAAGCTATACCATGCTCCTTACCCTTGGAGCGCGTGGCGGCGGCAGCAGACTTGTGTCTCGTGGCTTCCTTGAGTGGTAGCATCAATCCACCACCCTCCATGCTCTTGGCGTTCGCTGCAATCTGTGCGTGTATCATGCGGTCAATGTCGATGCGCCCGAGCTCGCGTTCGTTGCCATTAGCATCGCGGTGAAGTAGTACACCTTCAAAGTCGATGTCGTCACTAGCCCCATCGGTTTGCGAAGGATTCACGCCGGGTTGACCGTTACTAGGGGGGCGTTGCTGCTGCAGCTGCTGGCCTTGTTGAGGCACGCCAGGCCGGTACTGCTGCTGCTGTTGGGCAGGCTGGCCAGGCATCTGAGGAAGAGCCGGCTGGCCGGCAGGTCTGTTGGTCGCCGAGGCTTGAATGGCATTGATAGAGCCGGCTCCTTTCTCGCCGAATTGGCCCTGGATATGTTGAGCTGCGCGGTAAGCAGCAATGCCGGCACCCTCCTGCTGAGCCGAAGGCATAGGCACATTCTGCATGCCGGGCTCTGGTTTGATGTACGGCTCCTCCTTGACTGGCACATTTCTAACTTGGTTTGCAGGAGGGGCACCAGGCAGAGGAAGGCCGGGTCCTGGAATCTGAGGACTCAGCTGAGCCTGAGAGTATGGAGCGGCTGGTGGGGGCGCAGCAGTCGTTGGCGGTGGTGCAGTAGGAGCAGGTGCATCCTTCGGGGGATCCCAAGGGAAACTCGCCACCTCGAGCTGGGACAGCTTTTCCTGCCAGCCTTTCTTAAGTTCATCGAGAACGCTCTCATCAACTCCGCCCTCTTCGAAATCAACGCGCGAGGAGTTTATGACCTCGGCGATGATCTGTTCATAGACCGCACCGACCGCGTTGTTCGACATGGTGAAGATTGGTTGACAGTTATCGCGTGCGTATTTGTCGGGGAGTTCAGCAAAAGCTAGGCTTCTGGGGGCGAGAAACCCAATGGATGAAGCACCTGGACGCACTTTCCGCTCCACGCAACGTTCCTTCCGCGGGATAATCGATCGACTGTGGCGAGTTTTCCGTCGTCACGCTGTAGGTTGCTTGCCGAGTCAGAGAGGATTGCCCGTTTGACGTTCGCCTGCCTAATCCACCACTACTTGCTGCCCAGAATGGCGTGCGCGCTTAAAAATCGACGACTGCAAGGCTTAGATTGAACTCTGGAAGTCTACTTCGTAGTTCTCGTCGACTCCAGTTGGTGAAAGGGGCTCGCTGGTACCCTGATTTTGCGACCGTTGGTGTGTATGGGACAAGGTTGTCTTTGTTGTGGATTTCGATTTGAGGATCGAAGCAGGCGTTCGTTTGCCCATTAGTAAGCTGCCTACCTGCTGCGGGAAGGCTAAACTCAGATAGGTACTGAGGCAAGTGGGTACGTATCGGTATTTAATGATCATCTAGGCCCCATTCATATGATAAGATAAGAAGACGAGTGGGTTGTACACTACCGTATCCTCTGGGCAAATTGGCCAACCGCTAATTCTCAGGCTAACGGCAAAGAGTATCGCGGCCACCAGATAAGGGCTAGCGTGCTGGCAGAAACAGGGATCTAGAAAGGCAAAAGCAGGGGTTAGTCATTTACGTCAGCAGGAAGTTAAGGCGTAAGAACAGTAAATAATGGGCAAGTGGGCAGGTGGGTGGATAGGTGGGTATGCTGACCGCTTTCTATGATAGGTTTAGCGCTATGAGCGGCCACTTTCCCCTTTACCGTTAGCCCGAGAATTAGCGGTTGGCCAATTTGCTCAGAGGATACGGTAGTGTATGTCCGAAATGCGGGGTGAGGGAGGACCGCAATTGTACGGGGCAGATGTCTCGACTCTGTGACACATGTCGGCATAAGCCTTCAAAGTGTTCAAAACCAGTTTTATTTATTTGAGGGTGGCAATCTGTCACTTAACTACTGCTTACCCCCTCTGATCAAGAAGCACGTAATCAAGGTGCATTTCTTCAAAAGCAGTACAAATCAATCTGTCCCCTACTGGGCCAGTAATGAATGGTATCGTATCGTCTGCCGTTACTCATGACCAAGCAATTTCATTTCCCGTCGTGGAGAAGCCCTTTCATGCCACGCAGAGTCGGATGCAACAAAACCCAAACTCCTCGCTGAAGATGACCCCAACCGCCAGGAACCCATGACCGACAAATGCCAGAGGAGATATACCTACATTTGATGACGTCGTTGGACCGACATTCGCCAGGCTTGGTCGGTAAGACATTTACCGAATCGTCATCTGCTTGACCATGTCCGCCTTGGCCGACGAGGTGCTGCTGCCGAGACCGGCGCTAGTTCCCGCCTTCTTCTCGAAGACCTTCCAGAACTTCAAACTCTCATCAGCGGCTGGTGGGCGGAATTAGCAAATGTCATAGTCGGAGTACAGTGAACTACATGTTTCTGACTTACCTGCGGTAGCAAGCATCTGTCCATCGGGGCTGAGGCAGCTGTGCAAGACTCTGCTTTCATGCGCAGGAATCTCAACGTTGCGAACCAAGGTCGGGTAGCTCCAGATGCTGAGCGAGTTGTCGGGAAACCCGCTAGAGCTGACAATCTCGCGGTAGTGAGGGCTCCAGCGGAGGCTAGTGACCTGCGAGCCGGTATCGATACTGTTGACGCGAGCACCCGAAGTAGAGTTCCAGAAGTGGATGTGGCGGTCATACGAGCCACCACCCGTAGCCAGGAGGTTCATGTTCCATGGGCACCAGGCAAGGGCCTTGACAGCGGCCTTGTGGTTGGTCTTGGTGAACTTGGGGACAGAAAGGGACCGGGCATCCCAGATGGAGACGAGGTTGTCGTTGCCTCCAGTAGCAAGCTGAGCGCCATCAGATCGCCATTCGAGGCCACAAACCTCAGAGGTGTGCGAGACCAGCTCTGCCACCTTGTGCTCCGCGACGCGGACATCGTGATTGAAGACAAGTCCGCTGCGTGCACCGGTCGATAGGAGGTGCTTGTTCCAACCCATGACACCAACGCGGGTGTCGTGGCCAAACATGCTGCGAACCTTTTGAGCCTCAGCAACATCCCAGATCTGGACTTCACCGGTGCCAAGCCCGACACCGACGTACGCGCCGTCACCAGACCATTTAACACTGCTGACATACGTGTCAGGACTGGTCTCGAGAAGGCAGCTGACGCTTCCCTCGTCGGCGGACCACACGTAGACGTTGCGCTCAAGACCGATGGCGACCTGGTTGCCAGAGCTCCAGTCGAGAAGGTTGAGGTAATAGTCGTCAATCAAACCAGGAGCGTCGAGAACACGCTCCGGCGCGGTAGCAACGCGACGGCGGAACTGGGCAGAGGTAGCGCTGGCAGGCTTTAAGGGACGGTTGTACTGTTGACGAAGGTCGATAGGCTTGGAAGACTCAGGAGGTGCAGGCTTGAACTGAAGGATTCGGGTGTTGAGACTAACGCCGCAGGCACTCGCAAGAGAATCTTGGTAGGCGACCGTGTTGGGAGAAGGACGGGAATAGGTAGCGGGCTCCTCGTCTTCAATGTTGAGGCCCTCAAGGGCAGCGATAGCGTCGTCGGTAGCAGACGAAAGAACGTTTGAAGACTCGCTAGAACTAGCCTTGGACCGCTTGTCGGGACGATCAAGTTTGCTGCTACCTGCGTTGGAGATGGCGGAGCTAGCGCTACGGTTGGGGATGAACCGGTCACCGCTATAGTTGACGGTAGTCTTGGCTGTCTTTTGTCTCAAGGAGCTCTTCTTAGACTTGGCGCTAGAAGGAGTCTTGGAGACCCCAGAGCTGGTCAGTGTGAAGTCGGAGACACCAAGCTCAAGAGCTCTGCGGGGAGTCGAGACACCTCGGGCAATGTTGGACTTGGGCGAGTCGCGGTGGGATGACTTGGTTGTGGTGGATCTTGCCAGGTGTGCGGTCAGGTTGCCACTATAGGTCGACTTGCCAGATGCACGGTAGGCATCGTTGCCCGACTGCTTTTCAGGGGTGAAGGGAGAGGAGTTCAGGTTCACTGATACAGAGGTGGTCGAATGCTGACGGGGGGAAGGGGTCAGAGGCATCCGTCCGCCGGCGGTACGGGAAGAGAAGAGACCCTTGTGGGACTTGATGGGTGTTGATACTGATGCAGTGGCCATTTTGAATAGCGTATGTATGTGGTATCGTGATAAAGCGAGTGGTTAATCTCCGACGGATGCAACAGATGCGCCGAAGGAAGAGGTATTGAGAGCTCCGAAAATCGAACGAGCTCCAAGAGACTCTAGCTAAAGGTTCCTGGATATTGTGGTTGTTGTTAGTATTCTGTCGTTGTGTGTTGCTCGAAAGTCGAAGTAGTGCCTTAACAAGAAAGGCTGCAAGTCGGAGGCGACCAAATGGCTGAGGACAGCAATGAGATCTAATAGACTCTGGTTGTTCTTGCGGGAAGGCTGTTTGAGAGGTTTGACCCAGCTTGAGGGCGTAGAAGAAGGGAGTCTGAGATGGGTGTGAGGGTGAATAGTGGAAGTGATTGAGGTTGGATATGGAGAGAGGAGAGCTTCAAGCTGGTCGGGAACTCTCACATCTTTTATTTACTTTGCGCCCCACCTACGTTGCGGCCGGGCAACGACGCTTGGACCAGCTCTGCGAATTCGACAAGGAGCCGGGTGTACTCTGGCAAGGGGCGCTGGCATTGCTGCCAATCACGTGGTCGTCTGCTCAGGCTCTGCCGCTAGCCAGGCAAGCCAATCAACAGAGGAGCCCCTCTTCACACCGTCTGCAGTTGCCACGACAGGAGACGGAGCCTCGGATTGTCAATGCAGGAACATTAGGACCTCCACTATTCCAGCGTGCGACGGCAACCATCGCCGTACGCTATCGAAACTGCATCCTGCGGAGCAATCCTATCCTTTATCACCCTCTCGTTTCGCGCCCCTTCGTTGCTGCTCACACTACACTCCTGCTCAGGCAGCCTACAACACAGAGACATCATCTTTTCAGCGACTTCGGCGATTGAGATGACTTGTTAGCAACGTTGCCCATCATGGCCCAGCCCCAACCGTCACCAGCAACACCCGGAGCGCTGTCTCAGTCTCTTTTCGGCGGACCCGCCTCACAAGCCTTGACGACGCCGAATCAAGCCTCGACTGCGCTGTCGCAGCCGACTCCGTCGCCGATGGACCAAACACCAGGATCGGCCACGTCGAGCAACAATACCTACATCATGCCCAACTCGCCTATTAAGAACAGGGGTACCTTAGATGGGTATCGTCCCAGGGTGACAAGGACCTTGGGGCAGCGACCGGCATGTTTGGTCAACGCCTCGGTCACGTACTGCGGCAACAACCACATCTATGCCTTCGGAGGTTTTGATCAGTACACCGATGAAGTGTACAACCACGTTCTCAAACTGGACTTGGTCAGCCATCAGTGGAGTCTAGTGGATAACTACGGCGATATTCCCGGCGTACGCATGGGTAAGCTCTCTGTGGGATGACGCGCAGTGGCTTTCGTCATATCTAACACGGAGTCTAGGCCACACGGCTACCCTTTATCAAGGCGACAAGTTACTCGTCTTTGGCGGCGAAAATGAGCATCGAACCTACCTATCCGATTTGATTATATTCAACCTGAAGACAGCGCATTGGACACAGCCCCAAGTTACAGGTCCTGTGCCGAAAGGTCGGGCACGACACGCGGCAGTTCTGCACGAAGACAAGCTTTTCATTGTTGGCGGCATCACCGGTCACGATACTCATGTTCTCGACGACATTTGCTACCTCGACCTGAAGACCTTTACCTGGTCACGATCCTGGCGTTTCGTAGGTCGATTTGACCACTCGGCCTATATATGGGGTGACAGAGTATGGGTCTTCGGCGGGCTTTCCGAGGATATGGACAAGATCGGTGATCTCTGGTGGCTTGACCTCAAAGGGAGTCCAGCTTTCGAATCCACACCTCAAGTTGGTATTTACGATCGTCAGGCGGGTATTAGTCGAGCTGTTGGCTCGCCGCGACAGCCCTACTCACTGGCACATCCGCCGCCAGTCGTTGGTACGTCTGGGTATGCCGCCAACTCCCGGACACAGCAGGTAAACCCGCCATCATTTCAACTCAAGGCTTTGGCTCCCATGGCTCCCGGAACCATTTCGTCCCTCAAGTTCGTGTCCGGGCCCAACATACCCTCACAAGGGTCTGGTATCCATTTTCATGTGTACTCTTCGGGTACCCTCCTTGACTTCGTCACCCCAGCGGCAACGATTACTTCCAAGGAGTGCTCTTTATCAGCCTTGGATCTGGCGACTCTTCGATGGCAAAAGCTCGCTGAGGGCCGTGATATATTCAAGTCGGGCTATCGTTGGCACTACTGCACAATGAACGAGGATGGCACGAAGGCTTGGCTTCTGGGCTGTCCAACCGACCCGGCTGCATCGGATTTGGGCCCTAACGGGTTTGAGGAATACCTCAGGTGAGTTGTTTCAGCAGGACCTGGTCGTACATGTCTTTCTGACAAGACTTCTCACAGTGATATCATGGAGATTGATCTGCGCCGATTTGGCTTCCTCGGGAACAACCTCTCCTCTGAGCCACGCATAGAGTCGAGGCCAACGACGCGAGTGGTTGACCAGCCTTCCAAGGGCCTTGGTGCTGATTTGGCTAAATTATTCGATCAGCCTCCTGAGAGTGGCAGTGGTACTGACTTTGTCATCACAGCCCTTGAGGGCGATTACGAAGACGATGATATGATGAGCCGAGCTGCTGAGGCCTCTGCTGACCAGAACTGGTTAGCACCTGACGCCCCTACGTCTCAACCGATTCACGTTCATAAACTTATCCTTCAAGCTCGCTGGCCGCATTTTGCCCGACTTTACAACTCCCAGATGGCAGAGTTCCATACCAAGAAGATGCACATCCCTGAACCATATACAGTGGTTAAGGCGTTCCTGTATTACCTATACACAGACAGCATCCATGGAACATCAGTCAATGAGAGTGGCGCCACTACGGACTTGTCGGACGTGGCAGGCCTACTGGTTATGTCAAACATTTACGGCATTCCCCATCTCCGGCTGCTCTGCGTGAATCGACTTTCCAAGGAGCTAGATGTCGATCATGCCTGTATCATCTGGCACTGTGCTGGGCTTGCAAATGAGGAATGGCTCCGCAAACGTGCAGCGCAGTTCTGCCTCACGCACTGGGGTCGCATCGTCCGCACACAGGGGTTCCTGCGACTGCCACGATCAGCGCTGGTTGAGCTGTCTCAAGAAATTGATATGGAAGGCCGCGTTGTGGGTGGCGACGAACTGGAGTATGTTGGCGGGCTGGCAGGCTCACGTTTTGGTGACGGCTGTTCCATCGTAAGTCGGAAAGAGAGTATCGGCAGCAACCACACACAGTTGCTTGACAGCGAGGCCGATGACGAAGATGGCATGGAGATGAGCTGAGGTCTTATGGCAAATAGATGCCAAATGGTAAATGTTGCAAATTGCGCTTGGTCCCGCAAAACACTTTGCTTGCTTCAAAAGGGGGACATGCAGCAGGGGACGAACTGGTGGTAAGGTACTCAAGACCAACTAAGCTGCTAGACGTGCTGGCACGGTCTATCCACCCTCACTTTTACGATGGCGAACAACGACGAGATGGCTTAATGCATGGTCTGGTGTTGCTTGTTTTACTACAGGTGCGGTTTTTGTTTTTACTTGGATGATGGAGTTGTGGCCTTGTATTGTAGTCTTTATTGTAGACAGCGATATCCCTAAAGTTTAGTAGCAGAGAAGAGATTTGCTTTTTTTTTTCTCTTTCTCTTCTTCACCTCGGAAGTGTCTTCGATTCGATTCACACGTTCATTCTATAGTATGGGAGATTTTAAAGCGCAATGAAAACAAAAACTCGAACTTTTCCCATCCGATGTCCGACTTCGACGCCTGGAGACGAATCATGCGTCATCAACGCGCAACCCCAAAACCTTGATGGGAGACAATCATCTCCAAAAAGACAACGAAAACAACAAGGCAAGGAACTACTTGATGGCCGCGATACAAAATAGCCATCCTTGTCTGTGTTTTTCTTTTTTCTTTTTCTTTCTTTCTTCCTTCCTTGTCCAAACTCATAGAAAGCCACCTTCCTGACCAGATCCATCCATCAATCATGTCCCCATGGCCCTTCTTTTGGCCTTTTCATGTATCTCCGTGATAGCATCCTGTGCATACACATACTGTAAACGTGCCTGCAACACATTCGTCGCCTGCCGTTCCCGATGGCAAGGAAAAAGACGCCCCAACGCGAGGCAGTCGAATTATCGACGAAACTCAATCAGAAAGAAAACCAAACAACGCTGACCTCCTATCATGGCCTCGTAGCCATCTACGCTCGTTCGCTACCGCAGAGGCGCGTATTAATCTAAAAGGGGATGTGCCGCGTGCCAAGCGTCGCAAAGCGATACTGGTAAGTCTATGAGGGTATAAAAACGGAGAAGAGCAGGCTCGGTCGACCAAGGAGCTGTCCATGAAAGCAACGAAACGCCACGCCGTATGCCGCAAGCCACCTGTGGCCAGAATATATAGTCGCGACTCCACGACCGGGGCCAGGTTGCAGGAGAGATTTGGGTGACCACGATAATCTTTCGAATGTACCAACCGAGTGTCGGGACCGGTGAGTGCGAGAGAATCCCCAAGGTCGAAATGCTCCGTTACATCATCTGGTCTTCGCCGATACCGGGTAGATTGGACATCGAGTTCTCCATGAGGCCCGGCAGGCTGGCGAGGTTATTGAGCCCCGCAGCCAGGAACTTGAAGTCGGGGTTACAAGGTGCCGAGTGTCCTTTGTGCTGTTCTTCGGGTTAGACTTGACAGCTCGATAGTTTTGAGGTAGGAATTGAACTCACGTATTTGAGACCGTTAAGGTTCTTGTAGCGCTTGCCACACACGTCGCATGAGAACGGCTTCTCTTTCTCCATTCCCAGCGTGCCGGGATACGGTGTGCTGGTTTCAGGGTTGACGATTGAGAAAGTTCCATCGCCGTTTTCGTGCAACTGTTGTGTCTGGTGACCGTGCGTCTTGTGGTACCTGTTTCGAGTCATGTTCAGCCACAAACTACATTAAATCGACCGAGTCAAGAGAAACTTACTTGAGACCGTTCTGGTTCTTGTACGCCTTTTCACAGCCAATGACAGGACACTTGAAAGGCTTATGCTCCTCTGGAATCATCATTGCCCCAAACTTCTGGATGAGAGCCTTGTTGGCGGCGCTATTAGGCTGGCTAGGGTCGAATCCCATTCCAATGAGGTGCGCTTGGATAGCTCGTTGCTGGTTGGTTAAAGCACCGCCAGGGCTGAAAAGATGCTTGCCGGGGTCATTGATGCAGAATTCGGAGTTGCCGTTGGAGTTGCCGAAGCTTACGTCCCCAAAGTTGGAACCGTTGAGTTCCATGTTGCCACCCATAGGCATTCCCGGCAGGTCTTCGTCCATGTCGTCCATAGAAGGCATCTGTGAGTTTTGGAGAAACCCGTTGTTCGGCCTCTGCTGCTGTGGCGTTGTTTGTTGAGTAGTAAGCGTGGGCGTATTGACAGAGGATACCGTGGGGTTGTGCTGCAGACCAAAGCTTGCGGCTGCAGGAGTAGGCGGCTGAGATGTCCGAAGACCTTGAGTGAGACCCGAGGCGTTGACGTGCAACTGGGGTCTTTGCTGTTGACCAAACATTTGTCGAGTCTGAGACATGGTTCTCTGGCTATCGTCCATCTCCATTGTTCCCAAAGCGTCGTCCATCTCCATGTCACCAACTGCATCCATTTCGTCAAGATGCGACATCTGTGCGTGCTGTTGACCAGACATGTTCTGCTGACCAAGCTGCATCCCAAGACCTCCTATGCCCCCGCCAAGATTAGAGCCTGGGCGACTTTGCTGGCCGAGCTGCGACATGGAAGTTGTGTTTTGTTGCTGAGTCTGGGGCCTTGCGCTGCTGGCTCTGGAAGATGGCTGGGTAGGTATCGCGGCGAATTGAGAGGAGAAGGGTGCGTTGCGCGCTGTGTTTGGGCTGGGCTGAGTATGCGATTCTTCATAGTGCTGCAGAAGATCGTGGAGGTTGGGCAGGTTGAGACCGCAGCAGGTAAAGTCCTTCATGAAGCTAGCCTCGAGTTTAGGCAAGTAGGAACCAGAATGGAAAGATGGCGAGGCTTGGTGGGCAAACGGTGATGTGCCGGCCATGGCAATGCTAGTGAGAGCGGTCAGTACGATTTCTTGCGCGCAAGGGCAGCGTTTTAGTGAGTTGGGCAACATGTGGCAGGTCGCCACCGAGGAATGCGGGAGACGCAGACGATGAACTGACGCCGGGTATGGGGGACATACTCATCGCGAATAAAACTGCCGAAAGACATTCCTCCCCAGCTTGCGCCGCCCATCAGGCTGCCTGCCAGGGACTCTCGTCGTTGGCGGTTGACATGATCGCGGTTAGGATTCGCCATAGAAATTGGCTTGGGACCAGCGCTGACAAAGGAGTCCTGACGACTCCGACCCATGGCCGAATCCATGGCTGGGCCAGTGGTCATATCAATACTCTTTGTCGGAGGGGGAGGAAGAAAGTCGAAAACGTCGTCGGGCAAGGCGAACGGATTTCTGTCGAAGCTAGATTTGGCGGGGGGCACTGGAGGGGAGGTGGATGAAGGGTCCCTCGTGCTTGTGGGTGTGGCAATGGTGATTGGCTTGGAGGTCCAGAGGCCTGCGCGGGAATCACGCACGTCCAAAGGATCGGTGGGCGTGAGTGGCTGAGGGGAGGGAGAGTTGGGGGTGAGAGAGACAGAATTGGAGGAGCCGGGTGAAGGAGTCGCAAAGGCAGCGTTGTCAAGAGTAGAAGATGTAGGAGCGGCGGCGGCGGCGGTGGTGGTGGTGAAGGAGGAGGTCGACGCACGATAACTAATATTATCGGCGCTGGCGTAGTCACTTCTGCTGGGCGTGCGCCTGTCCTCGCTGTTGTGGGCGGCGGCGGCGGTGGACCGGGGCGACGGGTCCCTTGGGTCCTCGGTACTTGTTGGGTTGAACCAGCGAAAAGCGCTCCTCATGACGGCTGGAAGTAGCCGTTGTATTGGGTTAGGTAGGGGGGCCGTGGCTCCCAGAACGTTTCTCGACCCTTTCTGTGGGTACTTATTAAATCGGGCCACTTGCTGCAGCCGTCGGATGAGCCCCGAAAAAGGAGATCGAGTCCGCGTCTCAACTAGCAAGATGTCAAGAGGGCCAGGTCGGAGAGAGAAAGCAAAGGGTAAAAAAAAAAACGAGGGGTGGGATTCTGTAAGATTTGTTTGTGCGGTTGCCTTTTGTTTTTTCTGTCTTGTTGTATTGATCTGATCTCTCCTTTTACACGCTGTTGTGTGGATGTGTTTTCTCACTGGAGAAAAGCTCGGGAGATGAGAGGGGGGGGGGGGGGGGGGGGGGACTTTCGGCAGAAGCGACTCGCTGTGGAAATATATGGATGGATGATGGCAGCTGAAAGTGAAGGATGGTGGTGGTCGAGGTACCCTGAGGCCAAGCCGCCCTGTACCTGATTGAGTAGCCGGTTCACCGTGGTCGACCAGGGAGGCGAATAAAGGTGGGTTGGGGGCCGACCGAGGATGGTGTTTCCGGCGACGGCGCGTGGTATTGGTAATGACTTGTAGAGTCGCGTCGAAGGCCAGAGACGAGTCCAATCAGGGGGGGGCAAACGAAGCCGACTTGATCGTTTTTGCCGGAGTACGCAAGTAGTTGGCCTTTAAGAAGCAAGCCCGATCCAGCGCTGGCCGAGAATTGGTGTAGGTAGCACTGTTGATGACGGTTTGATGATGCCTATCCTCTGACTCTGCGACCGAAACTCTATCTAGGGCCGCTGAAGGCCCTCGGGTGGTGAAGCCGAAAGGGTTTGTGGCGATCTGATTCCAGGTTATCGAAAGGCAGAGGACAGACGCCTGGTCAGTCGAAATGATTCGAGAGGAGCTATATAACGATGGGCGGTTGATTGGGTGGTGCCGATGTTATTTATTATGATTATACGCAGTCGTCTTATAGTCTGGGCAAGGTTGTTCCAGTGGGTGCCGTATACTCAGCGCTGGCTCTAGTGCAAGCACAGCTGTGAATGCGGTAAGGTAAGCCTGACAACTCGACACGACAAGCCTGTTTGTCGAAGCAGCTGAGGATTGGAAGCGATGGGCGTGAGTGGTATGCAAATGTGATCTGTAACAGCGGTTTCTGTCAAAGGTCGAGGTCAGAGCAGACGTCGAGGAGCCGGCTGGGAGGGGGGAAGGGGTTATGAATGAGAAGATGGACGGTAGATCTGGATGGAGATGTGCATGCATGCGTCGACTCGACTCAGGAACAAATCCGGGTTGCCCTGGTGTCGGAGTCAAGGTGGTGGGAGGGTATCCATAGGATAAGGCAGAACAAGAACCAGAGCACACAGAGACGGCCTCTCGAAGAAAGCTCGGCCGATGTTTAGGGGTTTGGGTTTGGGGTGTCTTGACGACTGGGGTATGATGAATCGAGGTCACTGGTTGCTTTGGTCTACGATCGACTGCGATTGCTACCTACCTACCTAAGCATTCGTTGCCATTACCTCTTGTCTACTTACCTAGGTAGGTAGGGTAGGTAGCTAGGCATGCGTAGCAGCAACATGAACCGTGGGAATGGCAATGGGAACTAACGGTCCGTATCGTCCGTACCGTTGGAGTCTCCCCTTCGGCCTTAGAGAGAGTGTCAGGTACGTCGATTCAACATGGTTGGCTTTTGATGTCTCCAGATTGGAGCACGAGTTTGCTGTAGGTAACAGTGGCCCAGCAGCATTCAGTGCCCCCTCTTTCTCTCCTCGTCCCAAAGACAAGGCAGAAAGGAACTTGAAGAGAGAGAGGGCAGGGGCTGGAGGAAGACGGGCGAATGGCACCACACAGACGCACACCTTAACTGCAAGTGTGACTCCTCGACGACACAAGGTGGAGGACGGCTAAGGTGAAGAGGCGTCTGATCTTGTCTGATGTAGCAGGTACGCTGTTGAGTCCAACTCAGCCTGGGGCAAAAAGAGAAGAGAGACTGGGAAAAAAGCCGTTTACCCATGGACTTGGCTGATTGGTTGCTTGGTCCCGGAGGCAGGACGAAGGTACGGATACCTACACTACGACAGGTACCTACATCGTACATGCCTACAGGCTACAGAGGTGTGCATGTAAGGCAGTCAGGGTGATGCCTAGCCAGTAACTTTGTGGGTAGTGCAGAGCAGAAAGAACGGCGAGGTACGTAGCGTGGAACGGGCTCCTGCTCCACATTAACGATGGAGGCGGCAACGGAAGGAACCAAGGAGGGAGACAAGACACTGGAGTCGAGACCGGGCAGGCAAGTGCGTCGCGGGGCACAGACGATGGCGGCGAATGAAGATCCCAAAGCAAGGCAAGGCAAAGCAAGGCCATACCCGGCCAGAGCGGGCCAAGGGGACCTCCTCTTGTTACTCTCCAGGCAAGCAGGAAGGGACGTCGCACGGTGCGGCAGACGAGAGAGAGAAGGATAGGTAAGTAAAAATTAAAAAAAGCAATGACTTCAGTGTGTGTCGGCAAGCTGGCGCCCGGGGGCAGATAGACTGACAATACCTAGATGAGGCAAAACCAGGGAGACCAAAAAAGAAAAAAGCAACAACCTACCTAATCAAGACGAGGGCCTACCTGCACGTGAGCACATCGACGTCCCATTTGCATCAATCAACCCAGGCCGAATGCGGTACGTTGCGTATTGGCAAATGGATATCCGTCCTAACATCTTAACGGTACCAACATCCATGCTGTTTGGCTTGCTCTACTTCCTCGATCCCCTCCCCTTTGGCTAGCCGACGGTTCTTTCTACCGGCCAACCGTCCTTCTTCGATGATGTCCGACAGTGAATGCACTTCGCGCTATGCCTCATTGGTCTTGAGATGATTCTCCCCTGGCATCAACGACGAGCATCGGACCGCAGGTAGCAGCACCGTGCTCATTCTATATCGTCGAATTGTTCCTGAATCTGCTTACAACACGGCCACCACCAGCACCCACCAGCACCCGCCAACAAGTACTGGCACTACACTATACTACCTATCCCGGACCGGCCCCGAAAAGGAAAACGGTTTCTTGGCTGTCTTTCATGACACGATGGTCCAGGCGAAGATCCGTCAACGTCGCCAGTCTGTTAGAGCAGCCCGTCTTTGCGCAAAGACTTACACGCCCCATGATCGAAACACCATTGTATCCACTGTCTACTTTCAGGTACTCTCACCACCCACAATTACCAATCTCAATTCTCCAGAGCATGTGCAGGACACAGCGAAGAAGGAGTCTCGACCTCCCGTGTAAGAAACCGCCGTCTCAAAGCACAGGGGACGGAGTGGGACCCAAACCTTTACGTGGTCGACCCAGTGTGTTGGAGACCTTTCTGGATTCGCGGCATGGGCATGGCTGCTGCGATAAATGGGTCCTAACTCCGTCGACCATACATACCATGCCCAATCACACCTCACACCAGGTCGTAGCCTACCTAATACCTAGCGACGGCTACGCACTTGGAACCGTGGGATTATTTCATCATTTATCATCTCCAAGACGGCTTATTCGTAACAGGCACGATCCAGGTTGCCAAACAAGGAAACGCAAGCCCGCCCACTTCGAGCAACCCGGTGCACTGGGCCCTGCGTACTGAAAGGCAGGCTGATGGCTGACCATTCGTATGCGGACTGGCCTCATTATCTGGGAGGCTGGTTGTTGGTGGACTGGCTCGACTGTCTTGCGACTGATCGCCGACATGCGTTGCCGAACGAGACGTCATCACGCGCAACCCGATCATATCGACCACCCATCCGATCATCGACGAGGCCCTGAGCAATAGGCGCGTCTTGGAGCACGTTTCGCCAATCCTCTCCGGACTTGCTCACGCATCGTATAGGTGAGCGATGAGCGAAGACGCATAATGTCATCCTCTGCGGTAAGCTGCACCTAATCCAAGCTTAATAACATCGGAGAGACAATCAACGTCAGCGAACTACGAACAACCCAGGGTTTTTCCGCAGCAGTGGATCCTACGGTACCGACGGATGGCTGTACCACGCACGAGGCGACTGGGCAAGCCTGCTGCACAAGCACTTGCAAGCTTCCATGCTTGACTCATAGCCAAACATCCACGTCCACTAGTGTCATTGGGAGCAAGCCTGTTTGGCCACCCCATACACCATATCTAAGTCCCTAGCATACGTCGGCAGCCAGCCCATCTTCGTCGTCGTTTAACCGCCGTCGAGAGCAACGAAGACACATTCCAGATATTGGCATGACACGCCAAATGGAACATGGATAACCTGGGTACCTTGAAGCGGCTGAGCCTACGACATGTCTCGAGACAGAAAATACACAAAGGCGGTTCGGAGAGGCGCCAGCCACCGCTTTCTCGATGAAGTCAGGTCAGCTCCGATCTCTCATCACCGCCCAGGGGAGAAAATTTCCGGGTCAGACCGGCTGGCCTGGTCGCAGATGATGACAGCTGAGGGGATGAAAAGCGTGCCGGGCGGGTTCTCCTGAGAGTCTAGTGAAACACCTGGACCAAAAAAAATATTGTGGCAGAACCAGGGCCTCTTCATTCCCTCTGCCAGCGGCAAGGCGGTATGGGTATGGTCCTAATGTTTGGCTTCGGGGTCTTGGCTGGCATTTGTCTCGATTTACCCTCAACCTTAGCTCACTCATGGTGGAGGCAGCGGAACGCTAGGAGCATGGGGCAGCGGTAGAATGCCAGTGCGATTTGGTCGGCGGCCGGTGAGTTAAGCCTATTTAGGAAGGCACTGCCACCACCGCCACTGCCCACGTCCATAACCCATGCAAAAAACGCCCTTTTTGCCGCAAATCCACCATCGCCAACAGACGCCCACGATGCCCAAGATTAAGCCCTCATATCCAACCTTTAAAGAGCAACAGCAACGCATACGACTTTACTATCGCAATAAGGGTTTTACCCTTTAATTAAATAGGTCACGTGATATAACAGATTTTTAAATTAATTGTAGCTGTTGCCTCTATTTTGCCTTGACTTTGAATTACTTAAATCTAAAGAGTTTTTAACTTTATGTAACTTTCTGAATCCTGACCTTCTCATTGGTCAGTTAAGCCGGAATACTGTTTTTGCTGGCGCTGACATAATGTATTCTGAAATAGGTTTAACTCACAGGCCGCCGACCAAATCAAACTGGCATTCTACCGCTACCCAGGAGCATGATGCAGCGAATACCCCCAGTACCGATGCCGGCCCATCCTGGACCCGGCGAATGACAGTTTCAACAACAGCACCCCCAAAGACGTAGCCAAGCCCAGCACCGGGACGCCAGCTCCATGCCTCACTCGGGTATCCTTGCCAGAGGCGACAGCTAAAACAAGCCTAACGCTCGCCGTGCAACCCCGCTACGTTACCCAGCGTTCGCTCCCGCTCCGCGTCGCATGGGTGTGCTGCGCCAGGCGCTTGACACTTTGCTGTTCAGGGACGCGATCCTAGCGTTTGGCCTGGACACGCAGAAGCCGTAGCCACATGGATACGCCGCCTACGATCATTTCTTAATTAGCGCCGAAAGACGGAATCCCAATTTCGGCAATATTTCTAGCTAGTATACGACGAGCCAGTGATGAACCGCACAATACCACGTCGCGCTCGAAAAGAAAGGCGGTGTGTAACACATCTCACGGGCACCTTATTCGTACCTACCACGGTAGAGAGTCTTACATAGGTAGTTTGATATGATCTACAGTACAGAGTGCACGCGGTAGTTTTCTCTGGATACGCGGACTCCCCGGCCCATCCCATAGAACGTAAGCTCGTTGTTTGGATATGACCGAGGCATCCTCACTTCATCTGCAGACTTGACGATTTACAGGATCTTGAGGCCATACACAGATTAGAAGTGATGCGCAGCACTGCGTTGTTCTTCAACCGCGGAAACAGAACGTTCCAATCACACGATGCTGGTTCATAATGTGCAGTTGGCCAATGCCCTTCACACAACTTCCCCAATGGCTCCGTTCAAATTACTTCCGCCCTATTGGCGTGCGTAAGCCGATGGGGATAGGAATGGCCTCTGCTAGAACCGGCTCTTGAAATCGGAAATTTGTTCCATCTTGGATTTGCACTTCGCTCTCCAACCCATTCACTACGCTTCCAGGCCGTGCTTTATCGCTTATCTCGCCCTGCCATGTCATATCCCATCCCCTTCTTGTGTTTCACCGCTCGGCCGAGATCGCGGAGACGGCGACAATGACGGCGACGACAGTATCGGCGTTTGCCCGCCGTTCAAAGATTGTAAGTACGGCCAGAAACCTCAGCGGGTTTCCGCCTGAGATGCCGCAATCTCGATACTGGATGGTAAACTATCCATCACTGTCACGAGCCCACCTGTGGATATCCGCACACGACGTGGCATCCGTTTCTCCTCTCTGGGTAAGACATTGTTGCATTGAAGCCCGGCGCCGTACGTCACTGCTATTGAGCCTCGTGGGCCTTGAACCCCCACCCTCTAGCTGTATCTTCGCTAGGCGCCAGGTTGCCCATCGCCCATAGGAACCATAGCCCGGATACGAGTGAACGGTCTGTCACGATGGAAAAGCTCTCCGTTTATTGCAAGTACGAAACCCCACAGCCCACTAATTAGACGCCAAGTCTTTATGGCAATTACTTCATAGGAGTCACGGGTCGATTATGTGTACACATAGGTTGGGATTGCCTTTGGACTCAACGATCTTCATCGGACATCCTCAGCTGTCGTCGGCGAATGCGCACGGCGGAACATGCACTTGCCCAATTCGGGATTCGTCAAGACGACCTATTGGCACCAAACCCAGAGTGACTAGGTTGGTACGTAATACAACGTGATACTGTGTCGTCAATATCGGGCCGGGTCCATGCAAATGACTCGGCGCCTGCCCATGGGAGAGCTTCGGACTGGGTTGACCCAGGATCGCGCCTCGGAGTGCACTGGGCTTTCCTGATGTCGACCCAATAACGTGGGGCATTGCCCCCGACAAGTCTGCGCACCACCACTTGATGGTGCATAAGGCATGAATCATACATACATAGAGAGCCCTAGTGTGGGACCGAGGGCCAGCTGTTCGGACGAATGAACGTGCATATCAAGAGGGCTGCTTGTTGAGGGGTCAGTCTTGAGTTCTGACGGCCTCTAGGGAGGCGCACGAAACAACAAGGCCTACGAAGGAAGGTGTACCTATTCCAAGAGGAAACAGCCTCGGGAGGTCTACTAATGGAGACTCTGGTTGTCTGCAGGTGCGAACACTAGCAGGCGGCGGTTGACGGAACTCGGTCCTCTGGAGGCGGGCTGAGGCGAAACATGGCAGGACGGGTGCGCGTACTATTAGAGGACCCAGGTTGGTCCTAGCAAGGATTGTGGAAGGCTTCCAGAAGACCGTTCGGGCTGAAGAACAAGGTGCAACGGAGTCGCCCCCTTCATTAATCTTCTTCATAAAGAACCTGGGCCTTGTCCACGATATCGAATGGCATTATGCACGCAGCCTCGGTACTACGCAGGCCCCCCATCATCCAACCAGCGGTGAGGATCCCAGGCCACAAATGCATATCTGTATGCAGCGCATAATAGTGAGGACCCTGGATCGGGTGGAGGCTCTGTGGATTGTGATGGTCGGTGGACTGCATGACTTGGACCCTGAGCATCTAGAAGTTCTGAAACGCAAAGGGACTCGAAATTCAAAAAGATGGTCTATGGTAGTAGACACGTTGAAGGGTTTGGGGTTAGGTGACTTCGTGTTCCTCGGGGGGAAGGGCAGGACGCAGTAAGGAGATGACTTCCGTTCTTCGCCGCCGCCTTCGGGTGTTTATTTAACCATCGCCAAGTTGGAATGTTCCACGTCTACATCAAATCGGCCTTACAAAGCACAGCCCAATCACAGACATCCCCAAGCGTCGTTCTCATCGTTTTCTTCACGGAGATGATGCCGAAACAGCGGGGTAGATCTGGCCCCTTCGTTGCAATATGCCGCACACGGCTGGTGCAGGCAACATTGACCCATGCCAAGACGATGCCGGAAATTTTCTGCAGTTGCCGCAGTCCCCGCCAGACAATGTCGAATCCGAATCCCATGTGACTATTCACGCGGCCGCCCGCAAGGGAACGAGGTTCGCTCACGCCAGGCGCAGCAACAAATAGCAAGTCAATATCTCGAACTTGTTGCAACATCTTTAACAGCAGACAGCACACTTCACGGTGATCCTCTGGCGCGCAAATCGGAGTGCAGAGGATCGCAGGACAAGAGAGTGGTGCCAGAAGACCAGAGACGGCCCAGACTAGAGCATCAGGCCACTTCCGTCGTTCCTGGCCACACGCAACGAATAGACCTCTAGATGGTTGTGTTGTGACGATGCGCGGATAACGAAGGGCGCTGCGAAATGCGGCTTGCGGCCACCGCCGGTGAAGAGGAGCCGTTCGCTCGCCAACAACGAAGCTTCCCCTTGGCTGCTCAGACCTGTTGGCCATTCACCAACTTGGGGAGACTGCCGTAGGCGCGGGAATGCTTCGGTCATTAAGCACTCTGTGCATAAGTCGGCAATCTAGGAGGTCTGTCCCCATGTGAATGATTACTTATCCGGTCCGTATTCTCAGGGCTGTTTGAAGGCTTCGGGGAGCACGGGTTTTCGGTGTTTGAAGAGACTACGACTCACCTCCCCGACTGGGGCTGAGGGCAAACGGCGAAAATAGGAACTGAGCCAAAGTGGTCAGACCAGCGAACGACATTGGTAGGTAGCTCTTTAGCTGGAGGCGACATGCTGAACCAGTCGGAGCCGACCTAGCCCGGGTCTTTGCACGGCTGACTCAGCGAATTTCCAGCTTCTCAGTCAAACGCCGAGAAATTTCCGCCATAAGCCTGAGTCTTGTGAAAGCCGCTCAAAGGCCGCTGAAAGACCGCTGGAAGACCGCTGAGCTGTGGCCGTAAGGCGCTGAGCGCGGCCGGCCAAGACCGGGCAGCGTGTGTCGATTACATCATGCCGTACATTAGCGACGACGACCTCATGGCATGATTCTGGGTCCCCGATACGACTGACTTTTTCGCCCATGCCGAATTCCTCCAGGTTTTCAATCGCCGTTCTCAGTCATCACCTTCGGCGACCCCCATTCCATCCATTTTAATCCGGATATAAGGCCCATTAGCAGTCGGTTCCAGCCCGAACGTGCCATTCAATTAGCAATTCAGATTCCCGAGATAGCTATCTAGCACCAGACCACTAGGCCTCTCTGATCGCTGCACACACGAGCACCAACGGCAAGCTATCTTATACATTTAGCTAAGGACCCCCCCAACCGTCATCCATTCGTCACTCGTCACTCGTCACTCGTCACTCGTCACTGAGCACATCGTACGACATCATTTACCTCACGGCCGCTCCCAACGACACCAAAACTACAAGGCTGCGCACCTAACCCGACTCTGTTGCAGCTTCGTGTCACATCTGTTCTTTTTCTCATCCTTTTTACTTCTCCCAAAAAGGCGGGGCCACTACTCTGCATACCCTCTGATACCATACGCCTGAATTCCACGCCACAAATCCCAACCATGAAGGTCCTCAGCAAAGAAGAGGAGGCCGAGCACTACAGCGTCGTCGTCAAGGCCGGCCTCATCGGCGGCACTGTCGGCTTCGGTGTCGGCCTCGGAGGCGTCCTCTTCGCATCCAAGCGCTACCCGGCGTTCCGCCAGCTCACCCTGCCCTTCCGCTCCTTCCTCGTCACCTCCTCCGCGACCTTTGGCGCCATCGTCCATGCCGACCGCGAATCGATCCGCTTCGGCAAGGAGAAGGACCCGATGTACGGCTACAAAGACGCGACCGCGCGCGCCGTCGCCGAGGCTAAGGCCAACGAGCCAACAATGCAGAAACTCAAGGAGTGGGGCCGCGAGAACCGCTACTCCATCGTCTTCGGCTCCTGGCTCGCCTCCATGGGTGTCGCCCTCTCCATCGTCGGCCGCGACAAGTACCTCACCGGCCCTCAGAAGCTCGTCCAGGCTCGTGTCTACGCCCAGGCCCTCGCCGTCGCCATGCTAGTCGTCACCGCCGCCTTGGAGATGAAGGACGCTAAGCAGGGCGCCGGCCGCTGGGAGACGGTTATGATCATCGATCCCGAGGACCCGGAGCACAAGCACCTCATCCAGAAGAAGATTCACAAGGAGGACTACGAGGGCCAGGACCTGTGGAAGGGTAAGCTACCCCGCCTCCGGAATGCATCCGGCCTGCTCCTTATCTGGAAAGCTGTAACTGACTCGATATCCACAGACATGGTTGCTGCCGAGGAGCGCCGCATCGCCGCTCGCAAGGCTGCCGAACACAAGTAAACGTGTTCACCTACCCTACCTACCTATACCTTGCCACCCTCGAGCGCCTTCACCCACCTTACTTCCCAAAGGGGGGGGGGGGGTGATTTTCTGTAACATTTTCCAGGCTATTTACCTCTCTACGTCATCTCTTATGTCCTACAACTAATTAGAGGCTTCTCAAAAAAGCGCATTTCTTCTCCTGAGAGTTAGAGGAGAACGGCTTGCGGTTGGCTGGCTGGATGCATTACTGGCGTTATTTATTTATTTGGCTTGGGGTGAGAGAGGGTGGGCGTCAAGACCACCCAGCCACAACTGTTCAATGATATGAATGCCGAGGCAAGCGAGCGAAAATTGCTTTCTTAGACGGACTGATGAGCATACCATGGCCTAATTTATCAGGCGATTATGAACGTCTGGACGATCCATTGAATACAAATTCTCCATTAATCACAAAGCATCCTGCTCACACAGGTAGTGTCTGGCAAGAGAGATATGTCCCCTGTCTATTTCAGTGCGAGGAAACGATTCTGCTTCGGCAACTCGGCTTGTTTGGGTCACACACACACACACACACACACACACACACACACACACACACACACACACACACACAGACGACAACTACCATTTCCCAGTAGCTGTCCTTGTCACTGCAGAATTGACTCGTTCCTATGTACGGCCCGCATCTGCCGTTGTTCCCATTTACAAATTAGAGAGTGTGTGACACGCACACGCCATATGCTTGGCTCACAAGAGTCGGAATATGTCACTCCCCCCCCCCCCACACAGTCCTCCACGGACGCGCACACCAACCCTCCCCCCTTCTATCTCTCTCTCCGTGGCCTTCCGAGGGAAGGCTCGCAGTTTGCTCCAAGTCTCCAATCTCCAAGTCTCCAACTGCACGTAATCGACCCCAAGACGATCACCGAGGCGCTAACCCCCTCACACCCTTGACTAGTGACGTACACACAATCTCAATCTATCCAAGCACGCGGGGGACAGTATCGATACGCGAGTCAGTCGAGGCAGCCGATCCGGCTCAGTAGACACGACAATCCTACGCTGGCTCCGCGAGATCTTGGGAGGTTACGAGTCCGTCACGTCACACATGATCAACAGTGACAGCTGGCGGTTTCAAATTGTGACTTTATTTAACAGGGAAAATACATGCCTGCCTGCCCGCCTGCCTGTCGCCCACCGGGGTTTTATGAAGCCGTTCCGTCATCAAGCATAAGTACTGTAGCTGAGAAGATGGTGAGGGGTTTGTTGAGGTCTAACGATACAAGTTGAGCGAATTTTGAGAACACTTTCACAATAACAAAGAAAGGAAAAAGAAGGGGGGGAAGAGGTAACACAAGATAACAAGAAACGCAACAATAACGGAGTGACAGGCCTCAAACCTCGATGGTGAAGTGGCTAATTTGGGAATAATATGCATGCACGGCCAACTCCAACATCCAAACATCGCTAAACACCTCGCTGCCGTCGAAGCCACCGATGACAAATAGACGGCTGTCATACAACACGGTGCCGTGATAACCCCGGCCACTAGGCGGCAGGCCGTAGACACGCCGGCGATCCCAGGTCATGGTGACGAGGTTCAGCAGAAGCACATCATTAGAGTATTCATTGCCATCGTGGCCGCCAATGACGAATAGATAAGAGCCCACGAGGGTGGCTGTGTGGGACAGGCGGCGGAAGGTTTGCGGGATGGAGACTGCCTTCCAGATGTGGGCGTCGACGTCGTAGACCCACACGTCGTTGAAGCACTCGCCGCCATCGGAGCCGCCAAAGATAATGAGCTTGCTGCCTACCATATTGGCGGTGTGATATCCGCGGGGTTTCGGGCGGGTTTCCCGGACCCCGGGAGGCGGGATCCGCTCTGGTCCGGAGACGAGCTTCCACGACATCTTGTTCATGTCGCTGACGTCAAGCCTCCAGACATCATTCAGAGCACGCACACCATCGCCACCTCCAAAGATGTAGATTCCGTTCTTATACAGGCAGGCCGTATGGGCCCGGCGTTTCGAGGGGGAACGTTCGCCTGTGATCTTGGGTCGGTGCCAGCGGAAGTTGGTCGTGTCGAGAACGTATATGTCATTGTAGTAGGCAGGCCCATCGCCGCCACCAAATATCACGAGTTTCTTGCCCACGGCGGTGCATGTCATTGCGCGCAGCGGAACAGGGATCTCGCCCGTGACATGGGGTACAGACCAGTGAAAGGAATCGGCGTCAAAGACATAGAGCTCGTTGAAACAAGCACGCGAGTCGCACCCTCCGAACACAAATATATTGGAGCCAACCAGCGTTGTCGTATGAGCACGGAGCGACGTGTGAGGAGCACCCGAGACGGGCGCGCGGGACCAGTACATGCCTGATGAAGGAGCCGGGGGTACATCTGGCGCTGTCTTGGGGTCCTGAAGAGGCGGGAAGGGGGTATACTGGCCCTTTGGGGCAGGTCGGGATGAAGAGGTCGTAACGGAGGGCTGTCGTATCGAGGACGATGAGAAAGGGAGTGAGTGCTTGCCGGCTATTGCGGACGTGGAGCGCATGGCAATCGGGAGGCGGCCATCACGGTCGGAACCGTGGCCGCCGGTGGACTCAGAACCATCGTTGCTATTCAGGGTTGTGGCATCGCTGGCAGTGTTGTTGGGTCGGAAGGAAGGCGGCGGTGGCTTGGGAGTGCTGGAAGTCGTGAGAGCAGTACGGGAAGGTGGGTGTACCTGTGCTGCTTGTGTTTGCGAGGCCGATTGGGAGCGTTGGCGAATGGACAGCTCGGAGGGTTTGCGGCAACGGTCCTGACTCTTGGATGGGAGATGGCCGGATGTGTGAGAACGGGGGAGGGTGCCGCCGGGGGCGGAGGGGACACGACGGTGGTCGATGTCACGGTCGCTGAAGTCTTCGAGATCGTCGGGCAGGCCGGCGACAGGCGGAGGTGGTGAGGGGCGCGGCGGATCGCCGGGCAAGGGACCGGATATCTTGTTAGAGCGGACGGCCTTGGACTTGAGGGGGGGCCGGGGGATCTTGTCCGAGGACCTGGCCGAATCAGCCATGGTTCGGCGGGGTGATGGTCATTGCCCCCCTCTCGCGAGGACGTGGATGAATGCCCGGGGGTTGGTTTTAGAGAGGCGATTGCGGCCGCCGTTGCGAGGGAGAGGAAGTTGGATAGCGAGGGCAGAGGGGGGGATTGGCAGGCCAATTGCCCGGGCAAGGTTGTCTTGAGATCCGTGTTTGGGGCGGGGCGGGCGTCGGGCGTGAGTCGTGAGAGGAGTTGGGTACAAGACGAGGTTGGTTGTAGTTAGGACGACCCGGCGTTTGGCGGCGGTTGGTGTTTGTGGTGGTCGTCTGTCCGGATAGGTAGGTGGTTGCAGAATGCTGGAGAATCGGAGCCTAAGCCCAGCCGCAAAATGAGAGCCCGTCCACCTTGGAGGGAGAGCACAGGTCACAGCTCTGTCCGGCAGTGTTGTCGGGGCTTGGAAGGCGGTGGTTATTACTGGCTCCGCTTCAGGGTCAAGCAAAGCGAGGCAAGGCAAGGCATGCCAACCGGAACAGGAAGACCAGCGAAGCCAGCCCAGGTCCCCGGGCAGGGTAAGGTGCGTTCGGGTTACTTGAGCATGGTGCCGGCCCCTTGCGCGCCATTGGCTAGACTACCACCGCGTCATTTGGCACCCTAATTCCAGCCCACGTATCACGAGTCTCGTTACGGTATCGCCGATGCTCAGCACGGACCACCGCCAGCACCTGCATTGACACCCCGCTGTTGAGCGACGAACGGTGTGATTGGTTGGTTGCGTACGGCGGCAACCCGATGTTTTTTGCTCAGCCTCACGTATCTGATTCCAGACTGTTGGTATCCGACATCAATCATGTCACTCGTGTGAGGTCATACCGAGTCGTACAATCTCGTGCTATACTCGGTGCTTTTGTAGGTGGATTCAATGTTGTTGTGTTCAGAGCAGAAGAGCAGATCCCAACGACTTTGACTGAAGGAGACCTTGAAAACACGCCGTCTCCAGGTACACTGAGGGAGCGTGGCGCGTCTCACGTCGTATCTTGGCCGGGCACACTACCAACTCAAGGGCAGATGCAATCCTATCCTCACGCCCATTCAGATCCTCCTCGTCCGGAATGGCTGTCTGTCGCCAGCTTGAACTCTGACCTCACAACCTCCCCACAACGCGGAAATTCACCCAAAAAAACATAGGCTGGTGCACCAAGACATCATTCGACATAGGGATGCGGCCGAGAGACATCCCCAAAACGTCACCAACCCTCGAGCCACGCTCAAGCGACTCGCCCGAGGGCATCATATCGCACATTTGCATGCAGCCCATGGTCCTGACCCAGACTGGTATCTGATAGCATGACGACAATCTCTTCCGCCGAGACGTTGAATAGACAGACGTCTGCGTATACCTTGTACGAGAAATTGACCTATGCTCTTGAGCAGGGAGCCGCCGGTGTCTGGCTGCGAAAAGGCGATGACTATACTCCATACACGGAGGAAGAAGCATCGATGGGGCTCCGACGGTAGGTTCCAATGGATTCTCGACACCTGGAGACGTTGGCGAAGGTCAAAGACAAGAGCTCAGCGCCACTTGATCTGGTCACTTGGGTTCTTGACCGTTCTCCGTCTAGTGACGAGCTGGCGGTACCTGATTCTCGTGCCTATAGCCTTTCTGGGGTTCTCTATAGCGTCTCTCGTCCCGTTGCTTGTTGACGAGACGATGCTCAGCCGCGTGAATAGCAAAGCCATGAGTCGGGGCTTGGGCTTCGACAGATACGACAGCTACATCACTGCGTCTATGTCAGTGAATGAATGACCTTCTCTCTTCGTTGCAGTTCGAATGAATCGCAATCCCCGAGGCTAACTGACCTACTTTTGTCCGATGTGATCCCCGCCTTAACCCCGCCTTAACCCCGCCCATATGTCATCACATCGGCTTTCCCACGCATCTTTCTTTGCTCTGGGGGCTTTGGTAAGTATCGGGAAGTAATACCTTTTCCCACACGCTTCGCGCGCGAGAACTACTGCTGCTACGCTGGGGATTCACCATTGGCCGTCAAGTGCCACAAGTTTAGATATGTGTGCGCAAGGCGGGGCTCCGCAACAAGCTCCTTCGTTTCTGCCGGCGGGGTCCTTTACATATCGTCAACAATTGCATTTCAACTTGATGGGTTACACAAACCCCACAAGCAGTATTTACAGCCCTTCCTGATTTGAATGATGCGACTCCTGCCGCAGTTTGGGTTTCACTGACTAACCCAAATAACGCAAAAGTAAGATAAGAAGGGGAAATCTAACCTGTAAAGATGGTATGACGCAAAGGTATGCGCTACCGGTACTAGTTCAGGGACAATCAAGGAAGTTGGCATCATGCGATTCACATACTCTTTTGGTTCGTCCAGCTTTTGACCACCGTTATGAGTGTCAACTCTTTTTCAGAAACGGTGACTGTTTAAGGGTACGCGTTCCGAGATGTACCAGGCATTTCACAAGACCCCTTGCCACTAAGACAAACCATATTCCAGGGGGAGGGCCATGATTCAGTTCTGGCAATTTCCTGCCAAAACCAGGGGAGTGTTGCAGTTGTCGATGGACAGGGCCTGGCCATACACGTGGACGGGCCATCACCGGATATATTGCCCATCAGTTTGATTGACATTGTGTTCCAAACATAATGATTGTTTTGCGTCATACTCTTGCCAATTAATCCTGGCGAGTCCGACGAACTATGACGGAGAACTGGACTGGGTAGATGATTATCAGAGCTTTCCAAACGATCTCGCCGTCCTTGCGACCTCGTACGTTGCATCAGCGAGTGCATCTGGATACGTGCCTCGGCTGGATATCGGTATCGCAAAGATTGGGGGGCAGCTTTCCCAAGTTCAGGTCATGATCAGACAAGGGCCTGAAGAAGCAAGGAGCCGAAACAGGCAATGGCGAAGACCAAAGTACTGTGTACCAACCGGCGTTGGATGCCGGATGTACCATCTACATCTGGAGTCCTCCACCACTCAACCCTATTCACAAGCCCACCCTCTATCTCCAATTCCCGATGAACCACACAACATGTAAGATCCATTCTACGTCATCCATACCCACACGCACAAGTGGTACTACACTTGCATCTCCGAGGACCCAATTGAAGCGCTGTAGTGGTGCCAAGGCAGTGGATAATTGTTGTCCATCCAGCGACTCGAGTGCCTTGCCTACCTGCGAGACCGGCCGGTGTCAGGTCCATCCGTAGCGGCAGGCAAGACCATTACAGTGATCAACCAACGGCAGAAAGGCCCACTCACCGGGGAATTAGGGACTAGCACGGATGCATCGGAGCGAAGCCGGTGCCATGACTCGCTCCGTATGGGTCACGTCCGGAAGGGGTTCAGTCGGATGTCACCCCTGATGTTCGGGGGGGTGCCCGGTTGTGGACGGATTCGTCTGCGCTAGAACTGGTGGAGCATCCGATGATCCAGGTGTTGGTTCTTGGGCCACTTATCGTTCAAGTTGCATATCAGCATCCGATATGGTGTAGTGGCCAACATGATGCCCTCTCACTAATTGAGAGGTTAGGCATAGCCCCGAGTTCGATTCTCGGTTTCGGAAATTTTGCATTATTTTTGTCCTTAATTCATATCTAACTTAAGGAAGGTGTGATTCGTGTTATATGGCAATAAACTATCAGAATAAGCAAGTAATAGGAGGAATAATGATATTGTCTCTGATTCTTACCTAGTAGTAGTAGGCAAATAATAGAAAACGTGTAAGCAAAACAGACACACACCTAGGGCCAGATCACATATAGATGGATGAATATAATAAATAAGGAGATATGGATATATATCAACAATATGTCATCATGGCTGAAGCAGGCAATTTGACACTGCCGATTTAGCCAAGCCACTTGTTCTTTCCGTCTATACCGACACTAAAATAATATAATAAATAAACTGTTCAACATCGTTCAACATTCATTAATCAATCGCCTTGAACGGTTCCGGGACATCGCCATGTTCCGCCACTGTCACGGTCCCTCATGCTCACTCCGACCTCGCCTCAACGTGTGATTTTAGCTGCAGCGTGCTAATTGTTCACTGTCATGCTGTGGGCACCTTGGCACCTTCAAACTACCGCCGATGATGCTTCGCCCCTTACCACTACGTGCCAGAAGGTCTGCGCCTCTATGGACCAGCATCCGAATGACAATTCTCAACGCCCTCTCGGTGATAGATTGAAGCACAACAGTCCTAAGAATGAAGGTGTTCCACATTGGAATCGGAGCCCTACTCGAGCAATATCGCCATGGCTCATGGGGCGGGGCTTCATCTCTTCCACATCGTGTTGTGGATGTAAGTTGGCGGGTGGCTTGAGAAGTGTATCGAGCGTCGATTCGATGGTTTCAACTTCATGATCTCTGAGTGGCTTTCCACATCTCGACCCAGGGGGGTATACAATAACGAAGTTTCCTGCATAGACGGATTGCCGGAGAACTACATTTGGACATATATATTCACCGTGTCCAACAAATAATAACGGCGGTAAGTTGAGCAAGATTGGCAGTAGAAATATGAAGGAAGTTCGGTGGGTATTTTTTACTTAAAAGGGTCAGAACACCAACCTCGCAATTCGCTCCCAGCTGCAGAATGCAGAAGAACACTTCGTTTTGATGAAGAAAGGCTCTCAGTGTCAATGACTGAAACAGGAAGAGAGAGAACTCGGTCCTTTCTCGCATATCTCTGGAAGACTTCTTCTCCCTCAACATTGAATTCCTCGTTTGACCGCTAGGGCCTTCCGGTGTTTAAGGCTATAACAACCCTTTTAAATGGCAGTGGCTGCGTTGTCATCAGGACTATCAACCACTCATTTTGGCTTCCTCTTTGTTGCTTCTCTTGCTCAATATCACGCTTTGAAGATGGTCTGAGGGATTCCTGATGTGGTTTCAACAAACTTTTTCTCTGCTAATATAATGACTTTTCCATTGTCGGACCAACCCCTCCGCCTCTAGTCGGAGATCTATGATTTTCCCAAGTTTACCGCCTCGGTCTTTATAAAGAGGTCGTTTTTGGAGATACCTTTTCAACCCGCGTACGGCTCGTGAGGACGGAATACCAGAGGGGTTCTCAGGTGGTCTGGCGATAACACACATAAACCACTCTTGTCCATGGTATTGTTTAACTGATTGAACAAACGAACGTGGCAGTAACAGTTGATGCTGAAGTAGACCCCACCCAATACGTAGGACGGAAAACGGCTCGGATTATACTAGTGGAGTTAATCGATTATCAATATGAGCTCCTGTTTTCCACCCAATACCTTCGATTCAGACGTTCCCGCTGAAGTTCATTGGAAACCATGCGAATGTAAGTCGTTGCCAGGAAAAGTTTTCAGTAAACCAGTGGCCATTCCTCCTTGTGCAATACCTTGGGAGTGGTTGCTAACTTGAGCTGATACATCCATGCTATGCTATCCGACGCCATGACAGGAGTACAACTAGAGACCAAAACTACACGACAGACCTCACCCTTCGTTCGGGATGGCTATCGGAATATAAGAGAAACGTCCCAAGCACGGCATAAGTAACTGTAAGTAAAGTACTAGCCCAGCCAAGACCTTTTGTCGATTTTGCCATACCCTGTTTTTTTTCTTCTTCTTTTCCCCAGTCCAACCAGACCCAGAGAACACTGGGCGTCCCCAAAAGCACACACACACAAGTACCAACCTAAACGCCTTGCATCCTTGCACCTTTCGTCCCCATCAGACCATGTCATAATTCTCAGGGAACAAGATCGCATTCGCCAGTCCTACAAGCGCCCTCTCGGTCGGATTCCTCCCCTCCTTATCCCCCCACGGCAACAAGCCCATGGCCCTGAGTCCGTCCTCCCCGCCGGCATCGCTGACCTCCTGCACGCCTGGCCGACCCATATGCGTCGTCTCCCCTTTACCGCCCCCAAAGTCCGGGCTCGGCTGGCCGAGGAGGAACGCCTTCCGTTGGCGGGCAAGGTAAAGCGCGTTAGTCTGCGTCAGGGGGCAGGCCGGGATATACATGATCGTCGCGGCGGCCGCCGATAGAGGCACTCTGTCGACGCCGTACACCATGTCCGGGTGCCAGACAACATAGTCACCTGGTCGAACAGTTGGAATACGCACAAGAGACTTGTCGAGCTGCAAGTGCGGGTGAAGCACTGAGTTAAGTTCTTGCGTGTACGACGGAACGGCGCCCTGGATGATACTTGTCTGAGCAAAGTCCAATGTCCAGTTTTCACTTGCAAGAAAGTTTGGAGCGGTCGGCGAGGAATTATGAGGTGAGAAGAAGGGGCGTAGCAGGAAATAGGCCGTGGCGAGCTGGAGCATGGGGCAGAGCAGAAGGGTGCCGTCGGCTGGATCGATGTCGGACATGGACAGCCAGCCCTGAAACATGCGGAACATGCTGCATGAGCCTGCTCCGTTGTAAAGGTCCGAGGTGACCTTGAGTCGGGTGCTGCTGTCCCAAGGGTCATAGTCCTCCCAGCGTCCGTCCCAGATCCGCTGATACGTTCCAGCGTTCCCATAGCCGTCGCTTTCCCAACGTTCCACGCTGCCGCCATCGACGTGGGCGTTTAGATGCCATGCCTCGTCTCCCGGGGTACGTATCCTTAGACGGTCAGCGTATGCGACGGGGTTATCAACCACCACGGGGGCGTTTGGATCCCGGGACCGCCACAGGCCCATCAAGAACCGCTGGGCGGCAAGGACATTGGGATGGGCACGACCCTTGATTTGTGCCGGAGACCAGTATATGCCAAAGAGGTGAGGGTCGCGTGTCGGCCAGCCCTTGGTATGCGGATTCTCGGAGAGGTAAGTCTCCGTCTCCTCCCGCCAAGCATGGGCTTCAGCAGCCGATACGACATTGCGGATGACGGCACCACCTCGACGCCGGAGCTTGGCGGCGAATTCGGAGACCCGGGAGTGGTCCTGCAGCTCGGAGAAGTCAATGGTGGGAATGATGTCAGACTTGATGACGCCGATGACGGCGATCTCGGCGCGGAGGGCGACCAGCAGGCGCTCCCACGACTGCAGTATTGCATACTCCTTGCCAGCGACGAGACTCCGTTTGATCTGAGCGAACCTCGGCGGGAGTGGGATTGGCCCACCGTTCTCTGTAAAGATTTCGTCGGCACGCATAAAGCCTCTTGGATGGTTGTCCAGAGCAATTGGGAAGGACTGAGACCAAAGCAGACTGGGGGTGTCAAAAGGTGAGAGAAGCTGAGAGAACAGGTCGTCGGGCATTGATGGGGGTGGCGGAAGCAAGGGATCATCCCCGCCCTTGTCATATTGATCTCCAAACACATCGTCGTCCATGATGCGCAGAAGATGATTTCAGAGTACAACGTCGTACTCGCAGTACCCTTGGTGTCGCGTGTTCTTCGTGCAAATGTTCCCGAAGTGATGGCATCGGGGCCCGCCGCCGACTGGGTCCCGGGGTCCAAATGGCCCGGGAAAAGGTCGGGTCGCCGCGGCTCAGTGGTGGAGGTCACTACTTCTCGCTGACGACGCCACAGACGGGCCGCTGTGCCGCAACGGGCCCTCGTCTGATCCTGTCTTCGCTCCAAGACCAGTGGGGGAAATTTCGGGAAGCGGAAGTGAGTAATCATAAAAAATAAAATAAGAAAATAACAAAAAACCTTCGAGGCCCGAGTCCGTTGTAGCCATGGATTTGGTACGCGATGATACCATCAATCCTTGGGGTTGTAGATGCATTCAAACCGGGTTCATTCCGACAGGCCCGTCGATCTGGATTGGACTATCTTGTCCCGGTCGGTATGGCCCACCCACCGTGTTTTGGACGGGCCTAATTTCTACCGTCCGAACATCTGACCGAATAAGCTCATGGTGCCGCCTTGCCGCGCTTCGATCGTCTGACTGGAACCTTATCTTCCATAGAGTCTTCGACACTCTTCCTCTTCTTTACTGACGCTGACTGATTGGGCTTCGACGTAGTCTTAACGGAAGTTGAGGCCAAGTCCGGAGTAGGCTTCGGAATAGAGCCCTCTTGTTTGAGGAGCACATAGGCCACTTTCTCGACCTCCATTGCCCCGACACCGAGTCTTTTCAGAAGCTTCCCAGCCTGAGAGTTGAGATGCTCATACTCTTTCATGTTGTACTTGAGTGAAGCCTTTTGACCCTTATTGCACAGCCAGTAATATGCCTCGTCTGAGAAGAAAAGGACTTTTTCAGGATAGTGAACTGCGAGGATAAGCGAGGCTGTGGCAGGGCCAATGCCCTTCATTGTGGTTAAGACATTCAGCGCAGCTGAAAGGTCAGCCATGTCTCGGTAGTTGTCGATGGCTTTCTTAACGGTGTCCTGGACAGCGGAGGAGTCGTTCGATGACACGAGTTTCATGAGCGTCGGGCGAAATTTCCCGTGACGACTGTAACAATAAAGTTTAAGCAATTGATGTCGTTCCAGTCACGAAAGGAATGAACAGTATGTGGCCTTGAAATCAAGCACTTTCAACGCAATGCTGCAACGGTAGCCTGGACCGAAGCCCCGCGTGTCATAACAATGGGGACGACGGTATAGAGGGAAGTGTATGCACTCACAGCTTCCAGTCGACGAGACATTCAACATCGTCATGATTCATGGCTCGTTTCGGTTCATCCTGCGAAAAGAGGGCCGGGGCGTCGACGAAACGAAACTGATCGAGTTCTTGCAGGGTCTTCTGGCCCGCCTTGGCTACACGGGGATTGTCAGGTACTTTGCCGAGGGGCCTCTTGGAGACGCGGGGAGGCCGCGACCAAGGGCCTACTTACCACCTTTGGAGGTTGAGATGGAATCGATAAGAGAATCATAATTGGCAAGCAGCTGTTGAAACTCTTCGTAGGACATGTTGTCTGGAGAGGCGGACCTAGCACTAGCCATGCTGCTGCGTGTCGTTGAAGGACAAATGCTCTGGGCGGCGACTGGTTGTGTGCTTGAAATTGCTTCCTTGCAAGTTGAGAATTACAATGGAAGGAAGCTTTGACAGGCACTTGTGGTGGCTAACGTTGGCTGAAGAGCGTTTGGAAGACGAACTAGCTCTTGTACAGGCAAGCGTGCGCCTCGATGATGATGCTGCAACGCGTTCTAGCTCAGACGCGTCTCTGAGACTCGAATCAACAAGGACTGGATCTAGAAAACAGAGTGACTCGAGCGACGGAACGTTACATTCCACGTGGGCATGACCCCCAACAGACAATAGGTAGCTTGGGTTGATTGACGTGCAGAAAGCTACATGCAAAGAGCCAAGCATCGAATCCCTAAACGTGTGGAAGCTGCACCCTCTATTGCGAGATATGGGTCCGCGAAGCGGAACGAGGCCGGACGAACGCCAGACACGTGAAAGGAAAGGATAGGACAGGATGAAACGGCGGGCTCTTGGAGCGAACTGAGCCCGGAAACCAGTAAAATCCGGCCTCCGGGCTTAGGTTTCGGTTGTCACGTCGGTGTTGGTAAAGAAACATCCCAGCCCCTCAGTGGAGGCAGCCACTAGAAGCCCGGGGGGCCCGTGCCCAAGACAGTCTGGAATGCAGATCCATGCAGGAGCGCCTACGGGGTCATCCGAGGGGAGGGGAAAAAAGTTGTCAGTCTGCGCCCGCTTTAGACCGTTTCTATTTTCCCTCTTTCCTAAATCTCACGAACACTTCCGACTCTTGCGCATATCAACAACCTCTTCAACAACCGTTTTCACGCACCACATACGCACTTCGTTCCTACTCAATAAGACATTCAAGATGGGCAACGTATGTCAAACACACTCTGCACTTGCTTCACCCCACTGCCGATCAGGGTCTGGTGGAAACCAAATTGAGGGGCCGGCCAATGCTGACAACTCGGATTACAGGGCGCAAAGGCTCAGCAGAAGCGTGATCGCAACGCCAAGGACGCGAAGCCCAAGGGCTCCCAGCTCAAGGTGGTAAGTCATTGACTTCTCGTTCAGACTGCATCGCATTCTGAACGGCCGTCGCTAATCACTCCGTACACAGAACGCCGCGGCCAAGGACATCCAGTGCCAGATCTGCAAGGCCACCTTCCTCAAGACCACCAAGGCTCCCGCGTAAGTTGTATCGCCCCTTTTGAGACCATCCAGTCCAATACTGACGATACAATCCTCGTCTAGTCTGACCGAGCATGCCGAGAACAAGCACAGCAAGGGACTCCCCGACTGCTTTCCCGCTTTCGCTGCCGCATAATGGGGAGAAAATTTACCCTTTGAGATACGGTGGAGTTTTTGTGAACGGTGTGGCGAGGAGTTGTGGTAAAAATCAGCGGCACGCGGACCCGGGGGGAGGCGTAGTCGGTCTAGTCGAGTCGGGGCATTCAGCGAAAGGCGTAACATTGGAATATTGCTCTCTTTTATACTGGAATACAGAACGAGCCTACAAGTACACATTCCTTATGAGTTTGTACGTGACACTTGTTGATCGATTGCAGAGCCCTTGCCTTGAGCCACTTCATATCGATCGTTCGTACCATGGCCTCCACACGTCAACTAGGCCGCTTTGTGCGCTATAGTCTCCGTTTCCAGGAACGCGGAGGACTTGGCGGCTGGATGCTAGCTCGCCTTCGAAAGTCTTCAGGTGAAGCTGTGCTGTCTAGCTACACAAGGGGTAGACACCCGCCTCTCAATGAGCTGGCACCGCAGCCGAAGACGCCGCAGGAACCCTTTTCTCGCTCCCTTCTGTTGCCGCTGCGGTGGCCCTCGCCTGTTCCTCCCTGATTGCAGCCAAAATGTCCGGATACCACCGCTCCCCGACATCTGGGTGACTCTTGACCCGATTCCTTAACGTCGCCTCGCCAAGCGTCTTCGCGACCCCGCCCTTCCGGAATGTAAACTCGACGTCGTCCAGCCTCGCTCCGCCGTTCTTCTCCAGCACCGCCCTCCTCTGCTCCTTGATTTCCTCCGGCACCTGCCCGACGCCCACGGTCTCCAGGTCCTCAAACTGAGCATCCCCCTTCACCCCCTGGAAGAATGGGATCGAAAACCGCGCCCCCTGACCGGCGGGCGGGCTCAGCACGCGGTGCGTCGTCGACACACACACGCCCTGCGTGAGCGCCTCCAAGCCCTGTCCGATGGCTACTACCAGCGTCCCCTCGACCGGCGGCGCGTCGATCCATTCGCCGCGCACGTTCTGCACCTGTAGCCCGCGGTGGTGGCTTGCCTGCAGTAGGTAGCTGCTCAGCATGCTGTCCTTGTGCGGGCCAACGCCCTGGCCCTGGGCGGCCGGGTCGGTGATGCCGAGCTCGTGCAGATCTGGGTACTTTATGACCTTGAGCTTGTGTTGCTGGTTGGTGTCAAAGTATTTGGAGAAGGCGGAAGGCGGGAGCTTGATGGCCTCAGCGATTAGGGAGGTGAAGGCGATGGAAACCTCGCCCATGCGGTCCATGTACTCAGTAAAGGTGGCACGGAAGCCGGGGATAACGGCTTCCGAGGGCCACTGATTCGGAGCCAGAAGGTTGTAATCTGTAATGTTTTTAAATAATTGGTTATTAAAAGCTCACATTGAATCACATTTAAGGAACAGTATCATACAGAGCGGATCGTTGGGCCCCGGTATTGGATGCTCCGTAGAGAGATCGATCTGTTCCCGGTGGTCTATCTTGCCTGCCGTGATCTCGGCCGAGAGTTGAGAGTATCCCAAGAAAGACTTGGCGTTCTTCATCTCAATCTTCAGTCTGCGAATAGTATTTAGTCCTATCTGTTCAATTCAACTCGGGTTCATCCCCGAATAAGGAGCTTACGGTACTTTTCCTCAGTCGGGATGTCAAAGAAGGCCTTGCCTTGCATGATGACTCTCTGGAACAGATCATCGGGGATGCCGACATTCTTGAGATACAAGAAGCCGACTTCCATGAGTGCTTGGCGGAGGTCGTCGAGGAACTGGGGTTTTGTCTTGGGGTCCTGCGCCAAGGCGAAGTCAAGAATCGGAATCGATGTGAAAGACATGGTGTCTCACAGTAATTGTCTCACTAGTGGCTACAGAAACTCGACGGCCACGCTGGGGAATAAGACAACTCGAGGAGCGTAGGAATTCTTCCTATTCTTCACTAATGTCTCGCGCAGGCCGTTCTGTGATATGATCTAGAATAGTAGCAACAGGTTCGTGATATAAACACACCGCTGTTAAGTAAGCCGATACTTGAGCTCCCAATGAAGTGACAGGCCTCGGGAATGACGTGCTTGGGCGGCGGGGCTCGGCGATCAGTCTGCCCCGCACTTCGGCGCCGCGGGGAACCCCCCTTTCTGACGCACGCCGGATCAGGATCCCCATCAGTCCTACAAAACGTGATGCAATTCAAAATGCTTTTACATTCTTCTTCTATTATCGGGTATAATGCACATAGATTGACAACTTTTGTGTGTTGTAGCCGTTTCATGACCCCAAAGGCTTTGTCGCCAACAACCCCGTAACCTTGTAGAACATGTCCTCGACAGAGGGCATGGCGAACGCCGGTGCTGCGTCAAACAACTCTGCCAGCTTCTGCCTATTGATGACGGCCGGCTGGGCATCGTCATCGTCCAGATCCATCTCGTCCCCGTTGGCAACGTGCTCTTCTTGCTCATTGTCGCTGGCCATATCCTCGTCCTCGATAGTCTCGTCAAGAATCGCGTCCGACGAGACAGGCTCGCCATCTAGCTGCATGTCCTCCAATGGCCTCGATAGCACCACGGATGCGGGGTCCGTAGCCTCGGCGATGGTCCAGAGCTGCGCGGCATCATCGACAGCCACGAATCCGGACGAGCTTCCAGTGGAAACGAGACTGGTGATGCGGTGGGGAATGCGCCTCACGCAGAGCAACTCAGGCTCCTCAGGCTTGAACACGGCAAGCTGGGATGCTTGACCGCCGGGCACAACGACGGCAAAAGTTCTCGACTTGCGGTCGATTGCCAAATGGCTAAACTCCTTCACTGCTGCGGCGTTGCGACCGCTTGGCAGCTGAATGCCGTATTGCAGCTCGTCAGCCACTACATCGTACACTCTCAGGTCGTCAGAAAGGGTGATAATGTAAGGAGAGAGGACCTGCAAGCGGCGAATGTGCCCCTTCCATAGGTTCTCCAGGGTTAACCTGATTTCGCCAGACTTGGTGTCAATGACATAGACGGCGCCATCGTTCGAGCTGCCAAATGCGACGAAAAGTGTCGAGCCGTCCTCAGAAAAACACAGACTGCCGCTGCGCTCGCTCGTCGTCTCTCCCGCAAGGGCAAGCGCATCGGCACCCACATTGCTACCGAGACCTACAGCCAAAGAGCACGACCATGAATGCAGGGCCTCACCAGTACTGTCCTTAGAGGTGAGTCCATCCTGCTGTCTTGTCCTCGACTGCCATATCCGCGCCATGCCGTCGTCTCCGAGAGTAGCAAACCTGTTTGTTGCGTGATCTGCCGCAAGCGCAAGAACAGTCTCCGGCCGGCTGGTGACGTGTGGGCTGTTAATCCTGGAAGATAGAGCAAAGTTCTCCTCGCCGGCCGTAGCAGACCAGAACTTGAGATAAATCTCGCGCCTTTCTCTCACAAACTGCTCACGCGCTTCTGGAGCGACCTTCTCGAGGTCACGCTTGGGCGGTTGCCAGTCGTCGACTGTGGCCAGCCAGTGGCCGTCTTGGGAAAACGCGACGTGGGTGATGCGGGGTTCTGAGATAGGATTTCCCTTTGATGTGATATTGACATCTGTTGGCTGAGTTCTTGCTAGAGCCTGCTTCGAGATGCTGCGGAATGACTCTATATCGAACGACTGCAGCAGGGGGGCCGACTGGAGTTCACCTGCCAACATCGCCTGCTGACCCGTACCAGTGCAAACGTAAAGCCTCGATGGCTTTGCAGGGTTCAGAGCAGCAGGGACAGGATGCCGCACTTCGTCAGACACTGACCAAACACGCTTGACGAGCAAGTCTTTGGGCGTTGATGTAAACCGCGCAGCCGATTGGATACCGGAGATGTACGTTGATGGCTTCATCTCCGAGGTAGAGAGAACCATGGCAGAATTGTCATCTAAGTGAAGGGCATACGATGCACCTGTGGGCGACACAACGATGTTCTCGATGCTTCCCGACAGATGGGGGAGATGATCCATCTTTCCGGTGTCCATCTGCCAGAGCACAAGAACGTTTTCTGAACCACCAGAAATCATGTAGTGGCCTAAGAAATAGATTAGTTTCCGATCGTCATGCCAACTCGACCGGGTAATACTCACCGTCCCTCGACCACTTCAAGCTATGCACAGCCCTCCTGTGCCAGTGGTATTTGCGGCCCTGCAGACTGTCCTTCTTTGACTTCGGCGCGTTGATATTCTGCAGTTTTCTGAGGATGTCGTTGTAGAAATATATGGCACCCCGGGCGCCGCCTGCAATGAGGTCAAGGACCAAACCGTCCCTGTCGTTCGTGACTCGGATATCGAGGGAGCAGACAATATCAGCCGTATCGAAGGTGAAGAACTCGCACTCAAGGCCCACGTCAGTCTTGGAGACCTCGGGGGCCACGGTCCCCACAACCAGACCCTCTCTCGTAGCTCCGATAATGGTCTTGCCGTCAGCACTCGAGCGGAGTAGATGGATCCCTTGATCAACCTGCTTCGACGTGAAGAGGATCTCGGAGGTGGGCTTCGTGAAGTCGGGACCAAAGTACGCCACGATTTCGCTTCTCGATTGCTTTTTCCCCTCAGAGACGTAGATGACCTCGGTCTTATTTTTGGCTCCCTCGATCGCCACCACGGACATGTCAAGCGCCGTTTGTGACTGCGTCCGGAACTCATCATAGACCGTGGTTCCCTTCTTCCAATTGACGCGCCAGACACGGCCATCGGAGCACGCCACCCAGAGAAAATCAGGCTTGACTTGGGATTGCCGCGTGGCCACAATCGTGGGAGCTGAAGCCTTCTCGGAGTATGTGTTTTGGACCACTGGCAAGGCAATTCTTCGGATCAGGAGGGACTCGGCCACAGAGTAGATTTGCAAGGATGTGTTGTAAGTGAGGATCAGGTACCTGGTCTAATGTTAGACAAGCGGGCGATGATACCATCATCGGGTGCACCTACTTCTCGTTCTCCACGAATATGGGGTCAATATCAGCCATACGGCCTCCCATCGGCATAGAAACCTGCCATCCTGCTTCTTGGGCCTCGGTGTTTCCAAGCTTGACAAGCTCGCTTTCGATTTGGTCGTCCGTAAGGTTCTTCTGGAGCTGCGACAGTACGTTTAAAGCATTGTCGCGAAGGTCGCCTGCGTCTGTCTGCCCGTTTTTAAGGGGTTTCCCGGGGCTCTGTTTCCCCCTCTGGCGCAAGCGTTTCGCTTGCCCGTCCCTCTCGTTCAGTTCTCTTTTCCTCTTCTTCGCATCCTCCCGACTTATCGGGGTCGACGGACCGGCCATTGTATTTTTGTGTTGAACCTGGCGAGTAAACGAATCCGATCTCTTCGTATGTTTCCGGGCGGAAAGGCAGGGAAGGGAAAGTTTGCGGCCTTAGATGTTCGTTCGGCAGTCTGGCTTGGAATTCCTGCTCTGTTCGCACACATAGGACCCTTCGCCTTTTCCTGGAAAAAAAAGTTCGATAGCCCAGAGAAATTTTGGTCCCGCTCCATTGCTGGGCCATGCAATTGGCGGAGCTCCCCCACAATCCGCGGTGATAAGATAAGGGACGGAACATTCACGGGCCGACGAATTTTCTTTTCGCATCGCACCTTCCCGCCCCCGAATAGCAGAAGGGTCCAAAGGTTCTTTGACGGCGGCGACGATTTGCAAGCGACGACGGTAGCAACAATAAAGGCGCGGTCAACATCACAAACCTACCCCGAGCTTTCTCGGTCTGCAAAAAGTCTTCACGTCGAGAGAATCCGTCAAAATGATTATTCCCGTTCGCTGTTTCTCGTGTGGAAAGGTCAGCCTGCAGAGCGCTTGTCTTTGCCCAACCTGGCCACTAACTTTTTCTCTAGGTCACGGGCGACCTGTGGGAGCGCTACTTGAAGCTCATCGACGACGGCATTACTGATGGGTAAGTCGCCTACGCTCATTTTACCATCCTTGGCCCTAGCATACTAACGTGTATTGCGATAGCGACGCGATGGATCAGTTGGGCCTCAAGCGTTATTGCTGTCGTCGCATGGTCATGACCCACGTCGACCTTATCGAGAAGCTCCTGAAGTACGCATGCTGTCGAATCCTCGTTATTTGGCGCATTGAAAGGCTTACAACTATAGATACACTCCCGATGGTCGCAACGAGAAGAAGATGTCCCTGAACCCGTAAACTCACCCATGAGAGGATGATACGAATGGAGTTCTGGAATTAAGAGCATTGCAAGGCGTTAGGGAACAGCACCAGGGCAGAGTGCCCAGTGTCAAGAAAAGACGGTCGGTTACTCATGCCATGGAAGACCAACGACATTACCCCGCGCCCTTGAGATCGCTACCACAGATTTCTCGCGTTCTTTGATCCCGCGCTCGACTGCGACGGCTGCAGTTGAGGCGTTGCAGAGTATCGCAACGGGGCGACGGCCATTCTAGTCATTGGCCTGGCAGATTCCGGCATGATAGAGATTTCTGGGAGGTCGACCAAGGGCATTGAAGGACGGTTGTTGCCAAAGCCGGTCGCCGCGACTTATTAGAATGCATGTATTGCCAAGACTGTGACAAAAAAGCTCCAGGCCGTCTTGCTAGTATTGTTCGCTAGGCAGCTACGGCTTTCTTACTAATTGTTTGCTTTACGATACTACGATAGTGATGTGAGCATATGAGACAATCCAAGAGACAAATATTGGAATATGCAGCAGCGGTACATTTCAAAGCGGTGGCTATAGTGTGTTAGTCGGACCGCCTGTATTCCGGAATGCAGGGCAAGATCTGATATGACGATCAAGGCAAAGAGATAACCGGTCCACACAACGCAGCTTCCTGCTAGCCGGCCCAGCTTGCATCGCTGACTGCTAATACGTCTTGTTGAGCCAGTCATGTAACAGGTGGCAGAGGAATGCCGAGTGACACATACAATATATCCCTCGGGCCGAAGAACCTCATCCACTCAGCATCGCCCATGTTCACTCTGAAGGCCAAGAGACGATGACTTTGCGCGATTGCGGCGAACTTTGGCGACTGAGCGACAGAGGGCAGCTCGGCTTTTCTTGAAAGCCTAATATGGCTCGAACCATTGCTGCCCAACATTTTCGTCGGCCAGCATGTACGGTATACTTTGCTACATTACAGTGACCCATATCTATACTGATTCAGGTTCTCACAGGTTGTAGCACATGTGAGTTGTTGAATGAGCGGTGCAAATTGATATGCACGTCGTAGTCCAACGGACAGCTTCCGCACCCGAGGGTCTGGGAATGGTGCAGCGGTGCTCTTGCCGCGAGGTGCACCAACATGATGTCTGGAATAGGAAGATATCCGCCGGGCTTCATTCCGTGGGCATTGATGATTTGCCGAATGGACGCAGGGGTCCCCCCAACGCACCCTGGTGTGCTGTATGGCGTTCGGAGTCCGGGGATACGTCTGTTGGATCGACGCAAAGCTGTAAACAAGCCACTCGAAGACAGGTAAACTTTGGTGGATCAAGTTCCACAGTCCCTATGCATCAAAGCCGCCGTGTTGATTCAAACGCATCAGTTTAAACGGGCTTTCCGCGATAGGACCTAAATTGGCGCGCAAGTGCACTAGTGAATGGTGGTCAGCGTTCGATATGCAGAAAATCACGGCTCCATATCGGTTGCACGAGGGCAGGCGATACCTGATCCGGAACCCCGAATCGTGTATTTCATGGAAACGCTTGTTGGCGCCTATGCGCCTTAGCCTGCATGCGTGATGCAGTCGTGGCTGCAGGGATGCCTTTCGACAAGCGGAGGCAGTGTTTAATACATAATCGCAATGTCGTATATTGACGGACGGGTCGGAGAACCCTGGTCGACGGCAAACGAAGGTCTGCTGCTGCTTGTCTGTGGTCACATTCCTTTGGCGTCATAAGAAAGCGGGGATAATGTCTGGAGTTTCGATATCGTATCTGATACTTCTCAAGGTGGAGGGGTGGTGGAAGAACAGACCGGCCCCCCATCGGCGATCAGCAACTAATGTCCGGGCACGGATTCCTGGGTCTTGGTTCCCTAGAGCTGACACCCCATGATAGAGGTGGCTTGTTCCCAGAAGTTCTATTAGCGCTGTGATGAGTGGAGGACACCTACATAAGATCCAGGCTCATAACCGCGCTAAAATTATGGCTGGGACATGATTCTTCACGAGATGGACGAGGATGCCAGTGAACCTACAACCACCAGCGCTGGTGGGCAGTTCAAGCAGACAACTCATGAGGCATGTGCAGACTAGCTCACGGAGCGAGTTGTTCCCAGATGAGGGAAACGGCTACGGGATATCGATGCTATGGGGTAGATGGGTGTTTCCTTTTTTGTTTCTCTTGTGTTTTTCTAAGATTAGACGGGTGTTCCAACTAGCCTATATCTCCGTGGCTTAAATCCAAGAAGGTAGATGATATGTTGGAACGCTGATATCCTCTGGTATAAGCTGCTGTGACCGGGATAATTCCGGAGGTAGGGTTGTGAGATGGCAGCGATGATGGTTGGATGTGCAAACATACCTGAGGGGCGAAGCTGTCGTCTTGACTTTGAGTTGAACCAACAGCGGCTTGAGCACAACCAACGGTGAAGGGTACGTACCCACTGTGCCAGTAGGAATTGATGCCGTTCACGAGCACGAGTGGCCTGTTAGACCTAAGGGTAGCGTCTCAGTGATGGTTGATGAATGGAGGAATAGGGCCGCTTCAGGTTAAACGGATACCAACATCCGGCCTCGCCTGAGGACATGTTTGAGTGGTGTTTTCCCTTCGCAGTGCTAGCAGCCGCCTGCTTGAATTATAGAAATAATTTACCACGTTGAATTGAAGTGGGAAACGAGAGATCAATGGGACATCTAGGCGCGTGTTGTAAGGTGTCCTCGACAGGCGGGCCAACTCCCCACGTGTAAGCACGCTTCCGTTCCTCCTTTCTCATTGTTTTGTACCTATTTTACACGCCAGCCTCTTTCTTTTCCGGAGTAAAATACCAAAAAATCGGCCTCCATTTTGACTGCATGCACGGCAATAACTTGGGGAATGGCAGACGAGCACGTTACCAGCCTCCTCACCCTGCCTGCCTAAGATGTCTTACCCAAAGGACGGGTACCGCTTGGCCTGGCGCTTCTCGGCCTGACTAGGCAGAATTTCATGGAGCCTGCAACATCAACCGCACGGCGGCTCATTGACAAGGGGAAAGAGAGCATGGCTTTTGTTTATTTGACAACCGACTCGGGCCACCATCTCCGAACCCATGTCAAGTGTCGAGGTCGAGGCCACGCTCGGTTCTGTCACGCTGGAGCCGGCAAATGAGGGCACAAGTCACTTAGACCTTACCGCAGTCGGCGCGGTAGAAGGTGAACGGTCGTGTGGTGTGGTGCGTCTGTTTCTCTTTCACTTCTGCTTCCAACAGCCCATCCCCGCTTTGTACCAGGCAAAGCCAAGCCAAGCCAATTCATCCACAGTCTGACCAAGGCGGTCAACATTCCCCGGCCGGGACTGGCGGGAGACATGGCCACGACGACAGACGGGCAGCGCCGTTCACAACCATACCTGCGCGTTGCGGCCCCCAAGTACGCACACATGGGCATACACAACAAAGTCCAGACAGAAGCTGCTTTAGGTAGCGTGAATACGTTCCTTCGTCTTGAATGACACGGCATCCTCGGATTGGCCCTGAACACGCCTTGAATGTTCTGGGCATACTTTGTTGCAGGGCAGACGAGCTGGGACGCGGTTGGAAGAGGGTTGCGAGAGATATCCGCCCATCCCTCCTTGGTGCGCGAGCAGCCACACGGCACGCAACCCAAAGGAAGACCGAAGTCCCCATTCAGATAATCCGAGGATGCAGACGGCGGTTGATGCCACTGAGCCCGGCACACCGGCTCAGCCTAGACACACTTGGCCCCTGCAGGCCGCATTTCCTTCGATATACTGGTGAGGTGAGGCAGATAGAGACCTATTCTAGTGCAAGTTGAGAACTCGGCTGAAGCGGGAGTCGGATTGCATACCGGAACTGCGTCGCAGACCGTCACATTCATTCGGCCTCTCGATTTCCTCCCATTCGACAGTTTATCACAACCGAGCTGGTTGGTTGTCTGTCACCTAGGGTCAATGCCGCAGGCGTTCAGCAATGAAAGCTTGAACCGGGCGGCCACCTGCCTACCTACTACTAGTGATCTTCTCGAGAAAGCCAAGGCACGTCCTGCCCTACGCTACCTCATTCCTCCACTCGATCGAAGGTACCAGAGAAACAAAGTCCTGCCATCCGCTCCCCCTCCCTGCCCTGTGCCATTTTTCTGGCCGGGCTTTCCTTGCATCTTGCGACCCTCCCCTCCTCCGAACTTAAGGTCGACCCCTCCATGGAAAGCGGGCCCCCCTGGCTACTTGCCCTGTGCAGGGATGCTTGTGGTTCGCTGAATGAAGTGGGATCCACCTCTGCTAAGCGCCGACGCCTGTCTGCTTTATGCAGCTCACAGCTTGACGACGCTCTCTTCGTCCACCGACACCACCTTGTGCTCACCTCTGACTGGTCCAACCCGTCAGAAGGTGCGCTGCGAAGACCATGGGAGAAGGAAGACGCGCAGCTGCAGCTCTTACTGGCCCATCGGCGCACTCGACATGCTTGCCGGTGCTTGCTTGCCTAAGCCGGGTGAGGTTCGCGGAGTGAGGGCCAAGGGCAAGCTGGTGGTTGCGTCCGACCGAGAGAGGAAGAGCGCGCAGTCAAAGTCGAACCAGATGACGGATCGGATCCTGCCTCGTGGAGCTCCCTCTCTACCTCTCCCCCACCACTGTCTACTTCTCGTCCTCCAGGTAGTCTCAACGCCTCGGCCTTGTCGATTTCAACCACTCCTTCTGCTAGCGTTTCCCCGTTCGTCCTGTCGGATCTCTTACTTCCCTAGCAGAACGGCCAGCGAACTCCACAACGATCTTCTCTGTTGGCCGCCTTCTGATACCCTACCATGTGAGGTGCCTGTTCATAGGGCGGGGCCATATTCCATCAGCCATTCAAACAACACCCAAAACTTTTTGGCAGCTCTGGCTTGTCTCCCCGTCACGACTCAAATCCAGTCAGACTTTGTCTTGCTCGTTGACCGACTCGAAGAGCATATGACGACGGCTTCTGCCTCCTACTCTGCAAGTACGACGCATTCTGTTCGTTAACCAAAGGGTCAGACTTCTTTTTGTTTGCCTGTACAACCAACCTGTCCACGCTGTGCCGCCTGTGCCTGCCTGTACGTGGATGTTAACGCCCACGTACTAGCACCATCTGCCTGTTCTCCGTCCTTCTGTCAGATATTATTTCTCCCCCTCGAGACCGAACAGACGACGAAGCCAGCGGTGGAGCCGTGCTAGTCACCTGTTTCGTCGAATCTTAGCCGCAGCTCTTCTCAACCGCCCCTCCTACGGCTACATTGCAGCATAATCGCCGACACGCGTTGCTCAGCCTGATTTCGTTCTCTGCCGTCTTTGCGCCGTATCGCTCACCCACTTTCACTCTTTTTCTCTTCCTGCCTCTCCCACCTAGGCGGTACCGCTCGCGTTGCCCGCAGGTCGAGCCAACGTATCTACCCCATAAATCGACCCTTCACTCACCCGAACCGCTGTTTTTGCACCCCTGCTACTTGGCCAGCAAGCGCAGACCCGCCGCGACGCAGCGCATCCAAGCCTGGCCCTGTTGATACTTCGCCTGAGCGAGGCACGAGCACGAGTAACCCGGGTCGGCCTGGACCCCCCCCGGTTCCCGCACCATTCGTCGCTCTACGCAGCATTGAGGTAGCATTGACGAGGCACAGCTCCTCTTAAACTGCCCTCCCCACCCTCTCGCTCTTGAGATCGTTCACCTTCAAGCCGGCTGCTGCTTGTCTGGAAGTTTGGTGATCTTCAGGCCGCTATTGACGAGACCTTCCAGCACAGCTTCGTTACTTCGCCTCGACGGCCACCAGGATCAAGGCCCCCCAACCCAACCAGTGTGGCCTGGGAGTCGGCTGAGTCGGCAAACAAGCGCGCTGCGTACGGTTCCCGAGGTATTCTCCAAACTGACAGGCACCAACTGCGAGTCTGCTGGACAGCCTTGGGAGCTTCTTGTGTTGTAGTCAAGCCGTCGTTGCTAGTATTCGCGAGCAGTCTCTTGGGCTGATCATGGCACTCGAGGGCCCCCTTCGGTCGTCTCTCGGAAGCCAAATATCTAGCTATTCCCATCACAACGACATTTCGATCTCGTCTCCCGACAACGGACCGTTCCAGTCTCATTTTGCCAACATGTAAGCCACCATGCAGATTATGTACAATTGTCCCTGAACTTACGAACCATTGCAGGTCATCGAACGCTTCAGACCACTCCAACCGCAACTCCCTCCGACCATCTTCCATTCAAAGGGTCCCGTCAACCAACTTAAACCTCATGAGTCCAAGCGATATTGTCGGTCCTTCGCCTGTGACGTCGACTGGTACGGAAACCACGGAGATCGACGACGAGGAAGCGGACGAAGTTCAACAAGCTCGTATTATGCATACCAACCCAACGCCACATCCCCAGGTACAACCGCTTTTCAGCTTGCGAAACGCGGTCAGCGTAGCTAACGCGGTACAGCTCACGATGCTCTCTACCAATATTCCCGACCATGTGCGGCAGAGTAATAGCGACGAGGCTGTCTCGGTCATACATGCGCCAGAAAGCTTCCACAGTTGGGTAAGTACCCAGAGACCGAGATGACTGTAGGCAGTGATTGATTATAAAGCAGGCTTCAACGGAGCCGACGGTGAAGCCAGAACAGACCAGCGAACGGTCGTCACCCAAAACCGATACAATGAGCCTTCCATCCGTGACCGAGAATGCAATCAAGGTACGCCTATCGGTGTCGTCGCTTAGCGCAAGTTGCTCACTGAAATGGAACAGTCTAGGTCACCTGGGCTGCCTACTCCTCCTCCCCTCTCAACCGACATCAGACCTGTTAGATATAGCCTAGACAGCGCAACACCCCGCGCCCAAGACCTGCAAGACATGCTCAATGAGTCTTCCCGGCTCAGGTCTAGCAGCACAAGTAGCCTTGAAAGTGCGTTCAGTGATCTCTGTTTTACTGAACAGACTAACGCAAAACAGAAATCGACGAAGGTAGAGAGGTAGAGACTGATGCCGAAAACTACGACGACGACGACGACGACCCCTTCACCACCCCCGCTCTGCTCCGAGAAGATTCAGAGATTAGAGCTTTACGAACCGCCCTCCAGGAATGTTGGACTCTTTGCAACACTCTGGCCAACCTGAGCTCAATTCATCGTACAAGAATGTTCAACAGCTCGGGGACACCTGACGCACACGAAAAGGCATGGATGGCATGCTGGAAGCTGTGCCAGCGTTTGTACGACAACAGAGACGAGGACATTTACGATCACCACGTGCGAGAGAACCTCGACCTATGTCGCGACTTCTGCCAGTCACTCTTCGATGTCCGGCAAAAGAAAGATGAAGTTGCCGACTCTGTCTTGCGGGTTAGTTTCGAACTCAACAACCAGTACGTTTGGCCCTGAAATATAATCATAGGAGCCCGGGGCTGACCACATACCAGTCTATACAGCGCTCAGGATGTTCAGAATCTACCAGAGCCCTTCCGCGAGCGAACTTTGGATTTCTACATCACTCTTTGTCATCGGCTGATGAAGCAGCGAAGCGAGCTGGCCGATGAAACCGACTCTTTATTGAAGGCATGTTGGTCTCTCGCGGAAATGCTATTTAGCCTAAGGCAGAACAAGCGCGATGGCAGAGCGCCCGATGAGGAGCTTCTGGGCTCGGCTGTTCAGGCCTGCTGGGAACTTTGTGATTTATTCAGAGATGGGTGGACTCAGGTTCGACCAGACCGAAACACCCCACGACCGAGCCAGACCAGCTTCTTTGGTCACCAACAACAGTACGATCAACCCTCTCGTGGCGAGAGTAGAGCCTCAAACCGCTCTTCCTATTCTAAGAGAGAAAGCCACAAGGGTCTGTCGGAAGAACGACCCCGAAAACCTCCACCGGTCCCGGAAACTCCCGTTACAGAGTTCGAAGACACGCCCATTTCGCCCGAGAGCTCCTCGCCTCGGGCCCCAAACATTCTCGTTCTAGGCACAACGTCGGACAGCGGACGTGGTCGATGGTCGAGCTCCGCTTCACAGCTTTCAAGCTATTCGCAGAGTAGCAACAAGACCTCGAGTACGGCGACGACCACAACGGCTGGAGAAGACAGCAATAGCGGCCGCATCAAGGCCTTGATCATCAAAGCGGCCATGAACGTCGGTTTTGCCCGAGACCCGGCCCTCGACAGCAAGGCTGAGAAAGCAGCCCTGCAGGCCTTCGTCAAACACATGCCCACGGGGTCATTCGGGTCTCTGCCGGCACACTCGACCCTCCTGCAGCACTACAAGAACCTCGTCCAGGCTGACTCGTCGTTCCGGGGATCATCGCTGCTTCCAGCCCGTGGGAAACGCATCTCGGCGCACGATATGGCCAAGAGCGTCCACTATATGAGCCAGAGGGCTACCCAGTATGGCTTCTTGCGCGACCTCTATAAGCTGGTGTTCGGCTTCCCACCGGAGGAAGGTGAGTCGAGGAAGTCGACCACGATCGCCATTTGAGCATCGCCAATCCACCTTATTTCCTTTCCCCTGCTTCTATCGACTCCCAGATATTGTCAAATGAAAATGGAGTCATCATTTTGATTATGATCTATAAAGAAGGAGGAAAGGACAGGCATTGTTCTTTTTTATTTTCTTAAAAAAAGTTCCATGCTTCTACCTTTTTCTTGACGAAATCTGGCTTGGAGAGGATTTCTGCATGGCTTAAACGCACACCACACGCATCACGCAAACACATGGCAACACTAGGGGCAAGTGCCTGTCTCTTCATTTTCATCGTACTAGATACCCACCGTGGACGGACTTTGGGGGCGCTGAGAGCTTGGAATTTGGAAGGTTAGAAAATCACCTTATCGTTTCTTTCATGTTCTCTACATGGAGGGTGGGGAGGGATGGCTTGGAGGACTCACTCATTCTTGACACGTGTCCCAATGGAGGTTTTGTGGCCCTATCTGGAAAGGGAAATTATATATTATAGCCCGCGTCGCAAGGACAGCCAATCAACTATCTTTCCATGTGCAAGTTTCCATCCCCGCTGGCCGGCCTTCTTCCTTTGTATGAGTATTTTGAAATTTCAAATTTGTGAACTGTGTGTTCTGGGTGTACTTTGGCGAATGCTCTGGTTTGTTGTCTTTACTGATCTAGCTTGATTGGCACAAAGTAGCCCTATGGAGTAAGAGTGTGTGAAGTTGAGGAAGAAAATGCAAACTGTGGCCTTACTCAGAGTGGCCCGATTGAGTCTGGTCATCAACCTCTTGTGCTAGGTAAACACCAGGAGTTAGATCGTTTCCAAGAAGGGGATCAACACTCCAGTCAATGTCGTTGTCAAAGTCGTCGAGGCCGTCAAGGAAACCGAGACCATCACCGAACCCGGACTGTTCCGGGACCGCCATTACTTCGGAGCCAGACTGCCCCAGATTCTCGCCGTCACATACATAACCACTGGTATCCGTCTCGACGATAGCATCTCCAACGAATGCCTCCAAAGAATGTTGAACGGCCTGGTCCAGAATAAGGTTGTGTGCCTCCAAGAGCAGCGGAGAGTGAAATGAGCTGCTGGCTTGGCAATTGCTTTGGGGGCCGGATTCCACCTTGTTGAAGATCTGGCTCCATGCTGCATCTGAAAACATGAGACTTGTGTCTGCGGACACCATTGTTGACTGTGTTGCTGTAGACAAGGAAGTTGGAACGGAAGTTGGTCCTTGGGCCGAGGTGCTGTTCATGCCAGCGTTTTTGTCCCAAGTCTGGGGCATCTGAAAAGATAAAGGCAGCGGCAAGATGTCCTCGGGCTGGGTCTTGTGGCCAACACCTTCGATAAACTGGCTGCATGGGAAATGCTCGTTCTTGTTATCATCGGTGTAGAAGGCCTCGTCAGCCTTGTCTGAGTCAACGTGAGCGGCAGGTTCTTCAGAAGGGACAATATCGCAGAAGTTTGTGGTACCCTGTTCCATGCCCTGATGTTTGAGGTTGTCCATCGACATTTGGGCCGGTTTAGCCGTAGTGACCTGAGCGAAATTGTTATTTGTCAACTCCAGTCTTGCCCGTTTCGCCTTAGGTTCCTCCATGGACTCAGGAGCAGTATCAGGGGAGAACGATGTATCATTGAATCCATCAATGGGAAGCATCTGTCTTGCTGCAGAACTTGGAAGCATTTCACCAGGCTCCTCGAGCTGTCTCTTCTGGGTTGTAGAGGGATACAGAAGTTTGTTGTAGAAGTGCAGAACAGGCTGGTAGCCGTAAGGGGTCTTGTATACCGTCGGGGCATACTGGTCAAACCAGTACGTTCCAGTCGGCTCTGGGCCGCTGACATGTGACTGGTATTGCGGGAACTTCTCACGCTGCAGCTGCGACTGCAACCGCAGCTGAGTACGTCCCCCCCATGATGGCCGTATCAGTGATATGTTGAGGTTTTCGGAAGGCTTGCTCGTATTATCTATCGGATATTGCAACTTTTGATGCTCCCCTGGCGGAGACCTTGGATGCTCCCAGTTTAGCTGAGGCATGTGGGGGAGAGATGAATGGGGGGGCTCTTTTCCGGGTTGGACATGCTGAATAGTTTGACTTTGCGATTCCAGCTGATATGATAAAGCAGATGGAGGCTGAGAACCAACTAGTCCCTTTGGCGATGACTTGGCCATTTTCCTGTTTCCGCTGTTCTCAGGGAGCTTGCGGTTGATAAGCGCCGTACTGCCGAATGGTTATTATTCATTTACAAGTTCTCCTTTGCTCCATAACACGACAGAGTGAAAGAAAACAATGAACGGGAATAAATTTTAATAAGAGAAGATCGCACTTACCCGAACTCAGGGTCACGGCCATATTTAGTCTTAATGTATCGAAGCTGCGACGCAGAAAGAGATTTGCCGAATTTCTTCTGGTACTCGTAAAGAATGATATCGCGTTTCTTGTCGGCGAGAACCTGCTCCAGGACGAAGAATATCTGCTCCTCGGTGTAAGATATTTGGCCAACCATTTTTGTGAATGCTTTGTTGTGATTGCTTGAAATGGGCTGAGTTGGTCAAGTTGTTGGATTTGAGGAGTCTGTGGTTGCTGAGGCAAGGTTCGTGGCAGTGATTGGTATAGAAGTGGGAAGAAAGGAAGTGATTGGCTTGCCAGCAGATATCGAAGTTATATGAAGGCAGAGAAAAATGAGATGTGAGGGGAAGTAATTCACAGCGTAGTTTTGACAGTAGGCAGTTGCAGCGGATGCGATTCAGGAAGGTCGGTACATATCCATGCGATGGAAGGAAACAGCTGCTGCCTCTCCATAAAGGAAGGCTCAAGACACGGGAGTACAGACGAAAGATGAGGAGGTTATCTACCAATTCGGCCATCTGCCCGTTTACTACGGCGGTGAGCCATGCTCTAATCTAGGATTATAGATAGGCGTGTTTGCCAGCCATGCTGTCTTTCCTTCCATCTACTGTCTAAAGGCATCCCGAGTTTCTCATTTTACGAACAAGCATCCGCAACCTACATAGGTATGCTTGCTAGTTGCTATGCTTCGTGCTTGCGCGCAAATATGCCCCACCAGCATGTCACATTGATGACCTCTTCAGGCCCGCCCCAATCGTCTTGACCATCGAGAGTTCCCTCCTCGACGCAGGTCAGAGGCATCTCTTGGCTTCCCATGGCATCTCTGAATGATTTCAATAGCTGTTTCGTCGTTTCGTCTCGCAAAGGGACCATTACAATTGCACGCGCGTCGTCTTCAGTCGACAGCTGTTCGGAAAAAGCACCGGCTAAGAGGCCTGGGTGACAGTCATCGTAGAGAGAATCAGCGGCGAGGACGACCTGTAGAAGATGTAAGCAAGTTGTGAACGGTTATGCGGTCCAGTCACGCAAACCTTGAACTGGTTCTTCTTGTCAAATAAGTCTGAGTCAACTTCGTCTGCACCCGAGCCACCCCAGGTGAGGGCTCCCGCGTCCAGTGACCCCCCGAGCTTCTCCACGGTAGCCCGGTTGGTTTCAATATTGTGCCGTAAATTCGACATAATATCTGGCAAGTCACTTAAGACAACGTGGGCCTTCCAGAGCGCCGCCGCCGCGAGTCCGAGCAGGCCCGTGCCGGAGCCCAACTCCAATACGGACGGCCGTGGCTGGCCAAGTGACTCGTCGAAGAGACGGAAGAGGGCAGTCGAGCCGATAGACGGCAGGCTTTGGGCCAAGACGTACGAGGAGGCCCATGTCTTGAGGCCGAGCGAGTCACCGGTCAGGGGTGGCTCACGGATGATGAGTTCGAACGTCGGTGTGAGAGCATCTTCCCGGAAGGGCCATCGCCGAGTAATTTCGCCCATGGCTACACTCTGCGTAAGAGGCCGGGCGCCCGAGTCTGAGGAGCGGTAGTTCTATTTCTCACATACCTGTTCTTCCACAACGCTCGGCCATTCTGCGGCTGGCTTCCGACCAGATCTCCTCCTTCTCATCGTCATTTTTGATCCAGGAGAGACCGCTCTTGATGATGGACGATAGGTACAGTGATACTTCGCGTCGGAAATAGGCCGTTGCCTCCTGCTCATGGATAATGTCTGATCTTCTGCGGTTGTGACTCCAGATCGGGGGGCTGAGTTCCAGTTGCTTCAGTGTGTCGAGTATGTCATCACTTGACGGTTTCTGCCACATCTGCGGGAAGTCTTTTGGCTCGAGTAACATTGTTGGTGACTAATAAATGTCTATGTGCAGTTGTCTATTTTTGTTTTGTATTCGTGGATTTCCCCGAAAAATGACGAAAAGAAGGGAAAAGAAAGCAACGCCGAACAAAGAGGCGCGCGCTGTTCGCAAGCCAGAAAGGGAAACGTGCTGTTTTAAAACGGCCGGGAAATTTTCAGCGGCGGTCAGGACTTGCATAAGGACCCCATCGCCAAAACACGCCGCGACGACAGCGGCCATTCGGATAAGGGGCCCTTATCGCCAAGCTACCAAAATTCTACAAACCGTCCGGATCGGGCAGGTGGGGTGTCTGCTTTGGAGGGTCTTTCCCCCCTCCCGAGGTACCGACGAGCCCAGCTCCCTCATTGGCTAGCCTCATTTGCAAGGCTGCCATCGGCCCCTGCGACCCCACGTCACAGAAAAATCGTATATAAAGCTCCAATTTCCACGCAGGTTCTGACTCCCACCTTCTTTTTTTCTTCTTCAAGCACCGTCCTCTTCAACGCTGCGTTTCTATGCTGCAAACGGAGAGATTCGCGCGCAAGCAAGAATCTCTCATCACTGGCATATGAGAAATTCGGAGTAACTTCTTCACACCACTCACCCAATGTCGCCTGCCTTGTGCGGGATTGACGGGTCTGCCCGCGAGGGCCTGACGTGACTTCACGTCTGCAATTGGCATCAGAAAAGCAGGGCCCGGGCCGACCTCATGCATATCCTGAATTCCTTCCGGGGGATGCAGGAGAAGATGAGATTATAGGACTCGGTGTCCCTATGGGAGAGCCGTTGCGAAAAGATTGTGCAGAGCACTTGAGTGCGATACGCAGCGTCTGGACCCTGGCTGGCCTCGGCTGGTCAGGGGCTTGACAATTCAATTCCGATCATTCTGTTGAGGACGGTGCTTCACCACCTTTTTCCATCATGTAAGCAATGTCTCTTGCGCGATTGCTCTTGTGGATCAAGGATACTACTAACGAATAATTACAATACCTTTTCACTTAGACAGCCGTTTCACCCGGTGCTTCGCCTGCAACAACACAATTCCCGCGTCGTCGGCCATCAGCGTATCCAGTGCACTGCCAATCTGTCCTCTCACAACCATATCCCCGACTGCCCCATATGATCACCTCGTACGATGACTCTGTCGACCACTGTGCTCTGTCTGGTCGCTACGGCATTTTTCTAGTTGCTGTTGTCATCGGGAGCAACATACGTCTTCTCCGCTGCGGGCAGTTTGCCCAAAAGGCTTTTCCACATCACCGATTCGGGATTTGCAGCTGTCCAGGCCCTGTTCAAGTGCCAGATCAAATCCCCACACGCCAGATGATCCATGTGGGCTCTCTCACCAAGCTCTACAATTTCCTCGACAGCCTTGGTGACGTTCTTGAATTGACGCTCGATGATGGCGTTCCTCTCGTGAAGGCCATGGACCGAGGGAAGCCTGTCCTTCTCGGCTGATTGGAGGTGTCGCAAGCAGAGGCCGATCTGTGCCATGACGGAGTCAAAGTCGGCCGATCTCTCAGCCTGTGCCTCCTCTTGCTTCATCCCTGACTGTATCATGTCACTCCAAATTTTATCCAGCGTGTCTGCGCTGGCGAAGCTTTTGACGGCGTAGCACTGTGTTCTGAATTTGTCGTCGATTGTCTTGTAGACATTGTACGCCGTCTCAAGTTGCGCATGGAGCTGGCTCAGCAAGAGTCTGACCTCGATGAGTCGCCGCTCTCGAAGCCGGATTGAAACCTCGGGGTTGGCGCTGAGAGGAGACGGGCGTGTGATTGCGAGGGTCTTGTCGATCTGCTTGCCACGGTCGGCCACGTCGCGGCTTCCCTCACCGCCGCCTCTCCTCTCGTTTTGTGTCTGGCTGACGCCCTTCTTCTCGCGACGCTTGCGGTTTTCTGTCGGTGGCGGGACTTCGCGGTCGCTCGAACCGGGGTCCATGGACGGCGGGATGTCGCGGTCAGTGCGAAGCGGGCACACGGTGGACCAAACGATGTCGCCGGGTAACGCCGCGTAGAGATCCTCGATGCGGTAAGGCGAAAGCGACGAAAGCCGCGGGTTGTACGGTTGAGGTGGTCGGTTGTAGTGTGCGTGGTTGTATTCGTAGTACGGCATCTTTTCCGGTCTTGTCAGCGTTGTTTTTGGGTGAGGACGATGCGCGCTCGTTGTCTCGAATGTGTCCTACGCCAGTGTGGTTGATGATGAGGATCCCTTGCAAGTGGGAGATGCTAAGTATTCACTTGGGTGTCATTTGTAGCCTCGGCACATACGCATAAACTGGTCATTCTGGTGTTGTTGACTGCCTTGTTTCCCCTGATCTGACCGTTACCAACTCCCCGCTTTCCGGGAAGGCTGCTAACAAGGAAGACCAGAATCCGACTTCCGTTGGGATATCAAGAAGACAAACCCGCTTTCTTCAGTGTACCATCAGACAAACAGAGATGCTTTCACCCTGAAAACATTTGCGCATATTGCTTGCTCTTAGTTATCTTTTGAGGTTGAGAACCGGCAGCCGGCATTGCGTGATCGAAGCCGGAGCATGTGGGAGCATGCTCCAAATGCCGCCTTCCTCAGTCAATGCTAGCTTCTGCGGCTCAAGCTGGCTTTCTCAGTCTTACTATAGCCATCGCCGCAAAGTAAGGCGAGAAGGTACCCAGTTTCCCTAGGCTCACAAAGCCATGCGGTTGTCTCAAAGAGGGTATTGAGTGATTGTCTTTCGACATGGCAGTTTTAAATTTTGATGTATCCCACCCGTGTTGGTCTGATCAGTGCAAGGTAGCATCCGGCCTAGCTCCCCGGCCACCGATACCGAGGCCGCCGCCACCCTCACCACCACCTCCACACCACAACGACCCGACCCCCGGAAAAGGCTAATCAACGGTGGCGGGCCGGGAACCGAGTGGGTCTTGGCGTCGTTGCCCCCCTCCTTCCCCATCTCTCCGTCCCGATTAGTGGCTTTCAACCCAGGGGGAAGGCAGGAGAGCGGACGAAGGGTTCGCCCCTCGCGCCCTTCTATTTTGGGCTTGTTTTATGATATTTCTGGAAACGGCAGCAATCGGGTTGCCTTTGTACCTTGAAATTCAACAGCAAACTTTAGGGGGGGTTAAAGTTACTTTCCGCCCACTCTTTCGGCGACGGGTGGCAGAGATGCTTGACAAAAGTTTGAGATAAGTTTATGGCTGGCAGCGCAAACGCAAACGCGGAAGCAGACTCACAACTCGCCTCAGCCCATCCACGCAGCATGCAAACTTACGTGACAGGTTGCCCGAAAAAGTCATTCCACTGTTGCTCCTGGTCAACGACTTTCGCCGAGCAGGCGGATTGCGCGAGGGGGTTAGAGGGAAGGCAGAGGAAAATACGGCAAATAGACCCATGTTGTTCATCGTGGCTGCCTCGGCGCGGCCTCAAGGACCGACCTCCCTTTCCCGAGCCTCAACACCACGCCGGCATACTTTCTACTATATGCGTGCTTCCAAAGTCAAAATCTTACAAACAGTATACTAGTTTATGACAAAAAAAACAAAACAGAAAAAAAAGACATCGGGCAGCCGAAGCCGATTACCAAGTCTATATCGTTGTTTGGATGCTTATTGTACATCCCCCCCACTCCCCCCTCTCAATGTAGGTGGGAAAAGACTGGGGCCAGTCACTGGCCAATCCTGCGCTGACCAACACAGCTCCCAGCTCCTCCCCCTGGCCCGCCCGATATTACGATGCATTATTAATAACACTGCGGGGGGTAGCGCTGGTGGAAACCGCTCCATAAAAACAAAAAACAAAAAGAGCGTTGACAATCTGAGCCCCAATCTCGTGCGGAGCAGCGAATGGGTGGGAGTAAAAAGGTAAAAAGGGGACGCTGCGACGGCAAAGTGGGCACCTCCTTGAAAAGTAAACAAAACAGGAGGAAGATACCTGAGGGAAATTACGGAATGGCTTCAGATTCAACCCCCCCCCTCCCCCTTCCATCTCCCTCCATGTCATACAATCAATGTAGCCTGAACAAGCCGGCTGCATAACTGCAATACCTATGCAACGGGTTTCAGGAGGCGCACGGTCGACTTTTACTCTTTGTTTTTCTATTGTTTTCCAAAGGAATAAACCAGGGACTCTCATCTGCAAGATGCAACACCTGGAGCGAGAGGGATATGAAGTTACTACTTTGCATGAACAAGATGCCTTGCTTACTCCTACGGCAGAATCCCGAGGACGCCCATTGCATAAAACAAGGCAGGGGCCTAAAAGCAGCTCGCAGTCTTTGATATGGTTTTCATTTGCATTCTCTGCATGCGTCTGTGGTCGGCTACTGCCTGGTATCAAAAAAAATTGAAGAGGTAAAAGAAAAGAAAGGAAAAGGGGGAACACTATATCCAGAGGAACAAAATCCTGACCCGTATCCACGGTGTTCCAGTTGTGGTCCCCAGAGTCCATGCAATCCTATATGCTGGTCGCTGATGACCGTCCGAGCCCTGTTGATGCAAATGCGATCCCAGTACGAGGAAAATAAACAAAGAGAGAAAATCATTTCGCTGTTGCTGATGCTTTCGTGCGGCCGTCCTATCCAGGATTACGGCGAGATATCCCCGATAATTATTCGCTTGTGAAAGAAAACCGCCCCTTTCAAATCGTCAAATCTTTTTTTTTTTTTTAATTCGCCTTGCCCTTAGCCGTTTTGATCGCCGATCCATTGGCCTTATCGAGCAGTCTGAGATGTCCATCCTTGATCACATTCTAAGCGACCGCGATTGCAGGTGGACATTCCCTGTAGATCTCTGTCTTCATGCTCTTCAGTCGCTCGCGCATCTCAAGGAGGTCGTTCATCTTCTGCTGGGGCGGGTCGCGCATGTCGGCAATCTCCCAGTGCAGAGTCTCATACTTTTGGTAGAACGCCTTGAAACGCGCGGCTTTGCTGACCAGTTCAGGGCTGAGTCCGCGTTGACGCTTGGGAACTGGCTTGGTCCGGGCGCTCTCGTTGGAGTCGGAAGATTCCACCAACTTGCGCTTCTTGGGTGGCGCCGAGTGGTCCAGGTCTGATGCGTTCGTTGGCGGTGACGAAGCCAACGGCGAAGACTTGGCTGGCGAAGTGTTTTTGCTCTTGTAAGAGACGCCAGATGAATTGCGGGACGAGTTGTGCGAGACATCTGCGGGGCGCTGCTTCAGGCTAACGGGTGCCTTGATCGGCGCCTTGGGCTTCGCTCGCTTGGCCAGGGGGACACCAGAGCTGGAGCTGCTGTCGTCTGCCTCGTCTTCTCGCTGTCGCTTAGGCGGCTGCGACTTGATCGCCTTGACAGCCTCCCGAGGAGGCTGAGGTGATTTCTCCTTGGGCCGCTCGATCGATCTCTCAACCGATCGGTCCGCTGGCTTCTCCACCGCTCTGGGTTTTGGCTTTGGCACTGCTATCTTTGGCTTTGGCGCAGGCGCCTCGGGCTTCTTCTTGAGGGCAGGTGCGGCGGCAGGTACCGGCCTAGGCTTGGAGGCCACGATGCTTGCCATCGGCTTGTCCTCCGAGGACTCGGAGTCCGAGTCTGAATTGGTGACGAATTCTGCAGAGAGAACACGGCCGTTCTTGCCCGCGGCAGGCGCCTTCTCTTTACTTTTGATTGGTGCGGCCCTGGGCGTCGAAGTTTTCTTGTTCGTCGACAAGAGGCGCTTGGCCTGGGAGTCAGCGGCCTTCTTCGGTTTCGCTGGTAGCGGATTCGACGATGACCGTAACATTGTTTCGCCACCCTTCATCTTGAGGACGTCTTCGTCTCCGTTGTCGCTGGTTGCGTCGCTGACCTTGATCTTGGGTGGGGGTGCTGCGGAAGAAGCTTTGGCAATGTTCGCCTGCAACTTGCTGAGGATCTTGCCCTTTCCTCGCTCTTCCCTCGGCAGGAGCTTCTGCCAATCGGGCTCCGTGGTTGCCAACCGCATCTTGTCAAACTGTCGGATCGCGTTATCGATCGCCTTTTGCCGGGTATCTTGGGTATCATAGTCGTACTTCCACACATCCAACTCTCTCCAGTAGTGCTTTCTCAACGCCCACATTTGCGTGTCCGGCTCGAATTGGGCAACCTTCTCCAGGGCGGGCTTGAAGTCTTCCTCTTTACCCTCCCAGAGGCCTTCTAGGTAGTCGTATGGCCGGTCCTGTACCGCCAGCTCATGGACGATCATCGACCTCTGCTCCTTGGACTTCTCGACAACCTGTTGCGAGGACGAAAAGACTGGGTTTGTCGACGGTGAGCTGACGGCTACCAGAGCCGGTGAGCCCGAAGGAGAAGACTTGCCGCCGCCGTTGGCGTAGGATGTCATGCTCGACAGCAACGACTTAGCCGTCTTCCCTGTGGCCTTCTTGTTGTTTGATGGTGGTAACCTATTCATGACCCGCGACCTATTGCCCTTGTTAGTTGTGCCATGACTAGCTTTGCCCAGTCACCGTCCACATACTGCTTCTTCGACGCCGTCGCCGCGGCGATGGAATTTTGCAGATTCTCTATATCCGAGTCCATGCCAGACGACGAGGTCGAAGGGGCGCCCTTTGCCTTGGCTTGTTCGGCCTTCTTGGGGGCCTCGGAGCTGGGCAGCTTCTTCCATAATGAGGAGGTTTGTGGTAATCGCGTGGCTCGTTTAGTCGACTCGAAAGGTTTCGTGAGGAAGAGGTCGTGGGAGTATGGTTCGGGGACCGGAGAAAGGATATGGGAGCTAGATCCGTAGAGCAATGTCTTGGAAGGCAAAACCGTTAGCACGCTGGCACAAACAGGACTCGCGTCGGTTGACGGGTTTCGTTTGGGAGTGTCTCGAGGTTGCAGCCTGCGTCCGACCGGTAGCGGTGCGTTGTTCGTCATGCATGCAAAAGCAACTTTAGGTACCAGCAGCTCTTCCCCTCAACATAGACAATGGGATTGTATCAAGGGGTTCGGAATGTCGGCAGGAAAAGGTGCTGAGAACTGCTTACCGGGCTACTCCCCAAGGACAGTTGGAGGTCCTCGCCACTTTGCACACACCTGATCATGTCCTCCAGGACATGGTCGGATAGATTGATGGTAAAGGCCTGGGGCGGTACAGGATTGCCCGAGGCAGCCGAGCTCTCAAGAATGAGGCCGGTTTCGGGGACTTTGAGCGAAGGCATCGTGTATCTCTCTTTCCCTCTCGGATCACGGGAATCGGCTGTGTCGGAGGCTGGTCGCACTTTGCATGCTCAAGCTCGGCTTGAAAGATTTAGCAGCAAGAAGACGAGAGGCTAGTATGAGGTCGGATTAAACAGTCGAGAAACGAAGGAAAAGGTTATCGGGCTGGGTGGTTGAGTTGTTGCAGACTTCCAAGTTGCGTGTATTGTTCTTGCAGGCGGATTATGGGGCGCAGGTAGGCAGGACGTCACATTGTAATGGCGAGTCGAATGGGGGGCTTTTTCCGGCCTCGCAGGCAGTGAATGGGAAGGGGGCGACGGTGTGATTGAGGTTGCGAGCTGCCCCTTTCTTTCTTTTTTTTTTTCTGCCTCCTTCTCGTCCCAAGGGTTGTGCCAAATAAGAGGTTCACCACGATAACAAGGACAAGTGAGAAAGTTGCCTTGGAGGCAGAGAGGGTGAGGAGGAGGTGAAGGTGAGGGAAAGAAGTCGAGTTCAGGAACAGGAGGAAGAGTAGCGGAGATGGAAGCACGGCCAGTCAGCCCATGTCCCCGGCCGAAGAGGGTGGGCCGTGGAACGCAGAGAGCGAGCGAGAGAGGACTGAGTGAGCCCCCCCAGAGCAGGCGGCTGGACCGCAGCAGGGCCGCCTCCAGACGTAGCAGGGCACCACCCACCAGCTCGAATTAGTGCTAGTACCTTTCTGGATACTTCGAGAGGGTAGTGGGGCCGGCTGGTTGCCCGCTGGGAGGGCCCCTTAAAGACCGCTGGAGCACGCTGAGTTTCTTGCGACAGTGGCCAAGGGCCTGCTGAGATGTAGGTAGAGGCCGTGTACCCAGCCCCCATGCGAGACAGGGTGTCACGGCTGGCCAATAACGGGTACATGTCATATACTTTGCTGAGTTCATCAACTGAGTTTCCCAGTACCCATGAGGGAGGGGAGAGAGTAGGCACACTGAGTGACTGAGCAAAAGAGGAAGCAGGGGACCCGCCCTGAGTTCGATCTCTTGGGCAACCGGCGGCCATTACTGGCTGGGATGAAGAATCCGTCGGGGGCGAGGGAGGGGACGCTGGTCGGCGTGCTGGTACCTCTGATACCTCTGACCTTTCTGGTGGGTACGACAGGGGTGGTCGGTGTGGTGTCGGGATCCACGAGAAGGGAACGTCTAACTAAAGCACCTAGTCCTAGTCGGCCTGCCTCAAGAGGAAGAACAGAGGGACCCCAAGTCCCAAGGGAGTCGAAAGAAGAGCAAGGACTGAGAGTGAGGAAGACCCTCGATTCTGGACGGGTTCTGGCCTCCCCTCTGTCTGCGTGCCGCTCGAGGAACGACCGCGTTCAGCACTGGCCAGCCCAGAGAGGAAAACCGGCCGGTCCCCTCGTCCCTCAGAGACAGAGGGTGAGACGGACGGACCGACGGACTGGCTGGCTGGACAAGATGTTCCTGGGGCTCTTCTGGCTGCTGAGTAGAGAGGGGCTGTTCTGATTCATCGGCCAGAGCCAGCCCCGTCGCGCAGCCGCGGCGCCACATGAACAAGGGCAAAGACATTGAACGGTGGCAGCGAGACAACACAACACCGCCAAAGAGGCACCACCCGGGGTTCTCGATAGCGTGGGCAATAAATGGGCCAGAACCAACCCACGGGAATGGCTATCGTGCCATTGGCAAAGGGTACGACAGCAACAACAACTCGGCCGGGGGAGAGAGGGAGGGGGCAACCGGGGATTGCATCCGATGACAGGCAATCGCCGGTCCCTCACTTCGTTCCATAGCATCAATCCATAATCCTCGTCTGCCGGTTACGCGGTGCAGGTCCAATTGACAGCATGACGCTTGACAGCAAAAAGCCCATGAAGAAAGCGTAATAAATGAAGAATAAACTATTAGACACGCCCCAAGCAGCAAATACCCACTTACTAGTGAGACGAACACGCCGATTTGGCTGCACCGCAGCCGAAAACAAAGCGAAAGCAATACCTCGCCGTCCCAAGCAGGGTAAAGGTAGGTAGTATTCGCATCCACCCGTTTTTTTGTTTTTATATATCCTTTCCTCCTTCTTGAGTCCCACAAAGGTTCCTGTTCCCACTCGTTGGGCCCTTGTGACTCGTCTCCTGAGACTTCATCGCTTTCTTTTTGTCATGATAAACCGCCAGAGAAGAGGGAGACAAATCGCACTTGCTGACCAGTTGCTCGCTCAACGGGATCCGGGAGCGGGCAGCATGTGACAAACCCTCAGACTCTATTAGGCTTTGTCTCGCCGTTTCCATGAGCTGCCCATATCCTTCTGGATCAGCATCTTTGATTCATGTTTCTACCGTGTGGGGATAGAAACATCATGCAATATTCCACCCCTATTGGATGGGCAAAGGGCAACAATCCCATCGAGTAATTACTAAGGCGCTCTGCACTCGCCGTCTAGGTACCATGGGGTGGAGAGAAAGCCTGGCTGCTTCATTGCTTCCAATTGTTTGACTGACGGGCTATCCGTCCAAACTTGACACACGGCCGCGAACCTTAATGGGAACTGGATGGGGAGGAGAGGGGGGGGGGGCACCCTCGAGGACAAAACCGCGTTGTCCAACTCTGTCTGCCTAGGTAGGTCCTAGTCCCAGGTCGACCGCAGCTAGCGGATCTGCCACCCGAACGTGGCCCTCGCCCCTCCGTCTCAACTGTAACATGGTTACATGTTCACTACCTTCAATCGTCGGTCCGACCATGGTCCTTCCGCTGCTGCATCTGTCTGCAAGGCATTTCCATCCGTTTAGCTGGGACACGGATATGCTTGCACCCGCGAACGTGCAATACATGATTAGAGGAAGAATGCGACGGAGGAGGCCACTAAGTCTTGTACAAGTAATTTCGGCACTCCATTGCTAGAGATAATTGGGATGGCGCACATGCTTGATCCAACCCGCCCGTTGGCTGCATTCCTCCCTCGGTCGGCAGCATCACACTTGTAATCGTAGGGACGAATCCGATCCACTTCGGTGCTACAGTACTTCGTGCAGCGCAATAGGTATCCGTAGGTACTCAGGTGGGAGATGGGGTTGTGTCTCGTCCTGGTACCTTGCCGTCGGCGTGCTTGTATACTATTATTTCGGCGATGCCCAAGCCCAGACAGACCCACTTTCTCTCTCCAAGATGTGCCCGATACTGCAGCGGTACATGACCTCGTGGCTGCAACCAAAAGTTCGATTCTCCCGCGCCCCCGGCACATCGTCACCCGTCCACTTGGGCGCCGCTGGACTGACCGTAAAGAGCGCTGCAAGAGCAATCTTTGTTGCAGAACGGTTGGCGGTTGGCGGGTAAGTGAAAGGCGGCAGGCGGGCGGAGCTGCAACACCCAGAATGAAAGGCAGCAACATTCGCTTCATGTTTGTCTCGTTTCAACCCTCGGGTGTTTCCCCCATGCACCCACCTTTGGGTTTGCCGTCTTTTCTCTTTGCTGGTTTTTGATTATGATTTGATTCATTTCTTTTTCGACGCCAACGTCTTTATGCCAGATCGTATTGCTTCTTTCCTGGCCTCCCTTCAGCCAGCCAAGCTGACTCTGCGAAACAGGGGCGCAGCCTATCAAACGTGTCGTCTACAGGCCTCTCGCTCATCTTTGGGAATCATTCGAGTTATGCCAGTGACCGGTACCACAAACACGGAGTCGTCGCCCCGAGGCGGGAAGCAATCCATTCACCTGCTGACGCTGGGGCACCTGGCCGGTGAATCAAGTGACAGCACAAGCGAGACCGTCTCCATATGGACCCGCCTGAGATCCGCACCAGCTGCAGCATGAGAAGGTCAGGTACCACCATCCGCCCGTCCGTGACTCCGTTCGAAGGACGAGGCGACCTTGACGACATAGGTAGACTGCTTCCGCGTGGTCGTTCCCCTCCCTCGTTCAACCGCTGGCTGCACATCGACAATAGGCACAACACCTTGCATTTCGATCTTCCTAGGAGGCTTGGCCGGGGCCAACTCGAAGCTCATAGCAACAGGCCAACCGTCTAATTCACCAGACTTCATGTTCCCTTTCCTGGGCCGTAACGAAACCAGTCATATATCGATGACTGCGGCGACCAGCGACACGACAGTTGCAGTACGTACATGTATTGCTGGCGTGCCAGTTCAGCCGAACGCGGGCACGGCGTGGGCGGTGGCATGGCGGCGGTGTTGGAATGTTAGGAGGGTTCCCTCGTCAGGCACGCACCAGTTGCTGCGCACAACGTTGTTACGGTCACTGGCCACGTTCTGGTCGCAAAAGGGCAAGCCAAGGAGCATCAGGCAAGGTGAGGTCAGCCGGCGCCAATATGAGTGGTGTAACAGCAGCCACCGGCGGTACAGTCGTCAGCCCGCCTCGCCTTGCAATGCCAGCGAAGCAAAGAAAGATGCACAGAAGCCTCCCGAATACCCACGTCTGGGTTGCGTTCCCCGTTCTGACTCGTCGATCCTCTTTGTTCGTTTCGACTTCCCTCGAGTGGAAAGCATTCGCAAGACACCAAGCGGCAACATGATGCCTGCTCACCTCCTCTACGGCAACGTTAGATTCTTCCCCGGATACCGGGTCAGCAATTAATTATCAATCACAAACACAGGCGACTTTTGCCTTCTTGTCGAAGCCCGGCAGGGTGGCCACTAGCCACTACAAGCTCAGTGCACCCACCCTCAAACTGTCGTAGAGCCTGGGTATCCTTCAGACCCAGGACAGGCTATAGTCTGCGCCAGAGATACATGCCCGATACCTGGCTAGCCCCGAGACGGCGGTACGTACTTTGCTTAGCCAAGGTACCGACCCAGTGAGGTAGGTATTCGCGCCTACCTAGGTATCTAACTACGAGTAGGTACGGAGCAGATACTTCGCACCTACCTACATAGGCAGGTACTCGTAGTTGTGCACCAGCCAGTCCGGAACAAGTACCTGAAGGGCAGCTGTTGTGACGCCTGACGTTGTTGTACCTTGAGTATCCCTGCACATCTGGCTACTACGATGTACCTGTGGAGGTAGGGAAGCCCACGCTCATGGTCAGGCAAGCGCGTGGTCCAGTCAGCTCTTTTCTCGATGACGCCTCCAAAGTCTTGAGAGCAGCTGGTCTGATTCCCCGGAATGACGAAAAAGAAAGCACCACTCCAATCGACGGCGACGCTAAATGATCACAGACAACCTCTCGCAGAGATCGAACAATAACAAAACCTAGAAATCTCTCCGGCATGAACCACTCCCTGCCACGCAAATACTCGGGCTACCCGCAGAACGACCCGCCTGTAATTGTCTTGACGTTTTCCATGGCGAGTCGTTCGCCCCCCCCTGTTGCTTCACACAGTGACACAGCTCCTTGCAATAAATGACTGGCCAACGGAAACTGGACGCTGCCAACTCTCGGTGACCCACTCGGTTTCTTTCTTGGGGGTTAACAGAGGAAATTGGGCCCATTTTCGGGCCCATTCCCTCTCTGTGATAGCGTTCCCCGAAGCCTAAAAAGAGACTTTGATGGTTTGTGGGATGAATGGGGGTGCGGGATACCGGATCATGCTTCGAATTCATGGATCGGCTGGTTTTGCCCATACCGACTTGTTGATTCATCGTTCTGGAGGGTTTGACACGGCATACCCAGTACCAAGAGTGTTGAGTATCGCAAGCTCCACCCGCCGAACGTCACACAAGACTCAGAGCCCACGGCGCCCTGACTTGATGACGAATACCTTGATCGTCGTGCAGTCACTTCCGGGATCGCCCTCCGTCTACCGTCATTGGTCGTGTTGCTTGCTGTCAGCTCCGGTGCAAGGCAAGGCGTAATTGAGGCAACGTGATGTTTACAACTAGTCGCAACGAGCCCATCCTCGGTCACGGGTTGGTCGTCCACTTACCTACCTACCCAGGTACCGTAGGTAGGTAGGTAGGTATGTAGCACACATGCAGGCTAGCTGTAGTTTCCATTTGGTTCGCAGTCTAACTTAGGAGAAAAGGCAGATGGCAGCTGGCTGCTTGCTTGCTTGCCTGCCATACAGACTGTGCTTTTGTGGTTGTCACGTCTCGGTCGGTGCACCTTGGTGTCTCAACCTTGCCTGAAACACGCCCTTTCTTTCTTTGCCGTTTTCCCTAGCGACATAGGCAGCAAGGTAGTTGGCGCCTACCTTGCCTCCTGTCTCTACCTTGAAGAAAAAGAAGAAGAAGAAGGGGCAACAGAGTGGACTTCCCATTTGGACTCGGCCGAGACCAACAAGGCGGAAGCGGGTGATGCAGGCTCTCAATTGCTGCTGCTTCATTGAACGGGGAAGAACGCAAGGCCAGAGCACCTGCCACGACGCTCTTGCGTGACGAACTTGACGGGTGGGTAGGCACTTGACTGGTAACTCACTTCATGCCAGGTACCTCATGCAGTGTCTTGGCGCCATCAACAAATAGAAAGTAATCCTACCTAAGTGCTACCTACCCATGAGCACAGTCCTCGGCAACCGCCAGGTAATCAATTATGTACCTCTCGACTTACACAGGCACTCGGCAGCTCTCGCACACACCAATACCACCGTATTGCGAGCCGCAAGCACCCAGCGCTCTGGGCAATCGCCAGCACGTACCGCATGGCTTCAACTGGACTTTGCGTTAGTGCCATCCGCCTGTCTTCTGCACTGGAAGGTGTAAGACAGAACGACGAACAAATCGACGATCCCTTGCGTCTCACCTAAGCCTATCGCACCAAACCAGCCTGGCCCGGCGTTCCCGCCCTCCCCTGACTTCCCAGTCAGCCAATCAATCACTGAGCCCCTCGTTCCTGACTGTGCGGCCGGATTTTGGGGCATGACTTTTGGGTTGGTCTCTCCATCGATGGTATTCTCTGTGCTGAAAAACATGGATCATCTGTCTTGCGCTGGCTCACTAACAAATCTTGACAAGAACCGCCTTCACACACGTTAGCAACAATCACGGGTAAGCTTAATGGCATGACGAGCGTCCAGGGCGAACATGGCACCAGGAGTGTTTACTGCTAGACATCTTCATTCATATGGCGCCAACGCTCCGTTGATGCCGCCAGCCTCATTGTAGGGAACACAATCAACTTGAACACCCAGTCATACATATCCTGCGATGGGAAACCAGAAACACGTCTAGCCCGCCGGCCAGTACCAGGCTCCTCGGCGACATTCTCGCCCATGTACACCCCACCCCGCGGTCCCCCTTGCTGAGCAAGAATAGAAACCCGCTACCAGCGGCAACACAAGAATAATTCGGGCAAGCGCCTATTAGCCTGGTAATATGATCTCTACTTGACCTGCGAAAGGTCAATGTGTTCTCCTCGCGACGAGCTGAGGATCAGACACTACTTACTTAAGCTAGTGTACGACTGGAAAGGGCAACTATGTACAATATCTTTCACGGAATCGCACGATACTGGTCGCCTCAGCTCCCCTAAGCCGCTCAATAGCAGATCAATCGCAGCGCGTACAGATGCCATCGGTTTTCCGAGTTGTCCGATGTTGAACTGACCTGGCGAAAAGCAACAGAAGCCGGCAGCCTTCATTTTTGGCATTCGTATGTGCCTTGAGAAATTGTAACGTGAACCTTGCTTAACACCTCTGCCATCCGGTGCAACTTACTGCCCGGTCGCCGCTAGGCTTTCTCGAAGCAAGTGTAATCAGATCGCCATCGATTCCTCAGAGGACTCGAATTACCAAAGGTTGCCTAACAGCGTGCCATTGGAAACTCCCAAGAAAGCAGATTGGCCCGGAAAGCGATTGACAGAAACGTACACACTTGCAACACACATTAGAGGTGCCTATGTTAACTCCCAAGGTGGTTGAATAAGAGATGTAAGAGACATTGCTACGAAGCAGATGTTGGGGCAGGTAGTTTTTGTACTATGGTAACTATGGTACTCCGTACGTACAGCTTGCATCCGACTTGCTCCACCTACCTGTTTAGCATCCCTGTCCTTTGCCATCCGCTTGGTGGGAGTACATCATGTGGAATAATTGTACCACACACGCACTGTGTAGAAATGGGGGCGAGAGATGCATAATACACTTGGCAGGTGCCTCATTCCTCAACTCATTACTAGTACCTCCTCAAATGACCCCAGCCTCCAAGTGCCGACTGCCACTACACACGAACAATCAGGACCTTTTTTTGTGCAATTGGCCCAGGCTGGGAAGGATGGTACTGCTCTAGGCCATCGGATGCTTCCCGTCAACTCGACTCGGTTATTCGACTACATAATTTGGGGCCAAGCCAACCAGAGCAAGGAAGCGTGAGACATCTGGGTCACACCTTTTTCGCCAAATAGGTTACACCATCAGATGAGTGCTGACCTACACTGAGAGGCTATACACAGCGAGGAACCGATGCCGATGGGTGCGGGCTGGGAGGGAGACTAATGCATAAGAGGAACCTTCAAACTACCTAGTCCAGATACACCGGGGGGGTTCGGGCAAGACCGGCCAGTCTCGGGCTCTTTCGTGGGAAGATGGGCGGATAAGCCGACTTATAAAACGAACCGGGCTGCTTCTGCTCCGAAGCAGTCAACCCGGGTCGAAGATGCGAGGAATCACCCTCTCCAACTCACAGACAAGAAGCCTCGAATGTCGCTGCCCGAGCAAGTATATGGTGGAACATAGGTCATCCAGGAGGGGAACGGGAGCCCATCCAGGTTGTATCCTTTCATTAGCATAACCCTCCGTCCCGACACTCGATCCGGGCCCTGATCGTCCAGGTCATCCATCCCCTACACCAGGACCCTGGAATGGTGTCCGGCCGCTGGTGTCGGTGATGCTCCGTTCCCGCCAACCATGTGACTCGAAAACAGCCGTAAAGATGTATGATTCGGATCAATCTGCGCAGCTCATCTGCAGCAAGAACATCCGAGTTGATGAATTGAGTTGGAACCCCGGCGCCACCATTGGGCTTACCCCGCCCCGCCTCCAGCAGCGATGCTCCGTCATACTTGGTGCGTGCATGGATGTATATGTACCTCGATTCTACCACAGACGCTCAAGTTCGTTGAGGCTTCTGGAGAGGGGAAGCAACGACGACGACGGCCGAACCAAGTCGCATCCACCATGACCTCCGACCTCAAATCATCCTTGCCCATACAAGTCTCCACGCTTTGCGATGGGATTGCGGAATGGCATAGTGTAGCCGTCAAACGAAACTTGTGGTAGGTCGTAGAGGAGTCTCCCCCCAACCATATGTCTAGCTTGGGGGGAGTGCTGGGACTCATCCTCCGTACTAGTGTAGAATCTCCCGCCGGGAACTTTTCCCGGGTGGGAGGAGCTGAGTCGTGCGTTCCTTTCGGCCTCGTTGCATCGCCGGACTGAGCTTGAGCTGCAGACGGTCAACAGAAAAATGATTTGATTTTCGTGACGCACATGCGAGGAAAGCAAGCTCGTCAACTCTTCCTCGCAGATCAGCTCAGGGCAATTACCCGCCGCTCTCCACCGCCCTTCAACGATCCCCGTTGAATCTGCTGCCCATCCCACACTCGTGTCGATCCGGGAGCAGCCAGCCATCGGCCGCCAAGCAGAGCGGGCGGGCTGAGCTGGCACCCCCTCTCCTCCTCTTCGCCTTTCAGCAAGAAACCTGCGTAGTGCGTGGGATACCACTTTGGGCTTTAGCGCACGTCTTCCTCTTCGCCCTTTTTGGTTCTCTCTCGCGCGCGCGCGCGCGCCCAGGGGACCGTCAGCCCGCTTCTGGCGCCAGGTGGGAAGGGCTTATCCTTGGGTACGTACCCTGATGGCAAGGGAGGTACCTGACAGGAACCTGAACGGCTGGGCTGCTTTCTTACCGGTAATCATGCTACCTATGTATGTGCCTGGCAGCCTTCAAAGCCACTTCCAGTGTTACCCCAAACTGCCCAATTCGGGTAATGTGGAGATCGCGGAACGAGACGGAGATGCGGCAGGTGGTTTAGAAGGACACTGCCTCGTGCACGACAGCTCGGCTTTCCAGGCGGCACAACGACCGGTGCTGCCGGATGTATCCCCCCTGTTTTTTTTTGTTGCCTTTTTTGCTTCCCCCCCCCCTTCTCTTTTCTTTGCTGGCTTTCAAAACTCCGTGTGCGTCCTCTAGGGACTGTCAGGGTCGACCTCTCTTGGGGTTTGCTCTAGAGGCCTGTTCGTGGTTGAAACCAAGCGGATGGGGATGGGAGTGGGCACGGGAACGGTCGATCCTCCTTCTACTGCGCTGCGCTGTGCTTCAGAAGAGAGCTGCTGCCGTTGTGCTGCCACCGCCGCCGCCATATATAGATGATTTATCCGCCGGTCGGACGGGGGGATCCCCTTTTGCCGTTACCCAGCGTGCTGGATCACTTAAAGTGAAATGGAGACCGCCAATCCCTATATCTGCTATTAAACAAGGGGTCCGAGAAAACTTGAGACCAAGTGGCATGGGCCCCGTTTCGCCTGCGCTGGACAGTGAGGTTGGACGATAGCAATAGCAATAACAAGTTATCTTCGTCCTTACCGACAGACGTTTCTTGATGCGACCCGTCCGAAACACCCCAGAGCCTGCATATGCGAAGATAGCAATACAAACACCAAAAAATCGTGATGCGTAATTTCTTATTTGCTGCCGTCGTCCCTATCTAGCATGGCCTTCGGTCCTGGGGGCGACTGGCGGCTGATCTGAGGTGGAAGGTATGAGCTTGGCCAGTGCCGTTAGAGGAACCCGTCTGAAACGGCATGTCGACTGCGGTTCCCTCACCATGGACAGGATGCTGGCTGCGTGCGAACTTCTTCTTTTCGGGAGCTGAGGGCGATCGAGGATGTCGTTTCTCGGCATGATTGGCATGTGATGTTGGGAACACGGTGGAATAGGCACCGACTCCGAATGCCTCTCGTGGTCGAGCTCGTGTAAAGGGACATGCAGTTGTTGTCTGTTCATCCAAACATACACAGACTTTATGGCTGGGCTTTTCTGTGGACCATTCTGTGAGCGATTCGACTTGAGCGTAGTCCTATTAAGGAAGCTGCCGTACCTACCGTACCATGGTGGAAAGCAAAGCCTATTCCAGTACAGGCCACTCTGTTGTGCGTACGGCATTATCGACAGAATCCTCCAAGTCAAAGGTAGCTCTTCTGGTGTTCCCACTGCGATGCGTGCTCTCCTGCTCGGAGCTGGGTTGATTTGACGGTGGATCGTAGAGAAAGGGTTGGCCAGGGGCAACTTAGACACTCTTCTAACAGGAGCCAAGCTGTGCAATAAGAACTGGATCGAGTTGATCACTAATAGGGCCAAAACGCCGCCCAACAAAGGTGCAGAGTAGGTCTAAGGACTGAACGAAGCGTTCGTTTCGACTTCTCTTTTGCAGCCAGCATTTTCGTCCACCTCTCCGTCCCTCAACGGTAAGAAATCCCACGCGCCTTTTGTGCACAAGTTCATGTCCCCCAATATTCCATACCAGGCCATTCGATGGTGGTTCCCCCAACTCCCCGTATGCTTCTGCTCTGTATACCATATTTGTGACATTCCGTTTTGGGCAGAAGGGTCGCAAGTAGTTAGACAGTGGTCGTCGGTTGGTAGCTGTTCTATCGGCTTTTTCTTCGCCACTCTGGGCATTCGCTGCCTATTGGGTCTTGAAGAGGAGGATCGCGCAGTGACCGAGATAGAAGTAGATGAAGTGCTTAGTTTCTGTATCGACGAGGTCAGCTTCCAGCTTCGACTAAGGATAAGGGTACCCGTCCAGGTGGACCAAAATGTAAACTCTCGACAAACGTACCATGGGTTACAAAGCTGCCAAAGTTGCGACCGACAATGCAGTGCCATGTAGGGCCCTTACGTTCATCAAACTATGTCCGCGATAAGTCAGCAGTTGATCGTAATCGAAAAGGTGGACAAGGCCAGGCTGGACTAACGGTCCGCTTGATATGCTGGGCAATATCCTGGTCACAGCCAGTGTCAGTATAAGACGTTCTCAATAGACGCAGAACATGCCGAAATTGCGCACCTTCTCGATGGTGAACTTTGCCATGGCCTCCTGGGCTGTAGAAGGGTCGTCAGTATATGGCGGGGTCTAGCGGAGGGGCTTCCCAAACGATGACGTTACATACCGACTTCAATTGACTCCTGCTGCATGTCGTCGGTCTGAAGACTGTCGGTAAGCATCCAGGGATCACAGTACTCAATTATGGGCGATCCTCACCATGTCGGCGCTCTTGACTTGGGCTACATCCACAATTGCGTTAGCACTTGTTGTATATCAGGATAGCAGATTGCTCTGCTGTCATAACAGACCTTCCAACTTCTCCCTGGGGGCAGGCGAGGTGCTCTTGGCGTCGGCCATTGCGATGATATGTGATGTTGCAGATATGCCTGCTGTTTGCGCGATCTTATCAGCACCGGGACAGGTGTCAGTTTCGTTTGTACAGCAGAACTCGGGCAAGCCCCATTTCCTCCGTCTCGTCTGCTGCTAAGCCTTCGATCGCCAAGGTAAACTCACTTATGTGGAGAGAGGCTATGCTGAGCCGATTAGCTGAGTTCAAGAGGGCCAGGACTAGAATGCGCATACTTACCTTAGAAGGCTCCAAACAAAATAAACGGCTTACTTGACGAGGTTCTTCGGGATGTGTGTCGCGTGTTTTGAGAAAGCCTGACAAGTGCTCGCGACAGGAAAAGGTTCCATTCCAGTTGAGTCGTAGTTGGGTTGCCAGACCGCACGGGCCATAGCTCCTTCCGAGGTGGCATGCTACACTAACAAACAACGTTGACATGAAAGGCGGGGCTGGTCACATGTTGATAGCGATAACGATGGGGCGGAAGGGGGAAGAAGGGAAAAAAAATTCAATGTAAAGTGCAGTTTCTTTCTTGAATGGCAACAAATCCTTCAAGATCCCTCCTCTCTGTCTCTTCCACACGACACTATGGCCCTGCATTTATAGCCGCCACAACCACTTCGAGCACCCAAGCTCATAATCTTCCATTCTTACTATTGCAAACTTTTTTGTGTTTTGTTCAGAGATACCCCCTTTCGCAATGGCTGCTACCACTGCCGCCTCTACTACTACAATGGAGACCTCTCGTATTTTTGTCAGAGGACTTCCACCCAAGATCACGGAGGCCGATTTCCGGCAACACTTTTCAGCGGGAGGTCGTGAAGTTACGGATGTCAAGGTCATCCCCCAGAGAAGAATTGGTTACGTTGGATACAAGACACCAGAGGTTGCTGCCAAGGCGGTTAAGTACTTCAACAGATCCTATATCCGCATGTCGAGGATCAATGTGGAACTCGCTAGGCCAGTATGTTTAGACTCTTTTAAACAACTTGAACCCCATATGCTTATTCCCCTCTTCCAGATTGCAGATCCCGCCCTCCAACACTCCAAAGGGGCCACCGGTAATGTGCCTTTGGCCACTCTGTCACACTCGGCTGCCTTTCCGCCACCCGGCGACGAAGACAAGGATGTAAAGAAGAAGCGGAAACGCGAGGATTTGGATGAGTCTGACCCCAAGCTACGCGAATTCTTGCAAGTCATGGGCCCTAGTAAGAACGCTGCAAATGATATGCCAGATGTCTTGGACCCTGTCGCAGCCAAGGAGCAGAAGAAGTTGCTCCAAGATGGCGAGAGTGACGATGAGTATGAGGTTATCCCTGCTCGGCCTGAGAAACGGCAGATGAGGGAGGTGCCAAAGGGAGAGCAACGTTCGATGCCTACGCCAGAGAAGGATGAGGTGATGCCTGACGCTGCTCCTGTTCCTGAGTCTACGGACGACGCGCCTCAAAAACAGGCTTCCGTCCCTCTGGTCACGACAGACGATGATTGGCTTCGTTCAAGGACGAACCGGTTATTGGATCTAGTGGATGACGACGAGGTACTCCAACCTCCAGCCCAACAAACTGAGAGAGAGCCACTCGGATGTGCACCCGCGGAACAGCAAAAGCAGCTCGCAAAGGCTGCTGAGCTGCCCACGAGCGGCGATGCCAAGAGTGGGGCTGCTGCTGAGGATGACTCGGCCCTTTCTGGCAAGGTCGAGGATAACGACACCCTCGCCACCATCAAGCGAAACGCTAGACTGTTTGTTAGGAACCTGCCCTTTAGTACTAACGAGGAGGACCTGCAGACGCACTTTGGACAGTACGGAGAACTTCAAGAGGTAAGTAACAAGCTTTTCATCCTGTTCTGTACCACTCAATTGCCATTCAATCATGTGATGAATCCAGATAGGGACAGCTTACATCAAATGATGGTTGATGCGAACCTTGGATCGGTATTTTAGTAGATGCTTCGACTTTCTGAAAAAATGATTTGCGTTCTCAGCTGCACACATGAACCAAAGGACTGGACTCAGATTGCTAATCTCCTGTTAGGTACATTTACCAGTCACTGCTGCAGGCGCAAGCAAGGGCTTTGCCATGGTACAGTTCATGAGTGGCGAGTCAGCTGTTGCCGCATTCCAGTCAACGGATGGTCAGACTTTTCAAGGGCGACTTTTGCACGTCTTGCCTGCTGAGGGCAAGCGTGATGCCGGGCTGGACGAGTTTGCAATCTCAAAGTTGCCCTTGAAAAAGCAGAACCTGATCCGCAAGAAGGCGCAGGCTGCCTCTAGCACGTTCAACTGGAATTCTTTGTACATGAGCCAGGACGCAGTCAACGCCTCGGTGGCAAGTCGTCTGGGTGTGTCCAAATCGGAGCTTTTGGATCACACGTCGGCAGATGCCGGTGTTAAGCAGGCCATCGCCGAGACGTCGATCATCCAGGAGACTAAAGCATACTTTGTGTCGAACGGCGTAGATCTCGATGCCTTCAAGTCGCAAAAGCGGGGCGACACAACCATCCTAGTCAAGAATTTCCCGTTCGGAACCACAATGGAAGAGCTGAGAACCATGTTTGAGGAGCACGGCACCGTCCTGAGGGTGTTGATGCCGCCTAGCGGTACCATTGCCATTGTGGAGTTTGCGCAGCCAGCGCATGCAAAGGCGGCGTTCGCCAAGCTCGCATACAGGCGCATCAAAGACACTGTGCTGTTTCTCGAGAAGGGTCCCAAGGATCTTTTCAAGAATGACGCCTCGATAGACATGACGCAGGGCAAGGAGGATCGACCCACCGGTGTCCAAAAACTCAGTGTTACGGAACTCTTGGGGCGGGATGAGCAGGGTGAGGCTGACGTTGAAACTACGTCGTTGTTTGTCAGGAACCTCAACTTCTCCACAACCACGGAGAAGCTGGCAGAGACGTTCAAACCGTTGGACGGCTTTGTGTCCGCGAGAGTGAAGACCAAGATGGACCCCAAGAAGCCGGGGCAAGTGCTGAGTATGGGATTCGGCTTCGTTATCTTCAAGACCAAGGAGCAAGCACAGGCGGCGCTCAAGACTATGGATGGATTCGTCCTCGAGGGTCATACTCTTGCCGTCAAGGGTTCGCACAAGGGTCAGGATGCTGCAGAGGAACGCCGGCGGGAGGACAAGGCCCGCAAGGCAGCTGGGCAACGGACCAAAATCATCATCAAAAACTTGCCCTTCGAAGCAACCAAGAAGGACATACGCACCCTCTTCGGTACTTACGGCCAGCTCAGGGCGGTGCGCCTGCCCAAGAAATTCGGCAATTCGACAAGGGGTTTTGCTTTTGCCGAGTTTGTCACGCCCCGAGAGGCCGAAAACGCGCTCAACGCGTTGCGAGACACCCACTTGCTGGGCCGCAGGCTGGTCCTCGACTACGCAGAAGCCGAGGCCGTCGATGCAGAGGAGGAGATTGCCAAGATGCAGCGAAAGATCGGTGGGCAAGTCAACAAGGTCGCCATCTCGCAGCTCATGGGCCAGAACAGGAAGAGAGTCAACATCGGAGGCGACAACGTCGACGAAATGGATATGTGAAAGGAGGGGTTGAGAAACATCAACAACTCAAAAGGAGAAAATAGAAGCAAATCCAATATGTGTCTCTGGAATCACACTGTGATGCTATACCGAGCTTTCCTACAGACAACTACACCACCGCCACGTCATTCTCGAGTATTTCCTGCAAGTGACATGACATTGATACCAGTCGACAAGCATGTGCCCTGCCTGTTCCCCCTTTCACTCTCCTCTTTGCCCTCTGTAGGGGATGTCACTTTCTTTAGCTTCTGGTTCTAGTGGCTATCCATCCAGCTGTAATTCTGTATGTAAGTCTGTCTCGCTCATCCCTTGCCCCGCGATTCGGATCACTGTCCACCCCTTGTCACCCTTCCGATCAATCCCCCCCCCCCCTTCCAGCGCCCCTCGTCTAAAAAATAAACCGTCCCGCTATTGAGGGCGCCTTTCCTCCGTGGCACACATTACCCGCGGCGGCGAGGACGGAAGCCAGGAGGTTTTTGTGTTAAACGGTCGGTGGGGTTGCGGAGGGCGAGTGCAGCTCACTACAGCCTGTGCTATTTAGCTCTGCCCAATGCACCGAGTCATCGTATGGCAACAGCCTCGCAACCGCGCTTCAACATTGGCCGGGTCATAATAGACACCGAGGGCGAAGAGACGGGAAAGTATAGAGGCTGGAGAGCTTCTGCCTGTCATCTGCCCTTCTCTTTCTGCCTGCCCGGTCTAGCTGGACGAACTCTGTCTACCTAACTATGTGTCCCTCGTCGCCTCCTTGACCCGCAAAGCAGGAATGCACATATTTTTTCCTCGGTACTCTGTCTCTTTCTAATTTGGGCAGCATGCCAAGGTCCTTGTGTACTATTCCCTTTCTTCTATTATGTGTCTGCTTTCCATCTCTTCTCTCTTCCCCGCTCGGTACTTTTCATCTGGAAACTTTGTGGTAAAGAGAGGTCTTAAGCCAGCACCGTGTTGAGAAACCTTCAAAGCCCCATCAACAGTTGAAGTTTGTCCATTTTCATTCTCGTCCCAGCCTCGTCTGTCTTCCAGTGGATATGATAGCAGTTGGACATTTCTGAATGAGGCGTGGTGGGTTTGGTGGTACTTGCTGGACCCAGAAATCGCAGCTTACCCGAATTGGCAGCAAACGTTCCTTGGACCAACCCCTTGCATTTCGGCGCCCTCGATTCGTTCACCCCTCCAGCTTGTATAGTTCCAACGATATTCGCCATGTGGGGATGTCCCTTGTCAGACTAACAGACGTTCGTGTATAGTTAGACTACTTAGTAGTTGTAGGGCGAAGGGGAAAGCCCATCCAGCCCATCTTGGGCCTTCGGTATTGGCCAACGCCTGCCTCGAGGGTGCATTCCTTCTAAGCTGCCAAGTCATTTCAGTCAGATTTGAGCCTTGCACCATCGCTAGATCTGCCATTATGACGACCCTCCTCCCTACCGGCCCAGAAGCACGCCCACCCAGCACCGTCCCTACTTCAAAGCTTCTCACCACTTTTTACCCTCTCTCTCTTGCTTGCTGGTCTTTCCCTTGGCACCCTGGCTAGCCACTCTCGGATCCCCCATCCGACTTAGCTTGCCAGAGCTTTCTGTGTCTATAATTCTTTACGTGCCTTTCTAGTCCTAGAGTTACCTCTTTCTGAATGTCTCTTGCCATCGGCCCCGCCATCCCTTTGCTCACCCAGGACCCTATTTTCCACTCCAACAGCTTTGGCGCAAAGTGACACCTGCCATCCACCCCGCTCAGAGGGGTATGGTTCGCAGGCGTCTCGCAGTCCAGAGCCTCGGACGGAACCCTACGGAAGCACATGCTCTGTGTCTAACTGTTCCAAGGAGGACAGGGCTGGGAGATGTTGACATTCGTACCCGGGGAATGGACGAGACGTATGATGAAGTAGAGGGCTAGGAAGGGGGCGTATGTGTTGCCATCCGTCTGGAACCCGGGGTGCCGAACCAAACGGATAGCCTCTCACAAGCTCACCATGCACCCACTCTGTCAGGTCACCCCATCGCTCTCTTCCTCTCGCTCGGAAAGCTACGGGCTTTGTGGATAAGCCTGCCCATCGATGTCGTTCGTTCCCTCGCCTCCTCTCTACCAGACCTTGGAGCGGGTGTACCTGACTTCAGGAACTTATATTGACGTACGTCCCATGCCAGTCTCATTCCTTTCAAGCTCTCCAAGTTCTTCTCTTCCTCTCCCACCATCTTTACTTTTTATCCTTTTGCCCAGCAGCACCAGTAGATCAAAATAGAGAGGCACTTTCAAAGCAGTTTCCAAAGCTGTGGAAATCAGATACACGCTCCTTTCATCTTTGTCCTTTTCCTAATCAGAAAATACCATCCCAACGCTAACTTTACCATCATTACCCCCCATTCCAGTCCTTCTCGAGAGGAAATTTGCCACGAGGAACTCATAACCCCGGAGCATATCACGCGGTAGATCGAGCATTTGCAGTCGCCTCACTTAGCAACAAAACCCTTGCCTGCCCCGTCACGGAATTCCTGAACAGTCATTCCTTTCACTTATCCTTTTTGCCTCCTAACTTTCCTTCCATTCTTTCAATCAAGGTTTCCGTGCTTGTCAAGGAATCCGTTTACAATCCAGTCGAACTGTCTACCGTTGGAAAAGAAAGAAGAACAAGAACGGAAAAAGTTCTACGCATCAACCAAATCCCATACCATCACCCTTCAGAGGAATCCCCAGCAACACAAGATCAACACTGTATACCCAAGAAACGCACAAATGGAGCACCCGCGTCCAATGCTCCCGTCTCAACGCTACTCGCCCTCGCCCGTCTACAGCTACGACAGCAGACGATGCACGCCGACGGGGAGACAGCCCCTGAAGGAGTCGAATGGTAACGCCCAGCCGGCCGGCTCTCATCTGGGCAGCCTCGTATCATCATGCCGCAATAGCCCCCTTGGCTTATTCTCTCCTAGCTTGACTGGCATACCTACACCACCCATTGTGCCGTCTCAGGCCGGTGCTGATTACAGGACCAGCGGTAGCATGCGAAGGCCAGATGCCCTCCACATGGCCAGACGGGCACGGCCTGATATCAACCCTATCTACTATGCTCCCGAGTTCCGACCCTACCGTGACAAGCAAGATCAGAAGGACCCAAACGAGAAACAGATCTGGCCTCGGGTATTGGAAGATGCCTTTCTCGATTGTAAGATTTTCCACCTTGAGTAACACGGTACCACCCTTGCTGATGCGATGTCTAGCCCTGCTCATTATCCCTCACATGGGGAGGAAAAAGTACAGCATGCAGGGCAAGCAATTTGGACGTAACATGCTCATCAGCGAGTACCTTTGGATCGCGTACTGCTGCAGCCTGCAACCTGGACAGAAAGCAGAGGAGCGGAAGAGGAAGCAGGTATCAAGTCACATTCAAGTCGTCAAGAAAATGTTTGAAAAGCACCGGTGCTGTAAGTCAGACATGAGTTATATACAGACATCGATAGCTAACATCATCCCAGACCACTTCTTCTTTGTAAAGGACCCCGACAAAAGCGAGGCCCGTCTCAAGGACAACATGGAGGTTGCCTCGTTCAAGGACAACCCAGTTCTGATCGCCCTTGCTGAAGGTCGTCTTCCGGATGTCCGTCCCAATTATAAATACTTTGCGCAGATTCTGGCCATGGACTCCCTGGTGGTCATGAGACCCAAGACAGCCTGGATCTTCGTTGCCTCCAACAACGTGAGAATGGACGAGGACGGCGAGATTTACGACCACCACGGCAAACCTCTTGACAAGAGCTACTATCCCCACTTGGAGAAGAACATTCACAAGGAGGATGGAGCTTCCAGAGGCCTTAATGGTAGCATCCTGTTGCATGAGTATAACAAGGAACTGTCCCAGAAAGAATCCGCCGCCGTCACCGAACTGGCACAAGAATGGGAGGCCAAGTTCCCGCCTCTATACGAGTCGCTTGAGTTTGCCATCCGCGATAACAAATGGCTCGACATCCTGGAGATGACTGTTACACTAGAAATCCATCCTCGTAGCAACTTTCCCGCCGGTTCGGAGCTCAACGGCTTCGTCGAGCTGAGCATATCTTTGCCAGCACTGCAGAACCATCGCTGGAAGTGCGTCACGAAGCTGGCACGCCCAGAAGAGCTCCGCCGTGCCGACACCGACCCCCTGATCGTCGAGCAGAGGAGCGAGGTGGGAGTTCAGTACACCCACCGACCCGGATGCCAAGAGAACAAGTTTGAGTGTGACTGCCGCAGCCGTCCTAGGCAGGACGTCCGCGTTCCTTTCCCGGCGGCCGAGTGGGCCAGCATCCTCAGTACATGCGCAGGCTATCTTGAGCCCGCGGAGAACAAAGCCAAGATCGAGGATGACGAGGATAGGGCCAAGGCTGCCGAAGACGCCGCGCTCGAAGCCGAGAGAACCACAGCCGAGTTGATCCAGCAGGTCGGCATGTTCCAGGAGCTGTGGTCTAGTCCGCCTGACAGCTCGGATCGCCGCGCGTGGACGCGCCGTGGCATCATCCTATGGAAGTTCCGCACAATCCACGCGTTCGACGACAAGTGGAACCCCATCTTCGAGAAGCCGGTGCCTCCAAAGGGCAGAAAGCCTGCTGACGAGGAAGACGAGGATCAGAGCACTGCGTCCCGACGCGGTGGTCGGTCTAAGCGGGTTTTCAACCCGCCCGGCACGACCTGGCGGTTCCTCACGGCTCTGGATCCGGTTTCTTCTGCCCATCAGCAGAACGTATGCATCAACCCCGCGGCTGCCCCTGGCCGTGATATACTTATGGCCCCAACACCTCCATACTCTCATCAACTCGCCGCCGTCATGAACGATAACCTGACCTCGGCCTGGGACCCCGTCTCCATGTCTGGTCAGCTGCCTAGCCTAGCATCCACTGGGACACTTGGATTGATGGACAACTTCTCACACGGGCTGGCGACGCCTCCTCCAACGGCATCAATCCACTCGTCGTATGCGAGCAGCTACGATGGCAGCCATGAGCTGGCAAGCGGGTCGCATCACCATCATCATCAACTTGACTTCCTCGCCGCAGCCTGCACCAGCTCCATGGATAGCCAGAGCACTCTGGTCACCGATATGGGTTCCGCTTCCGCTGACCCTTTCCTGTCGGCGACGGGAGGCATTCAAGTGTCAAACGGCGTCGGCGTCGGTGTGTACGACGAAGGTGAGGTCGAAGGGATCTCCGATTGGGACACCGCGACGTCGTCTTTCCACAGTCTCAATCACTGGAACGGCTGGAACGAGGCTTCGGACACAAAAACGCAGCAATGGCAGAACGAGAACCAGCGCAGCGCCGCAGCAAACGCCAACCTCTGGACAGAGAGTAAGGACCATCATCAGACGTGGAACCATCAGCCATGGGCCCAAGCCGTCTCGGCAGTTGCTGCCGTTGCCGGCACGGACGGTAGGTCCGGATGGTCGCCTATTGACCAGCAGCGCGGGCTACCCTCGCTGGACCAAATCACCCCGCTCAAGCCCATATCCGGGAGGAAGAGGGCGCGCTCCAACAGTCTCGACATGGAGAACCGGGAGAACTATCCTGCTACAGCAATCCAGAAGCTGGTGCATCACCGAGCACCAGCAGCTGTGATGGATGAAAGCGGTCACGGACACCGAAGCTGGGAATGAAACGTTCACAAAGTGGCTACAAGATGGAAGACAGTATGACCTGCCTCTAGAAACGTGTCTCTCATTATTCCAGAGCTTTGTATGATACTTGTATGCGGCGGGCATGCGAGTAAGGTAAAGGTGGGTGGGTGGGTGGGATGACTGACGGCCGATTCATGAGTGAAACGCTTTAAAAAAAAAACACTAAAAAAACCCCTTTTATAAGAAAAAGTTGGAGGGGAGGGAGGGGGTATATTGTATGGAGGTGGGGGAAAACCGTGATTTGATATACTACTGGAAAGAAACGACACCCTTTGATACCATAATTCTGTTTTGTGGAGTTAGTATAGGGTGTGCTTGTGGAGCTTAGGCTAAAGAAAACAGAAGACAAATCTTGCCTCGGTTTCCACATCACGGCTACATTGGTCCGACAAGACGGGATGTTTCTCCCGTCATCATCCGCGCCTGCGGGATGGGTTGGGATGGTCCAGAGGGCTTGGTTGAGGGATGAGATGAAACGCTCAGAATAGAGGCGGCAGAAGGCGAATGGATGGAATGCCTTTTCATGTCCCCACGCTCGGGGGTTCCCCGGGTGAGAGCAACTTTTTTTTCTCATCAGCGTTTGAGGTGATGGAAGTTTAAACATCAGATGACCCCCTGTATGCCAAGACCAGTGTTTTGTGATACGTTGTATACACACCACCACGATTGCCCAAAAAGTGGTTCTGTGTTTCTTCGCTTCGCATTGTTGTGGGTATCGCGGCGGCTGTCCGGCCTATATAGGCGAATGTGGTGGACTCTTCTTCCATTATCGCCATAGCGCCCGGACATAACGGTGCTGGTATTGCCGGCAACTGCGACGTTGAGTTGCATGTTTCATTCAGAATAAAATAACGAGACGCGGAACAGCATGAGGCAACGAGACCACAGGAGAGCACGTGAATGGTTTTTTTTCCCCTTCTTCTCCGCTATGCAGTGTGAGTGCTCAGGTAAGGGCGATCAGTGGGCAAGCGGATGATGTTCGCAGGGTTTCCTCTTATCCTAGGTTAGGACGGACGAAGGTTGCGAGGGTGGTCTGAACAATGTGAACGGCAGCTGCAGATGAAACGATGCATGTCTGAACAGCGTTGACCGAGGTGCGTACACATAAGTGATGGCGGGAGTGGTGGCAAAGATGGATGAAAGGACCGAACAGCCGCGTGCTTGATCCGCGACCCAGCCAATCGCAGAGTCGAAGTTGCACTGGCGGTCAATTAAATGTCGCAATCCTTGCGGCGGTAGAGCAAGCGCCATCTGGCTTGAGCCTCAGCCGTGATTTGGTATGGAGCCCCTCCCAGAGATGTCGTGCCGCGACTGACTTTCACAGCGGAGCAGGGGAAGGGGAAAAGAAAAGCGAGGACGACTGGGAGGCGCACAGACGATGAGACAAATAGGATTTGTGTGTTCTGACCAGCGGGCAGAATGCCATTGTAGACTTGCTGGGATATTGCCTGGTAACTGACATATTCAGTGCATTGCGCTCAGAGGCGTAGGTGACATGCATGGTGCAAGGTAGGTGGCGTGGGCCTGTGTTTCGCGTTGGGTTGCATTCCACTCTTCTAGACGCCGTCCAGACATACTATGTACTATGTACAATGACAAGCTTTTACCGTAGGCAGGCGGATATCCTTGGTGGGCTGCGGACATTTGACTTGCCTGTCGGAGTAGACAGTGGTCCGTTTGGGTTCGCCGGTGTTGATCAAGATCTTCATGCCGGTGGCCGTCACCGTAGCTCATGAAGATCCCTGGTGCAGGATTTGAAGTACAATGTACTATGTAGGTCGGTGTTCCAATTTAGGTAAATCAACACCTAGTCTATCCGTGACTCCGTCCGCGGCAAGACACATGGGGGTTCTTGGCTGGGGGAGGTGCGTCGGCGAAGCATTCGGGTTTCCGATTTGGAATGAGAGAGGTCTGCGATGGAGCACTGGTCAGCATGGTAGTCACCCGGACAGCATCGTTATCCCTGGTGCAGCCCAATTACGCAGGCCCCGCCAGGCGGTTGTCTGCGCCAACGGTGGCCAATCGAGTAGACTGGCAGACCCTTGTTTCTAGGCGGCGCGGCAAAGCAAAACGGTAAGTAAACGAGGCCGGGCCGGCCTGACAGCCACGTTTCGTACGAATAGATGAGGCGAGGTACGTGTACGAAGCAAGGTGACGACGAAGGTAGTCGAAGGGAGTGGCGTTGGCGCATCGGTGGTGGAACGAGCAGAAATGGAAGGCAGGCAGTCTTGGATGGGGTGAGAGGTGCCAATTTTGGCAGGCGCCGTCAACGTGCAGAGCGCGCTCGCTGCCAGTCAAAGTGGTGCAAGACCCTTGCGTCTGGAGCTCGCGTATTTCGAGCAGGGGCCGCATGGACATGGTTGACTGGATGAGGTGCATCGAGGCCTGTCTAGGTACTCTTGGAGAGGGGCGTGGGTCCCCCTTGTTCAAGATACCTACCGGTATTTTGCTTTGAAGCATGGGGGCTAAAGTCTCCCACTCACCCGTTTTAGCCAGCAGAGAGAGGTTGTGCAGAGTACGGATACGGGTTTCGGCATTCGTTGCCCACACCGAGCCACACGCGCCAGGACAGAGCAGCACCTGGTGTACCAAGATCGGTGCAATCCCACGAGGGTCGGACCAATTGGTACATCTGGCCCCCGTTGCGTACCCCACCTGCGCGCCGGATGCGACGTTAGGACGATTCGATATCCCGTAGCCTAGGCCATCTCCCGTCCAGTGCTCACGACGTCTGCCCGACCTTCAAGGCGCCACCACCTCGACCTTGCCAAGACGTCCACTTCAACCGCTGCCGTTCCTTGTCAAACATCAACCACGGGGCCTTTCGTGCATCGTGCTTGACTGGCGCCCGAGACCTCCCATCAGAAACGTACCCTCTTCTTCGTCCCATAGTATGCCCCGTCCGACCCCATGGCCGGCCCACCGGCACTCGGGCGGTATTGTATGCTCTTTGGCCAGTTTCCCAGCATTCCCCTGTCCGAGAGCGCACCTCACTTCCCACCGCTGTCGTTTTGGATCGCAACACCAAGATGTGTCGCATGGGTCTTAACTTGTCAGTCCGGGGGTCCATTCGCGTCGGTCGATCCCGACACTGGTCAACGGGTTAGGCTGTGAGCAAATAGAAGCAGAGACGGTCTGAGTCTAGATCTGTAGGGATATCCAGGGCAAGGCGGCAGATGCGAGCCATACGGTCCTGGTTCCTGGATAGACTGTCGTGATATTAAACCCAACGCGGCCCCGCTTCCCAAAATGGTTTTGTGTTCCTGAACTCACCCCATCTCCCTCATCGACCAAACGTCTCTCTCCCTTCGGCCTCGCTAATTCGACAAGAGGAAGAAACAATTTCATTGTTTCTCTTTTGCCTCAGAGGCCTATTCAACTCGACCGCCTACCTAGTCTCCTGACTTCCATTGTGCGCAATTGAGGCAGGCAGGCATCCTCCTTTATTTGTTCCTTGTCCCCTCTTCTGAACGACATCCATCGACCGCTCGCTCTTGCCTCTTTCGCCTTTCAACCTTACCCTCACCCTTAGGCATCACGTTACAGTCTGGACAAGATCAACCCGCCTTATGTAGCAGCACAAGGGCTCACTCATCTCTTAATCTTTTTATTCTTGACTCAGCTGGTATCTGACTGCGCCGGTCGTATTAATCACCCTTTAAAAAAACACAATTCTGTGTGTGCATGTGTGTGTGCGTGTGTGTGCAAACAAACAATTTGGTCTTGCAACACACCTGCCCAGTTGACGAATATTCGCCCGCCTCATCAAACGCCCATCTACTTAAGGTAGACGACCTTTTCTCAGCCAGCCTCCTCTATTCACAACTCAATAACTACGTCATTGCCTCTTCGATTCTTCTGGAAGACTTAGATCAAAAACAAAAATCGACACGTTCCTTCCTGCTCAGCAGCTAGCTGCCCACCTGGTTTGTTTACCTTCCTTCCTTCCTTCCTTCCCTCCTTCTGGTTCACCAGCGCAGTCCCTAACGTCTTTTTTTTTTCATCTAGCAGAAAACTCTTTCTCACTTTTTGAGATTTCCTCTTTTCTTTCTTCTCTCCGTACCCACCACCACACTCTCACGACGTTTGCTTTGCAACCACATCGCGAGTCCATCAAGCTCTTTACATATCCTTTTACTCTGCGAGTATCAACATCTTCACTCTCAAAAGCATCATCCTTCACACAAATTCCCACACTCTTCCCATAACTTTCACCAAAATCACCATGGTTCGCCGCAACCTCTTGGCTGTCGCCGTCGCGACCATCTTGGGTGCTCCTCACGTTGCTGAGTCTCACACCTGGGTCGAGCAGCTCAACCGAGTTGCCGCCAACGGTACCCTCGTTGGTCCTGCTGGCTTCCCGGCTGGATGGACTGGTCGCATGAGCTCTGCCTTCAACGACGCTACGTTTACCAACCGTATCCCGGGTGATGGCTTCGCCATGTGCAAGCAGCCCGTTGGCAAACAGGTTGAAGGCTTCCCCGCCCTCACCGCTGCTCCTGGCGACTTTGTCTCCCTTCGCTACCAGGAGAACGGCCACGTCACTCTCCCCAACACCCCGGAGAACAAGCCTCTGAACCGTGGCACTGTCTTCATCTATGGCACCACTCAGCCCAAGGCTGATGACACTCTCTTCGACGTTCATCGTCAGTGGACCGCTGATGGCAAGGGTGGCGACGGCCGCGGCCGCCTCTTGGCCACTCGCAACTTCGACGACGGCCAGTGCTATCAAATCAACGGCAAGTCCATCTCACAGGAGCGCCAAAGCAAGTTCCCCCATGAGGCCGCTCAGCCCATGGGTCGCGATGTCTGGTGCCAGTCGGCTGTTCAGCTGCCAGAGGACTTGGCCCAGAACTCCGACTACACCCTCTACTGGGTTTGGTCTTGGCCTACCCTCACCCCGTCTGCCCACGCTGCCTCCAAGAATGGCCAGTTCGCCGACTTCCCCGCCAGCTTCACCAAGGATAAGCGCGCCGCCACCTCTAAGGATGTCACCGTCGCCGAGCTCTACACTAGCTGCTCCTCCGTCAAGGTCAAGGGTGAGAAGCTAGTCGGTGGCGTAAAGTCAGCCTCCAAGTCCACTTCCAAGTCCAGCAAGGCCAAAGGCAAGCTTGCTGGGTTCCATCTCCTTCAGAAGCCTGACTACAACAACAACGCGGTCAAGGACCAGCTGGCCAACCAGTTCCAGGTCCGCGTCGACGGCCAGGGTGCCCCGATCAGCTCGAACCCTAGCAATGGTACTCAGAGCAGTGCTCCAACTACCACTGCAGCTCCCGCTGCCCCGACTGGAGTCACCGGTGGCACTAGCAAAGTTAGTGTCGTCACTGTCACTGTCACGGCCCCGCCTGTCACTCTCTACTCGATGGTCACTGTCACTGCTTATGCGCAGTCAACCCCCGCTCCTGCCAAGAAACATGCTGGCAGTGAGGGTGCTGCTCAAGCTGATGTCACCCCTTTCCTTAAGGGTCGTCACGTTCGTGGTAGAGACTCTTGGAAGTTTGGCCAGAGCGACTGAGCTTTCGGGGTTGGATCACGCAAGCACTGTCAGGGACGCGGCTTGTCTCAACAACTCCGACACTCAACCGTTCACATGATGATTCACGAAACATTTTCATTCTTTCACTTCAGCAATACCCATCATTCTCTACCACTCTTTTGGAGTTTGGGCTTCTTCGGTCTTTTGGCCACTTGGTACACACGGTTACAGGCATTACGTTCTCCTCAACTTTCCGGTATTCACAGCTACGGAATTGGACAATGGTTCATGAACAGGAGTATTACGGCTTGATTTGGGATTACAAG